AAATTTGTACTAAATAGGAGGCAAACTTATTGCCATTGATCGGGTACATATATTTCTAAATTAATATACTTAGATATTTCTAGAATACAAATACATTATATACAAAATACATCCCCACATAGAAAAAATTATTGATCTTACTCATCACACAATATATTTCCTAGATAGGGATCGAACCCACGACCTTTAGCTTACAAGTTAGGATCGCTAACTACTAGATTAAAAGGCTAGTCAGTAATTTTGTAATAATAAAAAAATCTAAATTTAAAAAAAACGCTATAATTCGTATTAACTTGTTAATTGTTCTATTGTGGCTGCAATTGAACAGACGTTCGTCAATATCAATGACATTTAAGTACCAGATAATGAGTTTAATTGGCATTATAACGTAAACAAATAACATAGTAGATCCGTGAAATTGGAGAAATAAGTAATCAGAAAGTACCTACCTACCACTTGCTCTCTGAACGAAAACGAGTACCGAGAAATCGAATACCTACGTTGATTTTTTTTATTTCCAGTACAGAATGAAAAAAAAATATTAAAAAAATACAAAAAAAAATATAAATTACTTATGATTAAGTCACTAAAAGATATTGCCAATATGCAAAATCTTTCATAACAATGTTCTTTCATTTATTTCATTATTAATTAATAAAACGGATATTGAAAAGGTTCTCTTATCTGTATAAAAAGCTACCCTTTTGTCTATTCAATTCATTTTTCTCTGTTCATTATACTCTTTTGCAACGAATATTACGATAATTACAAACACTTTTTCCATTTGGAATATAGAAGTAGACTTCTAGATAGAAGTAGAAGAATATCTATTTAAACATCTATGGACTTAATTGAGGGAGAGCCATGTTTCGGCACACATGGACCAGCCCACAGAACAGTTAAAAGAGGAAAAGAATAAAATAATTAATCTCACTTAACTGTTCGGTGGTTGGTCCACTGAACAGTTAAATTGACCTAGACCGGACTTATCCTACTAAAAATCATTTTTTAAGCAATTTCTTCTTTGCCTTTCACCAAGTGGTACCATTAATAATTATAAAAACATTTAAAAAATTCATGCACAGTCAACAATTTAGCTTACATTGATTTTAATTCCTTTTTTCATTAATATACATATTTCTGCTATTAGTTATTGCAATAAAATCTATTATTTTTTATCCGAATTAAAACATAGAACATTGAATAAATAACTATTAATTAAGTAATAATAATGGTTGTACTTTCTCACTTAAAGTAAATGATTGTTTTGGGTGGTTTAGAGAGCAAACGAGTAGACGTTTCAACTGATGGTAAGTGACTACCACCGCCCATGAACATCTAGAGCTAAAAGACAGGCTGGTTCTCCAGTAACCACACTTACTCCATCTAAAGCAAGAATGGCTTAACACAGGTTTTCTGTGAGGTCGTGATTTCACTCCGGTCGGGACGGCCCTAATCTGCCGAAGCATGACTATTCCACGACAAAATTGTGTCACTATGAAATAAACAAAATTAAACTTTAAATAATTCAAATGACAAGAACAAAGGTTTGTTGAAAAAGCATACTGTACAGACATTTACAACTCTCCAAAGCCTTTTTCTGTCTGGTTTTTTATTTCGGCCTGTACTGGAAGGCGTTGTGCTACTCTATTTAGAACTACAGTAAGCTGTCACATATAGTATTATAACAAGCTACATTAATTCTAGAACGTACACGAATAAACAGTTTATGAGGCTTGTATTCCAATAGTCAGCATTTTAATAGGGTTCTTTAAACTGTATAGTAAAGCTTTTTTGTTGAACAGAAATTAAATGGCTAGACGAGGCCAAAGCTAATTGAGATTTTGTTGACAAGATTGCTTAGTATGTACCTACAAGACTGCGATGATACCAAAGGATACGATCACATTGCAATTATTCCAAAATATTCGGGTTACCATTTTGAAGAGTTGTCCTCCAGACAGGTTAGATAATCAGTGCGACAACTTTGAACAATAAATGACAAAATAGTTTTCTTCGCTAGATAACACTATAAATAGGCTATGTATTAACAGATTTTTAGACTTTTTACTGTTTAAACTGATCGAGTCAAATATAAAATAGTGACCCTGTATATAATACTAGCTGACCCGCGCAACTTCGTCTGCGTCTCTCAATAGTAATAAATTTTCTCCGTTTTTTAAACATTCTTCATTGGTGTTCCGCTCCTATTGGTCTTAGCGTGATGATATATAGCCTATAGCCTTCCTCGATAAATGGGCTATCTAACACTGAAAGAATTTTTCAAATCGGACCAGTAGTTCCTGAGATTAGCGCGTTCAAACAAACAAACAAACAAATAAACAAACAAACTCTTCAGCTTTATAATATTAGTATAGATATTAGTGTTGTTAAACTACTTAAACGATTTGATTTTACCTTATAGTGCAAAAATCTTCTACAATATTGTAAGTTTTTACATGTAAGTTGTTAACAATTTCAAACTCGCCTAACAGTTTGCTGAAAACTAGCCAAGGCCCTAAGAAACGAAGAATAAGAAGTTTCCCTTATACAGATAATATTATGTGTAACTAACCAAGTGACGTGTATTTTTATTACAACTTAAAGTAGTATAAAAAGTTAAATTAGTCCCTCAAACAATTATGTATCAGACCTAGAATTTCTTAACTAATGAAAAATTTAACTTTTTAACTAAAGTACATAGTAAAAACATTGAACTGTAGCAGGCAGCTTATAATAATGTTAAAATATTTAATAATTATGTTTAATTAAAGCATATTCCCAAATGTTGTTCCGCTCGAGATGACCCAATTAACGAATCAATCTACGTCATGGTTTCTTGAACTTGCCAAAGGCGCTTTGTATAAATAATAATTTATCAAGAAAACACTGATATGCTATTTAAAGTCCATATATATTTAAAGTGTTTACATGCTTATTGCGACATATTTTATCGATTCATCAATTCCATTGAAATGTATCGCGTGATTTAAAAAACTTATTGAATTTTTATTGTTCAAATGTTTTCGTACTTCAGAATGATGTAGTAAAAGCTGGCATGCAGTTATCACAATCGTCCATACCTACTAATATAATAAATTTGAAGGGGTTTTTTGTTTGTTGATACGACCTAATGTCTGAAACTACAGGATATGAAAAAAGTATTTGATGGTAAATGTCAAAATTCTGTTACTGGTACAGTTTTTAGAAAGTTTCATTTCAATGACTTTGTTTTTTCAGACTTTTTTCCAAATATTTACTGAGATATCTGGACATTTCACCAACACCCTGAATATTCAATACGAAATAATTTAACTAACTTTGTCAGTAAATGTATATATATAATATATATGTATAATATCCGTGTGGTGACGGATTGAGAACACGGAGTGTCACTATCCCTACTCATCCCGTAGGTGTCGTAAGAGCCGACTAAGGGAGCAAACTCTGCAGGACAACATCACTGCAAAAAGAAGGAAGACTTGAAATAAACCCTACCAACCCGACTGGCAAGAGTAGGCCAAAACCTCATTTCTAAGAAGAGGCCTATGTTCAATAGTGGACTATTAGGGGCTGTTGATGATGGGAGTTCTCTCGCTCGATAGCCTGATTGCGGCTATCGTGCGGAGCGAGAGTGCGTGGAACTCTGCCGTCTCCTTCTGCGAGCAAGGTATGCTCGCGAAGGATACGGCGGAGCGGGACCGGGAGAGGTTAAGGACTCTCCCGGCCCGCCAGGCCCGGAAACGGGCCAGGTACCGCAGGCGACTCAGGCGCCGGAGGTCGCAGAACGACCTCCGTCCTCCATAAGCGCAGGCCTGGGGGTGACAGGTGAGGCCATCTGTCACCCTAGCAGAAGCAGAGGGAACATGGGGTTCCCACACGGGGGGGGGTCGTCTACCTGTTGTTGTAGATGGTATGTCGGGGCACCAGGGACTTCCTTTCTAGAGTATACCTGGTTCCCCGGCTATTAGTACCCGAGACGGCGTGCGGTTTTAGTCGGTTCGAGTCCGACGTGCCACCGATAGCCACCGATGGTGGTATTCGAGGGGATTTCCGCACGGAAAAAAAAAAAAAAAAAAGGGGCTGTTGATGATGATGATAGGTATGATAATGATTTTTATGAAAAACTATAATTATTCTAAAATTTTCAGCACTTAACGTTATTTATAGAATCGACAATATGACCCTAACATTTGACTTTCTGTAACACTCTTTCTAAACAAATCAAAAGCGACAATTCCATAAAAAAATCATTATTTTTTTTTATCTTTTTAATACAGCATGGTTCAAATCTTACATAACACCAACCCTGCTACTAGCCTACATAATGACCTACGAAATATTAAAGGTAAACTGTGGTAAATAGTCGCAAACATGTACGCGTTACGTATGTATACACTTTTGTATAGGACTTATAGTCAGCTGCCTTATTTACAAACTATTATAAGCCGAGTACATATGGTAGGCAAGTAAAAACATCAAATAATACTTGTTAAATAAAAAAACAAGTAAGCAATTCATGCTTATAAAATGTGTTGACGAAACGGTAACTAGACGAAAAAAGCCTTCGTACAAACACGGAAAGTGTATCAATAAAGCTATATAGGTACATTTTGCACAGGAAACAATTCCCAAGTAAACGGGGTCAAACAATATGAAGATTACCGCATTACGAAACAATAGAGCGAGAATCAAGTAACATACGGGACCCGTAACTAAAACTCAGTGTCAATAATGGCCGGTAACATGAGCCCGCCGAGTAGTCCCCTCTCCCTACCGAGCGAACCGCACGATACCATGTTTGCACTACACCGTACATTTATTACAAAATATAATTAATACGTCCACATTTCGAGCGAGTTCCGCCACGATAATGTCTCGATAATATTGTTTGTTACGACCCTAAACTTTGACCCTATCGATAAGAAATCTTGGTTTGAGTTATTTGACGTTCGGCGTACGAATCGGATGGTCTATCATGGATACTTGATCTGTGCAATATGTATTTGGGTGTGATTTTTTTGTGTTTGTGCATTATTGGGAGTGCAAGACCTTCGCCCAGTAAGTACAATTTATTCATTAATTGCTGCGATTTTTAAGTAGATATATTCAAAGCATCTATCCAAATTTCGGATATATTCATTCATATTTTTATATTTTAAAATTTTAGACTATTCATATCCTCTTCTCCATCGTTGGATGTCAGTGTGATCTTGAATGGCTAAGTGTAATTTCGTGTAATTTAGTATATATATTTTATATACCATTAATATTACCTTTTATGTATAAGTTGCAAAAAAAATTCATAAAAGGAAATTAAATCATATCTTACTGTAGGTATTTATCTCTTTGTCCTTTCTTTCTTCATCTTTGCCCACGTGTCTTTTGACTTTTAACCGACTTTAAAAACGAGGCTATCAATTCGACAGGGTAGGCATGTAATAATGCCTCCATTATTTACCCATTATACGGCAACAAGTTAAGACTCCCAAAGTAATTTTCAAAATTTTATGTATGTTTAAACACGTTTTCTCTTAAATTAGTAATTTAATTGTGGTCTTTTTTTTATGTTTACTTTTTTTATTTACGCAACAGTAGATAATGTTTGTGATATGAACTAATGCGAGTAAGTGCAAGGCCTTGGCTTACCGATTCGAGTAACAGGTGTGGTTTCAGGGTGAAAACATCTAAAAATCTTGATCAAAATTAGAGCGCATACCTACTAGAAAACCGAATTGACGTAACGAAATTAACCTCACTGAAATTAATATATTAACTGGCTATTGCCCACGGCACCACCCATTATTATTTTTGATTTAACTGAATAAATTTAATTTAATTTAACTAAATTTAACTGATTGTAACAGAGGATAAGCTAATTAAATTCAACATTTCTTGATATGCAATCGACTTAACAAAAGGAAGTTTAGGTAGCGATGATCAGACTCACCTTCAATCGTTAAGCGTCTTAACCATATTTAAAGTAATAAAAGCTAGACAGTTAGCAAAAACCGGAATGCCTAAATTTATAACTGCAGATTCAAGTCTTGGTTCTGCAGCTTATACGTGTGCAGTTACAGCTTAATTATAAGCTATAATAGCCATCGTTCCACGGCTCCTTAACTACGAATTTCCCTGTTTCACTGGCCTCTCCAATTACATAACATAATATGTACCTACATACGATTACGCGGCTTTTTTGAGCTATTGCTGTCTCATTGCTGTTTCCTCATCCATATGACTTGTCCCAGCTCTCTTACCTAATCTGTTTTCTTTCTTAATTTACCTTTTTTCGCTATCCCATCTTTTTTCGTGGTTACCTGATGTTAAGTGACCACCGCTGCCCATGAAAACTTGCAGCTTTACACATGTTTACTGTGAGGTCAACTTTTGCACATGATAACGTTGGCAAAGAGGATTGACGTCACGGGTCAGGAAGGCGGGCTGTCAGAAAATAACACATGCGTAATCCCTTTGCAACGTTACATAGTATACTATTGCGCCAACTTCAAATGAAATTGTACTTCAATTAAAATTGCACTGTATGCGAATAGTTGAAGTCCAGTAACCCATCAATTCACAGATTGAAAATAATGTCTAATCAACTATAAATAGAGCCGAGTGACCACCAAAGGAGGTAGAACATAAGTAGATATCGTGTCTTCACAATAGACAGTTACGTTATTGCGGTTCTTGTCAATCTATACATACCTATACTTCTACAAACCTTAAAACATAGACAACTTTATATGAAACCACAAAACTTAGTTGTATGAAATTGACTTCGTAACTCAGAAACCTCTTATTACTAAAAACTAAGTATAGTGAGTCGTTGATCACATTATATAAATTGTTTTTAGTTTGTTTATATCAAAATAAGTGTTGAAAATTTATTTGATTACTTTGCTTGTTTTGCCACTGTTAATATCTAGGTACCGAACTCCAGGCTTTTGCCTTTTTACCCGACTGCCAAGGAAGGGTTATGTTTTTCGCGCGTATCTTGTATGCATGTAATATTCTTTATTACCTCATATCTTCCAAACCACTGCACGGATTTATTTAATTACGAGTAAAATACCGTTAGATTCCTCTTTTTAACCCAAGTGTTCTTAGATAGGTGACGCAAAAAAAAAACAACATAACGACTGTAAGACGCTATAGCTTAAAGATTTTTTTAAATTAATGTGCTCATAATGAGGATTTTAAAATGGTATATCATGACCATATTTTAATTAACTAGTTCATTACTTTTAAATTGTCTTTTTGCAGTCGGGTTTTTTATTTTTTTATTTATGTAGACTTGTTAGCTAGAGTGGTCCAAATAACACTTAGGTACAAACCGACTTAGCTACCGGTGGGTGGTATCCGAGGGGATTTCCGCACAGAAAAAGTACAAATTCCCATACATAGGTACACCTACCTATCAACTTGAACATATACTTATATACATAAACATATACTATAACTATAACACTTAGGGGGCTAATATTACGTAAATTTTGCTTGCTTATGATTGTCCAGTCATTATTTATCCATTAAAAGAAATATGATCATTATAAAATGCTGTTTAGTTATTAGCTAATTAGGTGACAATAAGCTAATTATTAGCAGTTTGTATATAATTTATTATGAGTATGTATTTAGATATTTATAAATAATTATGTTTATTTAGAACTGAAAATGTCCTGAAAATGGTCGCTTGTTTTTTTTTGTGTAAATGGAAATGTAGCTACAGTGCCACTAGAGGATCGTAAATTGGTTAATTCTGACTAGTACACGATCATTTGTTTGCTGTTGATGCGTTCAAAATGCACGTTTTGGAGATACCATAATCAGAAATGAAAAAGTGCTACGAAAATTGGTTCCAACGTATGCAAAAGGGCATCGATCATCACGGCGAATATTTAACGAAAAAAAGCAACAAAACCATATTAAATGCTATATGTTTGATTCACTTTGTTATTCCTGATACTTAAACACCAATTATAAAACACCGGGATATTTTTCTCAGCACATAAATATGCAGCAATATAACGTCTATAGTAATATTACTAAGTTTTATAACTATATAACTCCTCCAATTTTCTCATGATTAATTTCGTTGCGGGTTTTAAGACAGTTTAACTTTTCCTGGGGCTTACCGAGTGTCATAACTTGGTGTGTTCGTTGGTCACTCTTGTTGATCCTGATGTACAGGAGTTACGTTGATCAGAGTGTGGGATTAATTAGTCACGTTAAAAAAAATATATCAATATATCCGCGTTGCCTTAGTCCTTTCTAAATTTTCTTGTTAAAGTTTTACTGTCCTTATTGTCCTAAGTGGAATTTGGATAAGAAAGGTAATTAATGTAAAATATTTGTAACTCCTTTGATTCCGCTCCTTTTGCACCTGACTGACGTGCAACACACTTGTAAAAATAATATGGGAGAGAAAATTATAAGTAGGTTAAACTTATTAAATGAGAACTTGTTTCATCCCAATTTTGGTTGGTTGGGTTTAGGAAAAGATTATACAGAGATTAGGAAGGAGCAGATCCCAAATCCAAATCAAATAAGGTAATATATGTTTAACCTGTGGTATGACGGGTAAATCTAATTAAACAGTGCAAAGAATTAACGGGTTTACTTACTTAGAGTTAAGTTACTATAATATGAAAATTACTTCGAATAACTCGTTCAGCTATATTATGAAGACACGAGCCGATGAGATCTTAAGTGACATACTTAGTTTTGAAATATAATACATAATTCATTTCTTACTTAAAGTACCTAAATAATATTTCAGCTGTTTTCAAAAAACTACACGATTCTATCACTAGCCTAACATAGTCATGACTTTGAAACAATGGTAAAGAAAAAGATAACCCAAATATTCCTCACACACGCTTATCTACTCGATTAATCTTTGGACATCATCCTTTGATTCTTTATATAATATACCACAAATAATGGACCAAGGAAGCGCAAAGTACCTAAGGCATGTTATTCCCACATGAAACCTAAGTAACTCAATGAAATAACATTAGTTTTGAGTCGTCCATATAATTATTGCATAGATTAAAACAACATTTGACTAGTACATTATCTGGATCTCTCCATATAAAATTAAAAATATATTAGTATGTTCTTCATCAATCTCATACATACTCGTATGTATATGTACATAGCGTTTAAGGTTACACTGAATTTACACGATAGCCAATTTGAACTTTATTTTTATTCAAAAACTCATAAGAATACTTAGGCAAAATGAATCGATTTTTTTGCGAATACAGGACTGTTGCTCTTCGATCTCCCTGGAAGAAAAAATAGTAATGTAGGATTACTTAACAAATCTTGGTAGAGCTACCTGTTTTAAACAGTACCGCAACTCAAATCGCGAAAAAGAAACGAATATCAATTGCCATTACCTATCACGCTATCGCTCAATTACTCAAAACTTTATTGCTTCCATAATGTAAATACACAGGTGATAACAATTTAGGTAGTAACAATTATGGACCCTGTCGGGCTCAGCACAGTTTGTTTGGGAGAGAGGAATATTTTTTTTTTTTATTTATCATAATAATTAAAGACTTTATGAATTTTATTATTTTTGAATATTATTATCTAGCTTTTAAATATTTACGTATAGATTTGTAGCAAAAAACTTGTCTTTGTGCACTTACATTGCAAACGCTGGCTAAATAATGTACTACGGAATTGTATATCTTAAAAAGATGTACAAAAAAGTCCGAAACGGTATCTGTATATCTCTTAAGGATAACCCGCGGTAACCATTTTTATCTTTTAAATATTACAAAAAAAAAAGAGCTGTTTGCGATGGTAGCGAAACGGCGTTGGAAAAGTGAAGTTAAGTTTCGTGAAGTGGCAGCACTCTTAATTGGCAACTGTCAGTGTCACACGACTGTGTTTGTTTTGTAAACAAACCGGTGATGCTGACAAATATATTATAATTTAAAATAATTATTATATATTTTATTCGAATTTATGTCCTTGTTACAGATTCACTAAAAGATCCATTTATATGTGGAACGCCGTCATGCGCACGTGAGTACTCTGTTAAAAATTATTATATAATTAAAATACTTTAACACATTTTATATGTCTTATTAAAAACATAATACTAAGTGTTTTATATACTATAATATTAAGATAAATGTAAACAGCCATTATGGCAAGTTTCTGTGTAGTACAAAACAACAATCTACTCGACATTGGAATCTTAATTCATTTTTGTCCATGCAACCTAATTTTATAAAAGTGCATACTCAAATATATATATTATATTGTAAGCTTGCATGAATTGATTATTCTGCTGTTTTTGAGTAAAATGATTTAATTCTTGAGAGCCATCGAAAAACATTTAAAGTACCTTAATACTTAACTAAATATGGTTGTAAGTTACTTTAAAATTTAGAAAGATATCGTTTATATGAATTATCTGTTATATTACAGCATCAGAAAAGTTCAAATATCTATTGGATGTGATCTACTACTATGAGTACAAAGTGAATGTAGAAACTTACTTCGCTGGCTCCAGCAATAACAGATCGACATTGGACATTAGAGCTGTGGTGAGTTAAAATACCTTTTAATATCTCCTGTTTACTATGGTGTGGTGTGACGTCACATATTTTAGAATTTCACTAATCTATTTCAAAAATAACTCATAACTGCATAAACACTTTTTTATGTGTACTCATTTGTTTACGTTTAATGTTTTGTGTTCACTACTTTAGATTTTGCAATGTAACATAACAAGGTTGTTGACCTTCTTCCTGTCTTTTTTTTAACAAAATACTCACTTTATTAACCCTGTAGCTTCTTAAAATGTAACATTTTATTAATAGAATGCCCTCTTGTTAAGATAAGATAATAAAAATATGATCAGTACTGACTGGCATTTAGATGTTTACCAACCCATATAAAAGAATGTCTTTTAAGGAAAAGTCTAGTGTAAAAAATAATTACACTCCTTGAAGAGTTTTTGTAGGTTTTCCTTAAGTTACTTAAGAATTGGATTTCTCACCATTTTATACTACTATTCTGAAAGCATCTTAAGAATCATTGTGTTTTCTATAAAAATAGAATAAATAACACAGATAATCAGAGTTGACTAAATGTTTTTTTTAAATTTTAATAGCATTTATTTTAATGACAAATATAACATTATTATTTACAGCCAAAAATCCAGTTTATAAGTCCATGTGAAGGGCTGTTGCAGCTGACTGAGGTCACTCTCATAGATCAAGATGAAAGCTATCCAGTTGAACGAGCCGAGAAGTTTATACATGCCCTCTCCTTACATGAACTTAGGTAAAAAACCTCATTAATATTTTATCTTCATCATTATGGGTAGCTAGTAAAGTTTGCCAGAATTATTAATCAGTGAGTTCTTCCTGTGAGATAAGATAATGTACATGTGTTTAAAAGTTGAATCATTCCTTGCTACTAGTAGAGCAAAAGGTCAATACAGATAAATTAATGAATAAAAACTGTGTGAGGGGTCTATGGACCCACGGTCGGAAGAAGTCAAAAGTCTTTTTTTCGGTGTCGCTCACATAGGCTCAGAGCGTGTAACGCGTGGTAAGTAACTTCGTTCCAGAAACCATTAAACTTTATACTAGAAAGAAAACATATTTTATTTCTAAAACACACGACAGCTCTCATATACGAATTTTACAAACATAAAAACACTTGAAACAAAATATACAACACAAATTTCATGAAATATCTTGTATTATAGAGTGTTGTACTATTTGTATTATAGAATGCTTGAAAGAATAATACAGGGCATATGGTTATTGCGTTGCAGCATTACTGGGGAAGGGGGCTCCAGTAATCTCACTCACATGCTGAAAAGTAACGCAAAAAAATTAAAAAAAAAATTAAAAAGGCCCGAGTTACACAATTATTATTTAATACTTACTTATTAAATTGAGTGTATATTGGTACAGTTTATATCTATGTTACAGGCTTTGCATAAGAATGCAATGTTTACGTAGCTATTAAGATAAAGATTGTCTAGAACCGCAATAGAAGGAACTTTAGAACTCTAGTCTAGGATCTAATGATATCACTATTGGTGTCAAGATTAAAATTAATGAGGCTCACTTAACACTCATCATAAATAATATTATCTATAAAATGTTTATAATGTGTATAATAACTAGCTTTGCCCGTGGCTCCGCCCGCGTGTACCTATGTCAGTTATCGCGGTAAAAGTAGCCTAAAATAAAAGTAGTATGTCCTTCGTCAAGAATCAAATTTCAATTTAAATGATATTTGGCATGGCGGTCATGTTAATTTTTTTTTTAAATTAATTAACCGGTTTTGTTATGAAAGCCTAACAGACAGAGACAGAGTTAATTTCGCATTTATAATATTAGTAGAGATCAATTAGATATAACCTTACATTAGTTGAAGTGTTTTAAGAAGCAGTTATTATTATTTTCAACTGATCTGCCGTGGTGCAGTCCTTGGTACCTAGTTCAGACGTCTCTACATAAATTTATCTCTTTTCAAGGTTTGCATTCCACGATGGGGCGATATCGGAAATATGCCCGACAGAGCAAGAAGAAGACTGGGTGCTCAATTTCAAGAGAGCCGTACTGGCGCTCTTTCAAAATACTATGAAGCGATTTGACATACACTTCAAAGGCGTTGAGGTATAAATATTGTTTGTAATAAATGTTTTATAGTTATAAGGATTATTATTATTGCATAACATAACAATTATATATCCTATTACTGTAACATTAAACATCTTTTTTTAGAAAATTATTCATGTATAGGGCTCAACTTAAAAAAATGCTAGTCGCTTTTAATACATAGAAATTAATGTTTAGTTAATTTAGGGATGCCGGTGGCAGTTTCTTCTCTTTCTATTGGGTAATTGTAATATTTTCTGACTATGTTAAGTTTGTGTCTTTTTTTATAACAGTTATAATAAGCTATTTGCCTACACTAAGCAACTGAATACGATGCGATATGCTTTAGTCTTAGTAGTAGGCCTAACCTTTTTGACTAAAAATCGCTCGTCAGTCCTTCAAAATACAATCAAAATGCTCATTTTTGTTACTTATTTCAGAATGACATCCACGGCACCTGCAATGTGGAATACGCAGTACGCGGTCAAGAGAATACCAGTTTAGTTATTGTGAAGAAGCGCGACCTTTCACAGTGTACCAACAGATACAAGTACATGTCCATACTGCAAACTGTCCGATACGATTTTCAAAGTGTAAGTATTCTGGCGTTTTTGTACATTTTTTTTTCTTCAAAAACAAAAATACAGGACCTTGCGACCCATGATTACTGCTGAAGGCGATGAATTATGTTGTAATCAATCCAAATAATAGCTGAAAATATTACTAATTATGTGGTTTTTGACAACCAACTCTGACGTTCGGTGTATCTTCTTCGCTATATTTGGAGTCAGGAGTTCCTCTTTACGCGTTATGGGCTCTTATGATACACTAGCTGACCCTCGCAACTTCGTCTGCGTCTCTCAATAGTAATAATTTTCTCCGTTTTTGAAACATTCTTCATTGGTGCTCCGCTCCTATTGGTCTTAGCGTGATGAAATATAGCCTATAGCCCTCCTCGATAAATGGGCTATCTAACACTGAAAGAATTTTTCAAATCGGACCAGTAGTTCCTGAGATTAGCGCGTTCAAACAAACAAACAAACAAACTCTTCAGCTTTATAATATTAGTATGGATAAGATTTTTTATTGAGCAGTAATTATGATGACGATTTTTTATTTTATAGAAATTTCAAACATGGCCTGTACTTAAATCTGAAAGCAAATGTCGCATCACGATCGACCATCACATCTACAAGGAGGTGATTTGCCGAGAGCGCCATCTGTTCGAGCCGTTTTCCGGCAAGAACTCCGGCGCAATGACCACCGTCGTACAAGAGCTCGTGTTGCTCAGAGAGCTCAATAAGACTGACATCGAAGTGGTTGAGGCGCAGCCTACAGGTAGGCTTTATATTTAATGAAAACTAGTCCTAATCAGTTTTAGAGGCTATTTATGGGGTATAAATATGTAGACCTAAAAATGTTATGACCCATTGTGTTATGACCCACAATTTATTGTATAAATATTTTAGAATTTATTTATAATATTTAAGGTGATCTCAATTAGCCTGAATAGAACAGATTCATCTAATTTGGGTTAATAAGCATTAACATTCGTTAATAACTCAGCCACACGTAAAAAAAAATATTTACTGCACTACATGTGTCTCCGTGAAAGACTTCGTCATTTACCAGTACACTTTCATTGATTTTGTATTTAATACATATATATTTAGGCGGCGATAGTCACTTACCACCAAGTACTTGTTGGACCTTGTGTCAAAAAAAAACTTGACACTACGTCAAATAATAATGTAACCAACTACTACAAGTAGTGTCTTTATAGTCAGGAAATCGTTTGTTAATAATAGAAAAGAAGATGAATAAATTTTTGAATATAACTGAATGTTCCTTACAGCTTGGTCAGTAATACACCGCAGATCAAACTTGCTGCATCATCATGTTCCATATGTGGGTGACAACACGGGCGGACTCAAGCCTGCCAGGGATGTGCTTAAATTGTTATGCATGTAAGTATGTTATACTGTTTATGACCATGTATTCCAACATGTGCAAGAACTTAATTTTATTGACTTGAGTTACCGTGATCAGGGTTATTGCATACAAGATGTTTTTGTTAACGTCTTTGTTCACGCTTTCCTGCAAGCTGTGAAAGCGATTTCGTGAAAAGGGACGGAAATGTGTAACGCTATTTGATTTGACCAATGAGCGCGCGGTGCTAGAATTGGATGGTGATGAGATGTCAGATGTTACACAATATTGATCAAATGTAACAATACATATTTTAATTGTATATGTTAATGTATTTTTAAATAATGTATTAAATATAGGAACAATGTTAAAAAATTGTTTTCAAGAATTCCTTTGTTACAATAAATCTTAAACTGTAATTACAAAGGTTATTTCATTATAACTTAACGAGCCTAAAATGGAAATACAATTTTTTGCAAACGTACATGAAACGGACACACAGAACACCCAGACTCAGAGCGACAATTTATGGATCACACAGAGTAATAATAATAATAATATTGTACCACATTCACACAACGCCATCTAGTCCCAAACTAAGCAGAGCTTGTACTATGGGTACCAGATAACTGATATAAATACATATATACTTTTTTTTTGTAAATACATACTTATTATACATAGAAACACCCAGACCAAATCAAACATTAAATGTTCATGCACACAAATGTTTGACTTGAGCGGGAATCGAACCCGCGACCTTTGGAATAGCAGTCCATTACACAAACCACTATGCCATTCGGTCGTCAAAAATGAAGTGATTTGAGTGTCGTCCCATATGGGGATCGAACCCACAACACTCAGCGTAGTAAGAAGTGGCGTGGCCATCGCTTAAACCACTGCGCCATCCGTGCAGTCAAGCATTGCATATTGCGATTTTGATGGTATTTCTATTTTAGGTGCGAAACACAGTTATAGCATTTTAATGTCAACTCCACGCCACTATTACTCTTCACTACTCTGGTTGTCTATCTTCTAAATTGTGGTATGTGGTTACGAAAACAGATTAACGTCCTATTAACATTTTCAGGGTCAAGGACACAACTACGGATAATCAAGCATCAAACGTAGACGCAAAGATGGACAGTAGTTCCACCGTGGGGCTGTGGGGGAGACTGGTTCGATCTGCCAGACCCCTTGACTATCCTGCTTTATCACAGCTGTTATCAAGAGCACCGACTATTTGTAGTACTGCAAGGTAAAAAAAATGGTTCTTTATTTTAACTAAGACGATACAATTTAATAATAATAATATTTCGGACATCTAACACACAACGCCATCTACTTTCAAACTAAGCAAAACTTGTACTATGAAAGCTCGATTGACTTTTTTTTGTAAATACATTCATAATCAATATTAATCTATTTTCATTGTTATTCATCGTTAAATTATCAGCATCAACAGCCTTTAATAGTCCACTGCTGGACATAGGCTCTCCTTAGAAAGGAAAATTTGGCCTACTATACCTCCTGAATTAGATCGGACGTGAGCAGACGGCACAATGGCAGCAATGCGCAGCCAACTGAGCAAGCCAGCATGCGCCAGAAAAATGCTCCGCGTGTGTGTCTAAATGGGAGGTCCTGGTAAATCGAATCGGACGAGATTTGTACCCGCCGGCAATCGTATCAAAACTCTCTAGGGCCACATTACATTGGTAGTAACAGGACCCAAAAGCGGGAGAAGCTTGCGGCTCCTTGCAGGGTAGGAACTAGTTAGCTGCGGTGTTAATACGGGAGGGACCTGAAATCACATGGTCCAGGTCCAAGCCCAGAGTTGAGCGCCTGAGGCCGGACGTCGAGCGCGTTTTTAGAGGAAATACCTCATACTCCTAACTTCTACTCCAAGGCGCAGGTAATCCAAAGGGATCTTGCACTCCGTTAACAAAAAAATACCTAATCAGTAGTAGCCCATACCCAAAAATTCACGATCCACCCCTGCTCCGCTACGCTCATAGCTATTAATGCCTGAAAAATCGCGTTTTCCGTCAATATAATGGTGGGTCATTAAAGGTAGAAACAATGTAATCGCAATCGCACTTAAGGTCGGGCTTCTTGGGCATGGGCGACGGCCCACTTCGCCCACGCCTAGCTACGCTATTGTACCTATCTATCTATGTTTTAGCATTTCCGACGAGGACTGCCATAGATTAGAGACGTGAAACCAAAAAACATTTACATGAACGTCATTATACGACTAAAATTGTTTATTGCAGCAAACACATCTTGGATGCTTTACCATACATTGCGAGTCCTGGTTCGGTGGAACTGATCAAGGACAAGATAATGAAGAACGCGGTGGACAAGGAGACCAAGCACGAGTGGCTCATATCTATGGCCATGATACCCAGGTTTGTACAATTTTGATTCAATTTGAGCTTAGTATCATAATTGTACTAATTGCCCTACTTGAATAGCTAATACTTTAAAGGAAATACGCTACGAAAGCTAATACTTTAAAATAAGACTTTGAAAGAAATTGTGTGCCTCCACAATTTCTCCCTTCTCTTTCTTCTCTCGTCTCGAGTCAAAAGTTCGAGTGTCATGTCCTCTGACCTGGCGATTTGATCATGCGGGATCTGGCGGGTCGCGGCTCAACGGTTGGGAAGTTGTGTAAATGCTAATCGGCGTGACAATTATATAGGACTAGCACTTACTCCGTCATTCGGTGTGTCTTCGTTAGATGGCGCTGTAGTATGATTTTGTTCCACTGTATGTGGAAGTCGCCACAAAAAAACTTCTATACGCTTCTATTATGCTAAATTATTTTGACAATGGAGAGAATAGTTTTATAATTATATGATTGAATTGTTTTGTAGGCCCAAAAAGCAGATGTTGGAGAGTATGTTGGAACTACTCCGTCAACAGAGGAACGACAAGACGATCAGTTTTACAGTATCTTCCATGGTACACTCGTATTGCAAACACAGTGGGAAGGACTGTAAGTATTTAGTTGTTTATTTAATAGTATATAACAAAACACTCACTCAGAAATTACATCTTTTCATATTTTTATTCGATATCATTTGTTTATTTAGAATACTTAGAAACTGATATCGAATAAAAAAAGGATTTCTTAGGAACCATGATAACAAAACATTCACTAGGAAATATTTTTTTATTCAATGTTATATTACACATATATGATAATAATAATAATTAAAAATATGCTAGGACTTAAATGCTACAAATTAATTACTAAGTATTTGAATACTTAGTAGTTGATACCTGTAAAAGCTCAATTTAAGTATCAAAAAGTGTGATGATTATTTTATATACCAAAATGGCCTGTATATATTTATATTAAATAAACTTATTAAAGAAAACAAAGATTTTTACAAAATCAAATGGTTACTTTCCCTTTGCATTAACCATGTCCATCTGTGTGTGTAAATGTAGTATGACGTAAAAATATTTTTAAAACTAATTTTACTACATACTCGAAGTATTACTTATATGATTTAATCAATTTATTATATAAACTAAAAAAAATACTACATACGCTACAGGAGTTCTGTATTTATGAATGACCTGTCATGGTACAGAAAATCTATAGAAGACAGTTCAAGTCACTACTGGTCAAGAATATTATACAAAAAAATATAAAAAAAATAGTTTAAAAAAAGCGTTTGGTGCCTGTTGTCAATAGTAAAAAGCACCCCACGCTTTTTTTTCAAATTTATTTTCCATTTTTTAGTTTGGTTTTCTATAAAAGCGTGTTTTTTAGTTTTTTTAAACTATTTTTTTTTATTTTTTTTTATTAGTGTATTGTCATCGGTCCTCGATGTATCTACAAAGTTTGAACGAATTCTGACCGTTTAAAGTCAGTCAAAATCATGCCCAAAGGAGTCGGTTACAAACATACAAACAAACATACAAGTGAAGCTAATATAAAGCGTGTAAAAACTTTACAATATAAAGAAAGATGGTCAATCCCACTTTATTTCATATAAAGAATGACTCTTGTATTACAGTACGTGAATGCTGCGAAGAAGATACACCTATGGCTATCATGGAGGAGTTCCAGAACATTGTCAAAGAAATCGCCAGCAAGGGTGTGATTAAGACTAGACCGGACAGAAATAACGTATGACTTATTTTACATGTTTACTTATTTTATGTTAAAGAAGAGAACGCAGTTGCATACACAGAGTGTACACACCTTCATTTAACTAAAATGAAAGTGTGTACTCTGTGTATGCAACAGCCTTAAATTTAACCTAAGCAGATATCATCACGCTAACAATACAGTATAAACACAACACAACAATTGTATTGGTTCTTATTTCAGGTGACAATAGCGATCAAAGCTTTGGGTAATATTGGTGGTTTCAAGCAAGAGTTTGCCGACGTGTTGATGAATATAATAGGTGACAGCTACATGCCTGTGCCCATTAGACTGGCTGCCGTCGACGCCTTTAGACGTACGCCATGTACTGAGACACTGTGAGTAAAGATACATTATATACTAGCTGTAGCTAGTGTACTGGAGCTGTGTAAATGAGAAACAAAACTGAAACGAAAAATACTATGAAGCGGGTTGTATATCGTGGTCCAAATTTGAGCTCAATCGGTGTAGAACTTTTTGAGTTTTTAAAGCGTACATAAACCAACTCATTTACTATAAAGGGTGTTTCACTTTTGAATTGGAGTCAAAGATATACAACTTAGCATGGGAGAGCCATAGCTTCAAGACATATGGGACGGACGGACCATGGCTAACAGGAAACCAGCAATTCTTTCGTTCCTTTTCACCGAGTGAGTAAGGTTACCGAAGCCTCCCTCCCCCAAATTCTGGGCGGTACACGCAAAGGGTGACGACAAGTACGGCAAGTGGTGACGACGACAAGGTCGACTGACTCGGTGTTGCAGTGGTAATTTATGCGACTGCTGTGCTGAAGTCTCGGGTTCGATTCCCGGGTCGGACCAAATGTTTGTATGATATGCAAATATTTGTTTCGGGGTTTGGGTGATTTCTATATAATATGTATGTATTTACAAAAAAATAAATGAGTATTCTATCAGTCAATCTAGCTTTCATAGAACAAGCTCTGCTTAGTTTGAAACTAGATGGCTCTTTTTTTGTTAGATGTCCGAAATATTATAATTATATTATAAAGTATCTTTTGAGTTGCAACTGTCCTTGGTTGGCGGTAGTCACTTACCATCAAGTGACCATCCTGCTTGTTTGCGCTCCTATTTCATAAAAAATCTTGATAACAGAAACAGCCCTGTTATATTATTACACAACCACACGTGTAAACACAATTTTTTTTTATTAATTTTTTGGAAAAATATTTGTTTCCTTAGATTTTTAGGTTTAAAATTATAAAACATACGTACTTTTTACGTACATTTTTTTTTTGCTGCCAGACTATTCCAATGCCCAAATTTGTTACAGGGAATACTTCTTAGAAACATTCCGGGCGGACTATATGAATATCGAAGTGAGGCTAGCGTCATATCTCCAAGTCATGAAGTGTCCGGACTTGAAAACGTTAAGGACAATATTCCATACGGTTAGAAATGAAGCTGTTAATCAAGGTACGAAGGTCTCTGTTTTATTTTATTCCTAGTTACTTTTGATTAATTTTTTTCGAGCCTTTCGTTGACTGTATTATTATTTTGATTGTCAAACTCTTTATAAACAAAGCATAATTTTAAAGGCCATAACAAACTGTTTGCTTCAAAGCATCGCGCAAATTGAAGTTAAACTCACTTTTTAATACTAGAATTAATATTACTTGGAAAGGGCTCGCGAAGAGAGGTATCCTTAGTTTTATGAAAGGTATACAGATTTACTCACATGTCAGAGACTAGTTTTAAATCTGACTGGGGCCCCTTTTCAACGAGTGAAGCTACCTGCTGGCCACGCCAGGAACACTATATATCTTTAATAAAAACGCATACCACTTACGACCGTTTTACTTTTTTATAGAAGTGTCTTGACGCATTAAATAATTATCATCATCATTAACCTATCGCAGTCCACTGCTGGACATAGGCCTCTCCCATTGCACGCCACTTCGATCGATTTAATAAAATATATAAACTATAACTACATATACTAAATAACTAATTGTCACAACTAAATACAACATCACAGCCACAACGTTTGTGTGGAGTCATTTGAAAAACCTGGGCGAGTCATCTTTACCGTCACGAGTGGAAATCCAAGGTCTTCTCACTGGCAACCAGATCCCACAACTGGAAGACACCCCTGACTTCAGAATGTTCAGCAGAAACTATGAGCAGAGTGTATTCTTCGATCAGTATAACGCTGGTAAGTAAACTTTATTGCACAGTTTCATTAAAGCCTTAGATGTTAAAGATCTGAACAACTCCAATCACTGACTTAAGAAATAGTCCGTGATAACCGTCCCTGGTGTCAAAGAACTCTTTATACTCCACTGTATATATCCAACATAACTATAATATAATTGTAAACTATTTAATTTTTGATTTTCAGGTGGTAATTACGAAGCAAACGTAGTATTCTCTCCTGATTCGTATATTCCAAGGTCCCTGTCTGTCAACTTGACGGTCGATATGTTTGGCGAGTCCATCAATTTGTTCGAAGTAAGTGATTCCTTTTTCGAATATATCGCACACACACACACTCACACATACATACTCACACACATACACACTTATACTCACACACCAATAAAAGGCAGTTGCACGCAATATGTTCTAATTTATTCATTATACTGTACCAGTAAGATTGTCGAACGCTATCTTCTGAGATACAGGTCACAACCTAGTTCAGAAGATAGTATATAGCACAGGGTAGATAATAATCAAAATCACCGAATTAATTATGTACCCCCAGCTTTGGGCTACACTTGCATGTCATATGTAAAACTTAAAAACACTTTAGAGACAACTTCAAGAATGCCAATATAAAGCTAATGTATCTTTTATGACAATAAATTATTACTATTATTATTATTGCTACTTTTGCGAGACTTTTCGGAGTTGTAAATAGCGTGTGTAATATTCTTGGTTGGTGTGATTTCACTTTACTGTTAATAAAGTTTACTCGAAAAAAAAATTGTCTCTTCTTATGTTCAGATGAAAGCTCGCGCCGAAGGCTTTGAACGCTTCTTTGAGAGTTTCTTCGGCAACAACGGTCCGTTGAACAAGAACAAGTTCAAAGAGAAACTGAACAATTTACGCGTATTCCGTTCCGCCAACGAGGCTGATCAGCTTAGAGAAAAGGTGGATGATTTGGAGTACAAGAATGAGGCTTTGAAACATCGGTAAGTGAAAACATCATCTTATAAAATATTTTACAGCAGGTGACAGAGAGTGTTTGCTACTATTTTATATGTAAACAAACAAAACTGAACTTCTATAAACTTATTGATTACATTGTTTTCCGGATAAAAATACGCGAAGATATTTTATATTGTATTTTTTTTACTATTCAGCAAATAGGTTTTGAGTTTTAATCAGCGTGTTAATAAAAACCCTGGGATGAGGACCCCGAGGGGCTTATCACACGTACAAATAAAGAGAACTGATTGAGCGAGGGAAAACAGAGGTTGTTATATTATTATACAAGCGGCGACGGCCCTTGGCCCAACCACACATGACATTACAACTCGTCGCGTCCCGCCCCATTGTCTGAGCCACACATTCCATTTGAACTTCCTTTTTTTTGCATTTTTTAGTATTTAACGTAGCTTATACTGTTTGTATTTAATATATTATATTAAAAAACATAAACTATTAATCACACACCTCTTTTTTGCATAATTTGTTTTCACACATTTTGACTAAATATATCTTTTCACCCATAGTTACACTTGTACTTGAACTGTTTTAACAGGTTCCCGATGGCAGAGTTGGGTATCAAAGTGTTTGGCAACGAAATCTCATATTGGAACGCTGAAGGTGACGAGGAGATCTTGAAGTCGCTTGCGAGATTGAACCCACAGTTGCGAGTGTTGGAGATATTATCAGGAAAGGTAAGAATCTTTTTAAATGTTAACTCTTCCAGAGTAATGTAATTGCGAATATGAGTTTGTTTGTTAAGCTTGTTTTCGGGGTGATTATGATAAAGTACTATTGGTTTTAAATCAGCTTTTAACTTTTGTCTTACGACAACTTTTCTAGCTTTTTCTTTATTTCTGACAACGTGTATTCACGACCATTGCCATGAAATTGTGAGACAAAATCTGAAAGCTAGTGTAAAAGCTATAGTACTCTATCATAATCACTCATAGTTTTTTTTTCTAATATGTGGTTATTAGTATATTCTTATATGTATGTTCTTATTATATGTCTTCAGAGTGGGGTAACTAGGTGTAACTGCCAAAAAATAATAGTAATTCTGTATCAATTGATACCTATTCTTCTTTTGACATTTGTTAAATTGGCTTCAAACATTAGGAATATTACTAAAGTTAACGTAACTAATTTCGTCAGAATACAAAACTAGTTATGCGCCATTAAGTATTAGTCAATATTTGACGTATACAATTTAAAAGAAAATGTGTTTGTCAGGAAATCTCGTACAACAAAGCCTCTCTGTTCCTGGATACAACGTTCTCCATACCAACCGGTTGTGGTCTCCCAATGAACATGAACCTAATGGGTACCAGTTACGTCAATACAAAGATGTCCGGCACTGTTAACGACAAGTACACGCAATCTGGCAATCTGGACTTTGAAGGGAAATTGAGACCCAGGTATGAACATTTATTGATTTAAAAACTATTTAGCTCTTATTGACCAATTATATTATCAGTAAATCTGGTGCCTCAAAAAGTGGGATATATATTCGCTTGACATACATACATATATAGGTAAGTAGCAAGGCCTTTTACATTGTAGAAAATAATGAAGCATTAAAATTTTTGTGACCTGATAACGAAAGGTTTTTATCAAGTACTTCTGCAGGTAGAGCTATTTATTCGTGTGTTTATGCTATGTCTAGTTACTGCAAGTACTATAACATATTCCAAACAAGTGAAATTCTAAAATCAGCAGGGAATAATATGTTTGGAGCATTTCTTAAAATGTACACAATTTGAAAATATATTATTTTTAAACCTTATATCCTAGCAAAGCGCATAAAACTCCAGGGGATAGCGAAAATGAATGTCTCCAAAATAGTTATTGTTACACTTTTCGTTTGGCTATATACGTATTATTACAACATATTTCAAACACGCAAAATTGCAAAATTTGTTGTGAATATAATATTTTGAGAAATTTTTCAAATGTACAAAATTTGAAATTATAACATTTTTAAAGTTTTCGTAGCGAAGCGCCCAAACCAAAATAAATGTGTCCAAAGTAATGATCGTTACACTCGGTGTCCAGCGTGGCGGTGAACGTGGCGGCGACGATGAGCGTGGACGCGGGCGGGCTCAGCGCCAGCGGCATCCGCGTGAACTGGCGCCTCTACACCGCCACGGCCGTCGAGGCCAAGCTCGCCGTGCGCGGGCTCGCGCTCGTGCGCCTGCAGCTCTCGCTGCCCATCGACAAGCAGGAGATCTTCGCCGCCAAGTGAGCCTCCTCCTTATACACTTCCTATACTACACCGTTCTTGGTAATCATAGTACCGACTGCTCTGCGAATACCTACCACCGCGGTTATCTACCTTTTCCATTTTATTTAATTTTTGTACATTTTTTCTTCTACTCTACTGTATCGTTCGTCATTTCAACTCTTACTTCGCTTTCTTTCCATAGTTATATCTATCTTTTACATAGTTCATCCATTTTTTTGTCTAGTCCCTTGGTCATGAAACCTTCTTCACTATGGCTCGCTACTTTAATTGATGCACAGATTAAAAGTCATCGACCAACGACCACTAAAACTATGAACATAAAACGTTACATGGTTATCATCAGATCCGAGCTCATCATTCTTCACGGTGAGAAGGAGAAACAACAACAAGGGCTAAACAAGAACAGAATAGAACAGAACACGTGCAGTTGGAGCACCTTCGACAAGGCCATTGGCATTAAAGTGTGCGCTTCGTACCAGGTATGTCCGCGTTACACTTTTGGTTAACTAAGAAATAATGATTAATAATAATAAAAATAACTTGACACACTCTCACACAGCTATCTTATTTCAAAATGGTCTAAACCTGTTTTTAGTAGAGTGTGGATAGCCAGACCCGTCAAAAAAATCATGGTTATGTATCGACCACTTAGTTTATCAGATTGATACAGAAATGCTCTTTTTGAGATACCTACTACTCGTATAAAATATACATTTGATTTTTACCCTATTTAATAAGTATGTATTTACAAAAAAAAAGTATATGTGTATTTATATCAGTTGTCTAGTACCCATAGTACAAGCTCTGCTTAGTTCGGGACTAGATTTCGTTGTGTGAATGTGGTACAATATTAAATATTAAAATTCAATTATAATAACTTACCACCTTGTTCTAGAATATAATAGTTGAAGATGAATATATATCAAATGCTACAATCACCTTAAAAGCTAGTGTTTTAGAAACAACCTTTTACACCATATCATCTATGGTACGATAAAAGATGTCACAAATCTATTATGCTATCTCTGTTATAATCTATATCTATGTCAAAGTATAATCATTTTACTATTTACTACGTTTTTTTTTAAGTTCCCGAACATGACAAACCTCCGAAACGCACCGTACTTCCTGATGAGCGGCCCAGCGAAGTATATACTATCACTAGAGAAGGCGGATCCGACGGCGAACACCTACGCCTTCCAGTATAAATGGGATAAGAATGAAACTGCCAATGTTGTCAGCTTTTCCTTCGACACACCGGATAGTAAGGTAAGTGATTGTTACACTATCAGATCGCCACAACTTCAATATATATCTGCTCCACTCCCAAGGGCCGTAGCATGATAATACAGAATAACACTCCTCTATGAATACTCTATCCATTATATAAATGTTAATTAGATTTGACTAATAGTTCCAAAGATTAACGAGTTTAAACAAACAAACAAAAAACTCTGCAGCTTCATTATATTGAGATGACGTGGAACGTAGAATATTATTTTTATTTAATTCTTGCTTGACTTTTCATTACGATTCAGTTAGAAGATGCACAATAGGTCTATCTATATACACGGTGATTTTGAAAGCGTTTTGGAAACGAAATATTTGAATTTGGAATCATCTATAGTACCAATAAAAATGATTAAATCAATTGTAATGTTGTCTAAAAAAAAGTTTCAGTTTTAATATTCATTTTTACTCGATCGACTTGGAAAGTAGTAATGGACTGATCGTTCATTCATTATCTTATATGAATGAAACACGTCCGTGGGCGTTTCGGCGGCCGCTGCGCACCGCCGACGCTAACAGCAGCTGACAAAAGTATACCTATAGGCGCGAGCTAGCGAGTACTTACGTAGATAGACTCCAATTTGTCCTTCATACTTTACACGGGCTTAGGACCGTCAGAAATACCTATTTTATTTAAACTTCTTTTCGATTATTAACCACGATTGTTCTTTTCACAACAAATCAATTTATCAACGGACTGTAGGTATAAATATTTCAGGCGTATTTAAAAAATCGGAGCTATCTACAGAATAATTAACTTACATACCTATTTACACTATTTACAGTTCTCTGTATCGAAGGAACTGCTCAAAATGGAGTCCGCTGCATTCAATACACAAACGTCCACGATTAATGCAATTGTTTTTTAATTTTCTTAATGTGTCTCTATCACTTTTCACTTTAAAGCGTCCACTATCGCAATGCGTAAATTATCACGGCTTTCATATTCCCGTGTATTAACAAGTCTTTTTATTTCCGACCATAAGAAAAAATCCAGGGGCGTTAAGTCCGATCACTAAGCTCATTGTCCAGGTATGCACGCACTACACTCCGGCGAATAATAATTAAAACGTCCTTGACCTTGCGTATGAGTAGGCGCACGAAATTGTCCGTGGTCGAGAAGACGTTGGGTTGCAGCCAAGATAGTAGGTGTGGAGGGAATTTGAGGGCTTTCAATTCCACGTAGCCGTAGTGCATTTAAATGCTCCGGCTTGGGAATACAAACGCCGAGCCTCTTCCAAGTTGTAGTTGGCAGTAGCGTACAGCTGTACCATTGCCAAGAAGTATTCCACGTTTGAAAATTCGTACTGTCGACTCATTTTAGCGCTAATCAATGCAGCGTGCCGTCACGATGTTATGGTATTACTGACCGACTGACGATGACAGGTGAGCCCCGCGCATGCGCCTACGGGGCAGACGTCATTGGTTGGACGACTCCGGCGCAACTCGGTAGCTTTGTTTTTATTGGCGAATACGATTTGATGTGACACGCATAGTATTTCTATTCGTAGTATTTACCTACGTGTGATTGAATAGCCTACTACTACTGGTTCTGACTTTTTCTCTGTAAACGATATGAATATCGACTTTGATGATAAAAAAAAAATATATTTTATTAAATTAACGTTATATATAGCTTCTGTTACTGATAAATAACTCAAAATTTTCTTTTCCAAAACGCTTTCAAAATCACCGTGTATAAAAATCTAACTAAATGCCATAATGTTATAAGCTCAAATCGAAAACAGTAATTGTAACGTTATTGTTACAGGAGAAACGTATGATCAACGCAGTCCTATTATTCTCAAATACTACGAGCTCAGCTCTACTTGTCTTACAATCAGAGAAGAGCATTCTAGAAGCGAAAGCTATGTACCACAACACGCCGTACGACAAGTCTCTGTCTGCGAGCTTGAACGTGGACGGACGGAGGCAGTTTGACACAGTGATGTCGCTGGTGAGGCACGACATCAAGTACGGGTACGTGTGGGTGCCGCTCGTCGACTGGGTCGTCGACAATGAGACGGTGGTGGCATTGTGGGGTGAGTTGGTTTTCTTGCTTAAATAGTATTGTCCACTAAGACGATCCCATTGACTGACTAACATAAAATACGGCAGTCCTGTAAGTCTCCCCTAGACTTACAGGACTGCCGTATTCCGGACTGCTGAGGTTTTCATCCTTTGTCCAAGAAATGAGGTTTAATCAAAAAGTATTTATAAATACCAGCGGTAGGTGACATTGGTCCTTCGAGCCGGACTGATTTTGTTATCTTCGCCATGTCGGCGTTGAGAGGTCTCAACAAGTGTAAATACTATACTTCGGTCACTACTAACATATCTGTGCATTTTTCTTAATTTATTTTTTGTTTTTAAATTGTTGGACTAAAACACTTTGTCTGCATCCGACTCATTTTTACAGGTACAATAAAAGTAAAAACGAAAAGCAGCGTCACTCAAGGTGACGTAGAAATCGAATTCCAAACAAAGCAACTCGCAAGTCACCTTACCGGGTACTACACAATTAACGGTCCAACCCACGGTACCAAACTGCAGTTCGACTACCAGTTCTACAAGAGCCCTAAACAATCTATCAAGATCGAAGGTATATACAGCGAGAAGTCGGGCGGGTACAGGCACGACCTATACGGAGATTTGTCCATGGAATTCACGGCGTATCCTGGGTATAACTTCTACGCGGTACTCAGGAATATTGTAAGTAGTTTTTAATCTATTTCCAGTTTGTTGTACCCTCTGCAGATGTCACATTAGCAGGTCCCACAGTTCGTATGGCCAACAGATTTTATTTTGATTGTTTTCCAAAGTTAGCAGAGTTTACAAATAATTACACTGTTCGTTTGCCTAGGTAAAGTGTATGTAGGAAATAATAATTATATATTCGGACATCTAACACTTAATGCCATAAAGTTTTAAACTAAGCAAAACTTGTACTATAAAAGCTAGATTGACTGATAGAATACTTAAATACTTTTTTTGTAAAAACTTACATATTATGCATAGAAAACACCAAAAATCAACAATGTACTGATTCTTAAACTTCGCGTCTCTTAGTTTTTAATTAATTATTTGTTTTCTTCTTACACAAGTAATCTCCCTATTTTGTTCACCGTTTACATTTTTTTTTTAATTTATCTTCTTCTGTGGTACATCATTTTTCGTAGACTCATGAAGTGTCTTCTTTTCAGAAAACTCAAAGCCACGTGGACATAGGGTTCAATGTATCTGCATCGAGAGCAAACAAGCTGGATCCAGCGTTTATCTTCAGCTTCATGCGGGCCGACCGGCTGAGCGGCTTGAAGTTAGACACGAGACTGACGCTAAACAGGCCACGTCTTATAGATATGAGGTTCCATTTTGAAGGAGTGAGTATACAATTGTACAACCTAATTTTTGGTTCACAAAATAAATATTCTCCAGAGAGAAAAGCTGTAAAAACTCTCTTTTTAGCGCTCAAACTTTGCAGTAAGAAAATTATCTTTATAACGAAGAAACTTGTCACAAAGTATATAATAGACACAAAATCAAATCTCAGAAATTATAGTTTAATCTGGGTGCTGACCTACATTACTCAATAATAGGTATACCTGCAGCTATATGTACAGATTCACATACATTATTGATGTGTAACAACTTTCCTCACGCTTAGGATTCCGTTAAAAGGGACGGAAGTGTGTAACAGTTCTTATAACCCGTGGGTTATAAATCATATGCGACTACTGTAGGGCTCGCTCTTTCTTATAATATTTGTACATATCACTGAGTAAATCTATTTTTTCTATATCTATACTAATCAAATCAAATCAAATTTATTTCTGCAGAAAAAACTGTTACAATGGTTTTATGAAATAATTAGTTAAGTGATTCTACCCTAGTGCATGCAAAATATGAAAATATATACAATTATTATTTTATACACAATTATTGTGTAAGATCGACATCGAAACATTTAAATAAAGTTAGATTATATAATAATTTAAATAATTGTAATATCCCTCTTAAAGTTATAATAATAAAGATTAATTATTTATTTAATAATAGATTATTTCAATGTCTCTCCCTGAATTATTACAATATGTTAACAAATTAATTATATTTAAAAGACACACATAACCGCTCCTTTACTTACTAATTAACTGTAATATGTTGTCCAAGATTAGCTATTATATTTCAATGTATTTTCATTTGTTATATGTATTTCAATTCTTCTAACAGATCGGGCCGAAGTACACAGCTCTGGCGTTATTGAATTTCAATCCAAAGTCCCAGGAGATCGTCGTGTCTGGCTACCTGTACTTCCCGCCGGGCACCCAACTGTACCTGGACGCGGAACTCAACATGACATTGCCAACACTACACCCTTGTGTTATCAAAACTAAGGTCCATGAGAAGCAGCCGAACGAATTTCAGGTAAGTTATCAACCAAATACCAAAACTGACCAACATGGTGTAGTAGGCCAAAACCTTTTAATTAATACGTTTAATGAATATGCGTTTGTAATCTTGGTGATACTATAAAAATTCTCGTTGTGTTAATATACTTGTTTTGAATTTTGATTATGGAGGATAGCGGGCCCCAAAACAATATACTTTTTTTCTATTTAGCGTGCTAAATAGTTACAGCTTAGCAAAAAGCTTAAAAAAAAAAAAGCAAGATTTCGTTTTTGAAGATTTTAATACAAGACGAAGGTAACGTAGACATAATAATAAAAAAAACTAATTTGCTTGTTCATTTGAGGAAAACAACGAATGCACTACTAATACAATTATACAAGAAAACAATATTTAAAAAGTATTATTTATATATACGAAACATTCAACAAAAAGAAATCTGTGGCCCATGAGGGGATCGAACCCGCGACCTTCGCGTTATTAGCACGACGCTCTAACCAACTGAGCTAATGGGCCGATGGGTTAGTGGCTGAAAATACATATCACATTCTGCGCTGCAATTGTTTTGGCATCATGCCAAGTCATTTTATATGGTTTCGTTTTATTGTTTATCGCAGTTATCGTCAATATTAATAAATCATGTAATACAAGTAACACTATACGAGAACACTATAACAAATAATGACAATAATAATACAATAATACTTTTAGTAACAAATAATATAATATACGAGTACCTACATAAATAAAAATTAAATGCTGTTGAGAACGGCTGAAAAGATTTGACTAATTCTTTCTTTTATAAGTAAGCAATGATAAGGTTTTTAGACACAGAAGAAATGCCGGAAAATTTAAATTCTTCAAATTTCAAAACTTCCGGTTGCTTCTGAAATTACGTTATGTATCGATATGATTAATAACATTGATAATTAATAACATTGATAATTAATATTTTTTTCTTTAGATGAACGCTTTCGGAGTATGGTTCACGGGCGTAGACTTCAATATAGATGCGCTGTACCAAGATCAGTCCAAAACAAATATGGCGTCACACAGGTATTAATTCGTCTCTAATATAAGTAATATTATATCTGCCTGTTTCTGAACTAAGGCAAGAGGTGTAGAAACCATGAAGCTCTTTGCTAACTTTTAAGCTTTTATCTTGCATGATATATCATGACTGATCTATCATTTACTTGAAAAATATTGCCCCAACCTAGTTTGGGAAAAGGCGTGGAGATTGATGAGGGAGGTACATAGTAGGACTCTTTAGTGCCTACTAGTAAACTCCTCAAGTCACCTCAGTCAGGGTTCGTTTTATTCGTTTTGACATGTCGAACATTTCAATTAGGCTTTGTCAACGATAGTCCGATGATGAAAGCATGGTTTTAAACCACCGTATTTTTTTTCGTAATTATGTATTTAATAATTTATTATTCATTAGTACAATACCCGTTTGTTGCTACAGATTGTACTACTGGATGTTATGTTAGGATTTTTGCGGTTTACTATAGATTAGGTATACCAGATGATTTTATGGTAGGTTTTTTTTTAAATTTTCAAATTTTGGGTTATATTCTGTTTTGTTCTACAGACTGAAGGCGTTGATCAGCAGCAGTCACTTCAAGAACATAGCAATGGATGCGAGGTTTACACAAGACAATAGACAAATCACTTTTATCGGACAGGTAACATATAGGAGTCTTGATTCATCATTCATTTGAAAGGGTTGCCCCTTTCAAATGTCCTAATAGAAATGCCTGAGTATCTACTTATATCAATAGCAAACCTAATTACTAATGAATATTTTTTGTCGTCAATCTAAATCCTCATTAAAAGTTTTTTTAATATCTCAGAACTTCTAGTCATATACATAATAATATTGTATGTTATTTATCTACACGTTTTAGTAATGAACAACACTTTTGTTGAGAGTAACGAGGTCAACATATAAAAAATAGCACCATTATATAAAAAGTAGTGCGTCAACAGTAAACTCTAATCTTTAAAAACTTTTGAGTTAACTGTGCTCAAATGAAAAATATGAAATGGGTATTATTTAGTACGCCTATAAACGCATCCCTTTTTTTGGTGACGGGTATAAAATTCCTTCGAGACCGGACCATGAGATTTCAGGTCCTTTATAAACACGCCCTAAACAAAAGTGTTTAGAGAATTAGTTTTTAACCCTTTTGTCTCACCTTAGGGAGAATACAACGAGGACAAGTACCGCACCCTCATACGTTACATAGTGCTCTCCGAACAAAACTTCACCGCTTACGTCGAGGTTGACGTAAGCGGGAAGGCCTACAGCGTCAATCTGGACGCGGACCTCAGCAACAACACCAATGTTAATATGGATATACATTTTGATCAGTAAGTCTTGTAACACTTATATGTTTTTATACCCTTTATTAGAACTTATCTCTGTTATAATTGCAGCATTGTTCAACAATTAAATTTTGAATTCGGACTTTTAACAGTTTTCCCACCATTGTACACTTTTTTTAAAGCCGGCACAGAAACAAACAACAGATTATGTAACACAAATTATATCTTTTTTTTAATACGGAGATATAATAGATATCTCTAAAAAATATATATTTTGTGATTTTGAATATGTGTAGCTATTGTAATATATACATTACGTTAAGTTTATTGTTTTCTTTAATAAACACACCGTAAATAAGTCAAATGAGACACACAACACATACTGTTTTAGTACTTAGTAATTTATCATCTTTTCAATAGATGGCGTTGTCAATTTTTTTGTTCTTATATAATTCTTTTTTTTTAATTCTTACATATTCCCATGTGAATAGATTACGAGACCTCCATTTCTCATACCAACGCTGGGTGAAAGCTCAACAGAAGCGTCTCTCTGCTGCATTCAATTGGGATATGAACCGAGACCCCTCGCAAAAGGTCAGCATCGACATTCAGTTGGACAACAAAGGGCCATTGCACCACGCTGGACATGTCTCATTGTACTATCCTGGCAGGATGGTCACAGGAGATGGCGAGTTCTTGTTGAAAGGTTAGAAAATATATAATTAATCTCTTAGCTTAGCTTATAAAAAGACTTAGTTTAAAAGACAATTCTCGCATTTCAACATTACATACATTCATGAAACGGATAACACCTAAACTCAAAACAACAGTTTGTGGACAACACAATGTGTTTTCCCATGTGGGGATCGAACCCACAACACTGAGCTCAGTAGGAAGCGGCAACGTGACTGCTTTAATCACTACGCCATCGGTGCAATCAAAGTCTCATTCAAGACATTACTATAGTAGACTTGAAGTCGACCCCAACCTTGTTGGGAAAAGGCTCTGAGGAGGATGATGTTACATTCACTTCTGTGTTTCTGTTCTAGATTGGTTCTGTCAATATCACGTACGCATGGGCTGGTCGAGCGACGCGAACATTCTTTGGAAAGTTAAAATGTACTCTGAAGCTCGCAACGAAACGGTCTATGCGTTACTGTCGAGCCTAGACACGCCCTTCGAAGGTTGGAAGGATACCGGTTTTAATGTTATGTAAGTTGGAGGATTTTAATTTTATTTCTTACAAGCAAACCCAGCAACTAAACCAACCAAATAAACAGCAAATAGTCACCTAATAATCCCTGTTATCTCCTTCTTCCTCTCCGTCATCAAGATTCAAAACTAGCTTATTAGTGCAGTACATCGAAGTATCTATTTGAGATACTTTCTACACTATGTTCTAAACATAACATGTTAAAAATGTTTCTTATGCAATAAAAGTGACTACCACCGCCCTTGGACACTCAAGAGTTTAAGCGTCTCCTCAAAATAAGGGGTGAGTGTGAAGACAGCTTCCTCCGGTCCACACTCAGTCAATATGTTAGCTTATCAATATAAAATAAAAATCTAAAACTTATCTCTAATTTTTCCCACAGGTGGCGTTACTACGACAATCTCCAAGCTATCAACGGTAGTATGAAGTGGCAAGAGGACTACCTAGCCTTCAACCTCCTCGCTGACTACTTGTTCAAGGCCAACGAGTTCTTCGGTGAGATCAACGCCATCGTCAACTCCTCTATACCCACGCTGCCCAGGGCTGCAGCCATTGCCAAACACAGAGTTGTTTGGAAAAAGAGTGCCGACACTTTGCTGAGTTTCCAGGTGATTTTTTTATCTAAAGTTAACTTTTGAAATAAATATAACCGACTTTAATACTGAATGATACTTCATTCCTTAATTTACACTCTTAAGCGTCGTTTTCGTTTGTCCTAATTTGAATGAGACCAACTGAAAAGTATACCTTTGCAAAAAAAAAGGATTTTCCAAACCAGTTCATATAAAAAAATACAGTTGAATTAAGAACCTTCTACTTTTTTAAGTCTATCGAAAAAAAAATTGAAACTAAAATACATACTTTTTCGCACTACAAACTCATTCCCATCTTAGCGATCTTCCCAGGTCGCTGTGTCGAATACAAGCCTTACCAGAGTATTATTGTGTCCCTAATTAAATCAGTATGTAATGAGTACGAATTTCTGGCAGAACAAAACAACTTTACAACAGCTTACGCGAGTTGACTATAAACAAATGCATTTCAATATAAGTTTACGTATAATCCAACTATAGCAGTCTTTTTTATTTTGGCCATACTGTTATGCTATATAAATAAAAAATTCTGACTGAAATAATTCCTTGGATTTTTACATAATTATTTCATTCATCATTCCTATGTCATACCTCTCATACCAAGTAAAGTTCAAGTGTTTAATTAATAATTTAAATTGGCAGTACAACGAAGATGGCATGCTTATGATCAACTCATCTTGGACCCTAGACAGAGGACACACAGAGAACAACATCACTGGCAGAGTTAAACTGATCACGCCTTTCCAGGTTAGTATGACAAGAGCTAGCAAGAGCAAGCTAGCTCTGATCTCAGCTGACTCTTTATCAAAGTATGAGTATTGTTAGTAATAGTCGTAATTGATTCAAAATTTCATTTATTTTTGATAACTTTTGTTACTGCTCTGAAAGAATGTGTCGCAAACATTAGGGTTTTAATTAAAATATTGTGATTTATAAGATACATCTAACCAAAACTGTTTCTATACAAGTATTAGTGTTCACGATTCAGGAATAAGAGCATTTATTATGTAAAGAGTAAATATAGATTCTTGAAATCGGAATAATGCTTTAAAGTAAAAACCTGTTAAAAGTAATATTCAGAGTAGTTCACATATATATACAAATTAATTTATGTATTTATGTACAAGCCTAGGCATTTGGGATCAGACAGCCGTGTGTGAGATGTGAGAGGGTATTAATAGTATTATTATTATTAGTACCTACACGTTCTTTGAATAGTGAAACCACTTTATTTTGTATTTTTTTTAAAGATTTTTTAAAGGTAACCGTCTTATTTTTAGAACATTTATAAAGTAATTGAATGTACATTAATTTTTGATGATCTTCTTTAAAATTAAATGTGGTACCTCTTTCAGGGTTATAAAACAGGTTTCCTCCGCACTCACTTCATTCTAGGACACAAGCGCGACATCAAGGGCATCACTTATTTGGATTTAGAGGAAAAGGAGCTTACAATTCACGTTAATGGTATGTATATTTGTTTCAATGTTAATATGTACAACAATAATGTGACCAGAAAGTCATAATGACATTAACGACACAAATAACTTCTCTTTTTTTCTTTGCCACAACTATAAATCTTAACTATAAACAATCCCCCGCCTTAACCCTTCTCCACCAAGACTCATTGTGATACTAGACACCTAACATACCAAAACCACCCAGTTATCCTTATCCTTGTAACCTAACTAAAAGAATAAAGCATTTGGTTAGAAAGCAGTTAGTTTTAATAGTTAACTTTTATTATAATAGTAAACTAAAGTCAATAAAGAGGGGAGGGAATCAACGGCATCCCAAAATAAGATGGTAAGCTCATACTAAGTTATCTGTTAAGGTCACATGCACCGCATAACGAACTGCATGCTGATAGTGAATGTGACGAGCCCCATGGTAGAGTTCCCGCACATGACCGCACGATTCGGATTCATCGAAGCGGACAGACATCTGGTGGCCATGGTCGTCACTGTTAATTCCACCACAGGTAATTATATTTCATGTTCTTTTCATCAATCATCAACAGCCTATACTAGTCCACTGCTGGACATAGGCCTCTCCTTAGAAAGGAGGTTTTGGCCTACTATACCACGCTGGCCAGACGGGTTGGTATAGGGTTTGTTTCAAGTTTTCCCTCTCTTTGCAGTGCTGTTGTCCTGCTTAGTTTGCTCCCTTAGTCGGCTCTTACGACACCCACGGGATGAATTGGGGTGGTGACAATTTGTATTCTTAATCCGTCACCACACGGACAATGTGACATGTTCTTTTGATTACAGTTTAAGAAATCATTTATTGCGGCTAAAGTCTTGTTTAGTAAAACATATTACCATTATACCTACCCACTTAAAAACCCTACAACTGAATGTCCTTCTGAATGCTTACTTAAGTTTGAATTAAGCCATTAAGTCAAGTCAAATTACTTTCTTTTATTTAAACGTTAAAATGATGTACTCCGTTAATTTTTTTAGGTAAAATAACAACGTATGACGTCTAAGTTTGCTACCTTCAAATCACACATAATTTTATTTCTAAGTAAAACAACCACCTTTCCGTCAAACCGTTTATATAAATATCGCCTACAAGAGTCATACACTGATATGCATACACTGAAAAACGTTTTTTTGTTCAACAGAAATTGGTTGTTGGTCTTCCTCTTGCCTTTAGAACGATTTGCCTTTGAAATATAATAAATACTTTATTTCTTTTATAGGTATCGAAGTACTACTAAATCTGATATCACTGCAAGACTTCGACGTATTTGGTCATGTGGCATTGCCTATCCAGTACTTGAATAGAGCTATGATCATTGCTAAACGAGCTCCAGAAGAGGTAACGACTTATTTTTTATATATAGTATAATATAGTGGAATAAGAATCGGTGAAAAATTGTTACAGGGAAACAATTGCGTTTAAAACTAAAGAGAAATTATTAATTTATTTAATTTTAGACATACAACTTACATTCTTCGAATTCAATCTATAATAATAATTCTAGACATACAACTTACATTCTTCGAATCATTAAATTCTCACATAAAACTGTATTTTTTGTGCACTTTAAATTTTAACAGATACCTCACTCTTGTCTTGTCTATGGCAAAATTGCTTTTATTATTAGAGGATATAATTCTTACGAAAAACGATATGGCTTTCAACAAAGAAACTTTGTTACAAAAAATAGAATATGGAAAAGAAATAAGTACAGTGCAGACAAATACAGAACACTTTACTTGAAACGCATATCACCCTGGCTCCACTTATAAATTTCTTCCTCTTACTTCTTCTTCTAAAAAGCTTTGTTTTCTACAGCTGGACTTCCGTGTTGGGTGGGGGAACATGGACTTCGGCTTCACCGGCATCTGGCACTGGCGGTCACCCACCAACTTTGTGTACTTATATAAACTATACACACCTCTCGAAGGTTTCGAAGAGAATGGTTTAGTACTCAAAAACGTGTACGGTAATGGACTTGACACAGAGCTATCGCTGAGACTGTCCACTCATAAGGTAAGTGAATACTTATCTATACTTTTATTAAAAAAGCTGAAGAGTTTGTTTGTTTGGTTGAACGCGCTAATCTCGGGAACTATTGGTTGGTATTGAAATTTTTTTTACTGCTAGCCCATTTATCCCGGAAGGCTATAGGGTATAAAACATCACGCTACGACGAATATGAGTTATCATTATTGAAAAATGTTACAAAAACAGACAATGTATTATGGGAGATCGGGCTCGCCGCTCGGCTCAGCTAGTCTCTTATATTTATACTGAAATGTAAATCGTCCAATCGATAATTTTTGCTCTCTCTTTTTTTGCTCATCTTATAATTACTGTTGTTGTTATATTTTTCTTGATTTATAATGATTTATTTTGATAAAAAAAAATTATAAGACAGTAATTATCCCTCAAATTGGGGAATAAGATCAAAATGGCAAGGTTAACTTCAGACTGACTTTGACACCATCTAATCTTTGCATAATAAAGGAGCGGGACCATAATGTGTAGTTTTTGCCAGATAATAATCAGGCAATCATCTGATCTTCTATTTATTAATCATTCTTATGTGTAGGGTAGAAAAACCTTGTAAAATTGTGTACTTGAAGCATGCAATACAAAAATGTATCTTTTCATTTAGTTCGGAATAGCGATCCTTCTAAAAGATAACGGCAAGGGTATTCTGGACGTGGTGAAAGAGAAGTTGCAACACAACTCTACAGACCCAGCCGAAATGTTGATGATAGACAATTTCGACACGAGGGCGAAAGTGGTACTCGATACGTTGTATTATCCAACTATCACTTTCGATGGACGGATCATGAAGGTCAGTATAAATAAGACCCTATTAGAATACAAGAGCATCTTTTTATAATCATTTTTTTTACCTTAATAAAATTGACTTACGTCCTTCTATGTATAGAGTACTTTGACAACTGTAAAGTTTAGTTTCGAATAAAACCGATATTGATCTTCAAGAATCGATTCCAGAGATGGACGAACTTCATCGGACATGTTCGGACTTCATCGTTTTATTTAATACATTTTCATAAACACCAAAAGAAAGTACAATTTACTGCAATGAAATCACCTTAACTATTGAGATAAGATATTGGAATGAGAACTTCCTTCATATCGTATCATATTCGTATTATATATGTAGGTAATATAAGACTATTGTAATGTAACTTCTTATATATTTAAACATACGAAATTCTAGTTAAGTTATTTTCATGTGGATGTAATTTATCTAAAATACATATGTATGTTTAAATATATAAGAATGTTCATCAGTAGTCCGGTTACCATAGTACAGGCTCTGCCTAGTTTGAGATCAGACTGCCGTGTGTAAGATGTGTGAAGTTAAAAAAAAACAACTATAATGAGAGGTTAACATCCTCCACGTACCTACTATACTTATTAAATAAAACCAAAGTCGAGATTGAAAAGTTGTAATATTTTTGTATGTAAATAGTTTGTAGGTATAAATGGAGAAGACATATTCGAAGCTAATGCTACGCTGAACCTGCCAGACAAACCACCCATCATGTTAACCGATGTGTTCATATTAGAGGTGAGTGTTTTATTTGTCGTATTACAATACACACACACACACACACACATTGCCCTACAGTAGTACACAGGGGTCCCACAGTAGTACACACGCCTATTCAAAAGTAAGAACCATTGATCACGTTGATTGCTGTATTAATTCTGTGACATACTCGTATCTTGAAACGCACAAATTGAAAGTTAACTAGCCTACCGAACTAGTCAACCGGGCAATTTGGGAATTTGAAGTATGTCGAAAGGGTAAGGTCGGTGAGAGTAAAAATTAATGTTGTTGTATGTATTATCATCTGTGTATTGTTTTTTGTGAAGTGCTGTGTTTTTGTAATAGTTATGAGACTTTGTACCTTTTTTTTTTTTTTCCCTGCGGAAATCCCCTCGGATACCACCTGTCGGTCCCATGTCGGACACGAACCGACTAAAACCGCACGCCGTCGCCGGGTACTAATAGCCGGGGAACCAGGTATACCCTAGAAAGGAAGTCCCTGGTGCCCCGACATACCTCGGGTCATCTACAGACGAGTAGACGACCCCCCCCCCCCCCGTGTGGGAACCCCATGTTCCCTGTGCTCCCTGGAAGCGAGCGCGCTTCGCAACGCGCTCGCCGCCACCCCGGCCTGATTCTGCTAGGGTGACAGATGGCCTCACCTGTCACCCCCAGGCCTGCGCTTATGGAGGACGGAGGTCGTTCTGCGACCTCCGGCGCCTGAGTCGCCTGCGGTGCCTGGCCCGTTCCCGGGCCTGGCGGGCCGGGAGAGTCCTAAACCTCTCCCGGTCCCGCTCCGCCGTCTCCTTCGCGAGCATAACTTGCTCGCAGAAGGAGACGGCAGAGTTCCACGCACTCTCGCTCCGCACGATAGCCGCAATCAGGCTATCGAGCGAGAGAACTCCCACTCCGATGGCCGCTACGAGGTCTCGCCTCTGGTCAACCCACGCCGGGCACTCTGCCAGCGTGTGGAGAGCCGTGTCCACGGTCTGGCCATCGCAGTGGTGGCACTCAGGCGTTGGCTCCTTGCGGATCAGACACAGGTGATCCAAGAAACATCCCTTCCCAGTGATCACCTGCGTCAATCGGTATGAGAGGGACCCGTGACGCCTCTCGAGCCAATCCTCCATAACGGGTCTTACCGCCGCGATGACGGCGGGCCCGGCGCTCGGTTGCCCGAGTCGTTCCCTCCACTCCCCTATGATGACCTGGCGGAGTTGGGATTTCCGGTCATCGATTTCTCGAATCTCGGGGCATCGACCCAACTCCCGCGCCTCCTTGCGCCACTGATACAGAGCCGCAAGGGCTCTCGCCTCCAGGTCCCACGGTGGAGTTCCGGCCAGGAGACTCGCCGCCTCAAAGGAGATCGTGCGGTACCCCCTTATGATCCTAATGGCCAGCACTCGCTGCGGTCGTCGCAGTATCGCGACGTTGCTGGCCTTCAGGGCCCCCGCCCATACTGGGCACCCGTAAAGGGCCATGGAACGCACAACCCCCGAGTAGAGTCTCCTGCAGGAGTCATCGGGTCCCTTCATGTTGAGCAGCAGCCGCGCCAACGCACGCGCTGCCCCAACCAACTTGGGGACCAGACATCGGAAATGATATCCGAAGTCCCATCGGCCATCGAGTACGAGCCCCAGATACCTGATCGAGGGCTCGATGCCGATGCGAGTGCCTCCTACCGTGAGGCTAGATCCCTCAGGCGGCTTCCTCCGAAGCCCGTGGAAGAACAGGGCCTCGGACTTGTGCAGAGCCACCTCGAGACCCAGCCGCCGGATACGCTCAACGACTTGGGCAACCCCGGCCGTGGCCCTCAGGGTTGCCTCGTGGTGCGTCTTGCCGCGCGCCGTTACGAGTGTGTCGTCCGCGTAGCACACGACGGCGACACCATCCAAGAAGGCACCACGAAGCACCCAGTCGTAGCCGATGTTCCACAAGAGTGGCCCTAACACCGACCCCTGCGGAACACCGCACGACATTTCACGCCTACCGAGACCGGTCCTACTGGGGTAGACGACGGCTCTCTCCGACAAATATGCCCCGACTATGCGGCGGAGGTAGAGAGGCACTTCGTGATACACGAGCGCCTCCCTGATGCAGTTCCAGGGCATAGTGTTGAACGCGTTGGCGATGTCCAAGGACACCGCCAACACCACTTCGCCCCGGGAGACTGCTTCCTCCGCCAGAGCCCTCACGCGCATGATCGCATCCACGGTGGAGCGCCCCTGACGGAAACCGTACTGGCTGTCCTCCAGATCCGGCCCAACCATCACGAGATGCTTGACGAGGCGCCTTGCAATCACTCTTTCAAAGAGCTTGCACACCTCGTCAAGCAACACTATGGGCCGGTAGGCGGACGGCGAGTCCGCCGGGCGCCCCTCCTTTCGGATGAGGACCAGTTTCCCCGTCTTCCACAATTTCGGAAACTGGCCCCGCTCGAGGCATGCGCTGAAGAACCCTCGCAGTCGGGGCTCGAGAGCCTCGTCGACTTAGGCCAGGACCCACGCTCGGCCAGGAATGCCATCGGGTCCCGGGGCGGTGTTTTTAGCTTTAAGCCGTAACACCGCCACCCTTAGTTCCACCCCAGTGACCTCAGGCACGTCGTCGTCATCCACGTTAGGTGCCTCAAACGCCGGAAGCGGAGCCATCTGTGGCGGAGTATGCTCCGCCACTCGCGTTGTGAACAGGGAGCCAACGACCCTCTCAAGCAGCTCTGGCTGAAGACACCGTGTGAGCGGCGGGGCCCATGGGCGCATCTTGCCCCTAACCATACGGTAGGGGCGTCCCCACGGATCCCGCTCCAGCGTCTCCAGCATCTCGCGGCGGGCCTCGCTCTTGGCCCGCTTTATCGCTGCCTGAAGGGTCCTCTTGGCAACCCTGTAACCCGCTAACAGCTCCGCCTCTCTCGCTGCCGCATCTTCGGGGCGGCAACGCCTCCTGCGGAACCTGGACCACTGGCGGCGCGCAGTCACGCAGGCTTGACGCAGCCGTGCGATCTCCGGCGACCACCAGTAGACCTGGCGCCTCGCAATATTGGGCTGAGCCCTAGGCATCGCCGCATCGCAGACGCGGGTCATGACCTCCCGGAACCACTGTGCCTCGGCATCGACGTCGACAGGCCTGTCCGGCGCAGGAGCCCAGGCCTGTACGATGGCGGCTTCCAGGAGGAGGTCGCGATCTAAGCGCTTGAGCGCCCATTGTGGTTCAGGTGGTGCCGGTCTGACCGGCGCGCCATCTGTAGGGGCGGAGACGTCAAACCGAATATATCGGTGATCCGAACCTGTCTCCTCCCCGACAACGACGCGCCAGCCCTGGACACGACGCGCTAGCGAGGGGCATGCGAACGAGATGTCAACGATCGAACTACCCCTCGCCGTCACGAACGTGGCCACGGCCCCCCGGTTTAGGAGAGCTAGGCCGAATCTTTCAGCCCAGTTCTCCAATGCCCTGCCCCTCGGGTTCGTGCGCAGGGAACCCCAAGCCTGCGACCAGGCGTTGAATTCCCCCAGCACAAGAACCGGGTGGGGGCGACAGGCATCGACGACGACGGCCAGCTGAGCGAGCCATTGCTCGTACTCAGTTAGGTTTCGGTTCGGCGTGAAATAAGCGGCCACGACCGCTATATCCCCAACTATCGCCGCTACACAGCCCCGTCCCCTTGCAACTACTGCAAGAGGTGGAGTGCCGGCTGCGGTACCGTGCACCAGGGCCGCCGTGCCGTCCAAGTCGGTCTCCCAGGCAGGCCCGAGAAACCGATGGACACAGAGTCGTCCAGGCCCGTGATGCGAACTTCGGCGCATTTAGTGGGCCCGGACACTCGGACGTCAGCTGCATCCAGTGACTCCCTCAGCTTAGCCGCTAGGGCATCGGCTTTGGGGCCACTGGTAGCACCGGCGACCTCGAGGAGCCGGGCTCCCGTCCGTGTGTTTTTACACCGGACGCCCGGAATCTCGAGGGCTTTGAGGTCCACGTTGGCCTTGACTTTCGTCAAGACCTCGGCGTACCCAGCGCCCCTCTCCGTTGCCTCCGCCGTCAAAGTGATAACGACGGGCGAGGAGCGGGGGGCGCGGAGCTTCCTCGGCGCTCCCGTCGCGGCGGCGGCGGCGACCCTCCTCGGAGACTTTGTACCTTTTTTTTTTTTTTTTTCCGTTTTTTTTTTTGTGTAACAAGTCTCTCTTTTCAGCCTTTTTTTTTTTCCGTGCGGAAATCCCCTCGGATACCACTTATCGGTGGCATGTCGGACTCGAACCGACTAAAACCGCACGCCGTCGCCGGGTACTAATAGCCGGGGAACCAGGTATACCCTAGAAAGGAAGTCCCTGGTGCCCCGACATACCTCGGGTCATCTACAGACGAGTAGACGACCCCCCCCCCCCGTGTGGGAACCCCATGTTCCCTGTGCTCCCTGGAAGCGAGCGCGCTGCGCAACGCGCTCGCCGCCACCCCGGCCTGTTTCTGCTAGGGTGACAGATGGCCTCACCTGTCACCCCCAGGCCTGCGCTTATGGAGGACGGAGGTCGTTCTGCGACCTCCGGCGCCTGAGTCGCCTGCGGTGCCTGGCCCGTGCCCGGGCCTGGCGGGCCGGGAGAGTTCTAAACCTCTCCCGGTCCCGCTCCGCCGTCTCCTTCGCGAGCATAACTTGCTCGCAGAAGGAGACGGCAGAGTTCCACGCACTCTCGCTCCGCACGATAGCCGCAATCAGGCTATCGAGCGAGAGAACTCCCACTCCGATGGCCGCCACGAGGTCTCGCCTCTGCTCAACCCACGCCGGGCACTCTGCCAGCGTGTGGAGAGCCGTGTCCACGGTCTGGCCATCGCAGTGGTGGCACTCAGGCATTGGCTCCTTGCGGATCAGACACAGGTGATCTCCGAAACATCCCTTCCCAGTGATCACCTGCGTCAATCGGTAAGAGAGGGTCCCGTGACGCAATGACGGCGTGCCCGAAGGAGACTTTGTACCTGCAATGAAAAAATATTATTATATGGACGAATTGAGAAGTATACGCAATAGCTCAACCAAATGTTACTCGGAATTGAACTAGTTGCTAAGAAATAATAATAATTTATTTTTTAGGAGTACACAGTAATGCGCAACACACTGAATCTGGTAACTCCATTCCAAGCGGTAAAAGAGCTGAAGTCTGTTTATACTGTTGATATAATGATCGGAGAGAAGATCAATGTGACCTGCTTAGTGTTGTTATATAATGGCACTTATTGGCATGAGGTAAGTTGAGAATATAAATATATCCTTCAAGGAAGTTTTTTGGCTTATTGATTTTAATATAAAAATTCAACATTACGTTACTACTATTTTAATAATATAAGCCTTGTAAGCTTTAGGTTGCAGTTTAGAATTCTACCGATTTCAGCACAAAATATATTAGTAATTTTGTCTATATACTTATTTGATATTCGATAGGCTACAGTAATAAAAGTACAGTTAATAATTTAATGAATATTAAATTTAATTTACAAACAACGTTACGCAAACTTTTTTAAATAACCCCGTATAAAAAAATAAAAAAAAAAAAACTCAAATGATGTGTTTTGTAAATATGAATATTAAATAAATTCCAAATGAGAATAACAAGTCCGCCGCTTACAAGAAAACAAGGCTAAAAGCCAACCTTCCTTTCAGATATCGAGCAAAATATTCTACGAGTACGAGTGCGGCGAGGACGACACGTACCAGTCGTACGTGGCGTCGGTGGGGCTCGCCACCCCGCTGGGCGTGCTGCCCGCCCTGGACGCGCGGGTGGCCGCGCGCCTGGAGGACGCGCTCTGGAAGATGAGCGCCGACATCGGCATGCCCGCCTTCACTATCACTGCGCTCGCTAGCCTGGAGGTAGGGCCGAGTACCTTATAATAGGATTCAAAGAATTCATTCTCATAAGAACTTACAGTACACTTACAATCAGATATATTTTAATTCATCGACAGCCTTTAAATAGTCAACTCTACACGTCCACATAGGCCTCTCCTTAAAAAGAAGGTTTTGACCTACTATACCAAGGTAGCCAGACGAGTTGGTATAGGGTTAAAGGGAAAAGAGCGGACTCCTTCCTAAAAGGCCTGAGTTGCATGCGTTCGTCTGCCCCCTTTTCCATAAAGATAAATTTAAAACAAGTCGCTTTATTTACGTACGGCCTGCTCATTATGGCATTTTTAAGGACTCCTTATTATTTGATCTCTTTTTTCTGAAAATGTCTGATAACAACAAAATTGTGCTTTACGGCATACAAATCTTAGGTAGACACATAGCACTATGCAGAGAACGAAGACAAATTTGATGTACTTGTCAACAAAACTGATCATTTTTAATAATTTCTTTTTTATTTAATTTCAGCTTGACGATCCATTTGTAGAAACTTCAGGTAGTTTGAACTTAACATCCTCTTACTTAGAGGACTACTTTATTAAGATGCAGTTTAAGAAGGATTTCTCTGACGTGGAGAATGTTGTGGGTGGGGGGATTCAGATACAGCAAGGAGAACAAAATAATTATGTAAGTATATAGGACAACTTATACTTAGGGAATACTGAAAGTGTCTGGATTCCAATAAGTAAAACTAGATATAAGACTCACGATACATTTATTGTTTCTCAAATTATATTCTCTTGCAATTAAAGCATTTTTGCATTCGCTGAAATCACAACAGTTGTCTTCCTTAGGTACTTCTTAAATGGCTTTATGGAACGCCTTCACCGCCGCGGAATGTGAGGATGCGTTATCGTGGTAAAGGAGGACAGAACGCTTTTCGCGAACTTTTTCTAAGACTTTGTCAAGCAAGTGTTGTCGTACCTATCTGCACCTACTGTCCTTTGATCTTCAAGCGATACTGTAGTGTAATGTCCTGATTTGCCGAAAAAAGAAGCAACCATTTTTTTACCAATGCTTCGACTTTTCTTAACCTTGGTCGGCAAATCTTTAAAAGGAAAGACTCATTCTGCCGACTGGCTTTTTCTTTCAAGTTCAATTAGTCACCTTTCACGGTATTATAGACAGCCAATGACAGTCCTCCGTTAATCTTTTTATCATTTTACGGCACCACTGGACACGTAATCGCTTCTTGTCCTCCATTAAGTCATGCGGTATTCATCGAGTGCAAAGCTTCCGAACCTTCAGATGCATATGTAAAATATTTTGCACTTGGCTCATTCCAATGCCTAACAAAGCATGAATTTGCTGGCAAGTATTTTTTTGTCAGTTTTAACAACTTGTCGCATGGTGTCAATATTAGAGTCTGTAACCGCAGTCGCCGGCCGACCTTCACGTACCTTGTCATGGAGATAATCACGTCCACGTCTAAATTCTCCAAACCACAATTACACAGAGCCAAAAACTTAAGCCAAAACGAAAATCATAAAAAAACATTAAACGCAAATGTTCACGAGTTAAATTTATTTTCATAGCGACAACGATTTTCGAAAGGACGTCACAATGAAAAACAAATGACAGTCCTGCAAATTAAAAAGTAACATGTTCTCAAAGAGTTCCATTCTCGAATTCCATAATTGTTTTTTCTTTTATTGTAAGTGGCCAGATCCAGAGACTTTCAGTATGCCCCACGTATAAATAGATCACACACCCTAGTAGATTCCTCACATCCTTAAAGTTTTATATAAATTATTATTTGTGTAAATATTATTAAGTGTGTATGTAACTCAGCAAGTATACATGTATGTATATTTCAGTACGTATGTATGAACCACTGTTTCTGTCCATCTTCTCAACTATTATTTTCTCTTTAACAAAATACCTAACATCTAGTGCACCTAGACAGACATTTCCCGACCACCACAAAGGTAGACTGGGAAAAAATGCCTGACGTGTTAATTCCGCCATTGTGCAATCGTAAGTCGTGCTTAAAGTATTAAAATAAAATAATCATATAACATCTATAGAGATGTAAAAGTAATAGAGCCTAAAAGGTCGTTAACGATGACTTTTATAACTCGTAAAAGTATACATTTAACTTATTGTCTATATCGGCAAAATAAGGATACGTGTAAATTCTTTATTTATCTGTTTATTTTAGCTGTTCGCTGACGTAGTTTGGCGTCCCGCACCATCCCGACACATCCGCTTCAAGTCCAGCGGAGCATTGGCCCCAGTGTTGTCCCCTTCGGAACTCAACCTACAATACAACGAGGAAAACTCTCAGCGAACTCTTACAGTGGACTTTAATAGTGAAGACTATTATTATTCGATAAATGCTGATCAGAGTAGAACGTCACTCAGTGTTGCGCTTAGCAGCCCGCATAAAGGGTTTAGGTAAGGTGTTATCAAGTGTATAGAAAGCTTTGTATAAAACTAATTTATCAATGAAATTGGAATACTTAAATCATGCTTTCATGACTACTACTCTTTAATTAAATAATGTGAAAAATACAAAGTTACAATAGTAGTTTGTATTGTTTAACTTGTAATTATTATTTGTAATATATATACCAAAAAGGTATGAAAATCAACTACTTAATGTTAATGTCAGGGAATAGTGATAAATAATAATTAGTTTCAAATGTAAAAGGGTCTTAACACCCTCTATGTACCCCTTTTACTTATGTAAGAAAATATTTAAAATTTAAAAAGAAGCCAAAATAATTGTTTTAGTGTTCAATAGTTTGTAGTTGTAGTGAAGTTCGGTAGACCAAATTGAATGAACCTCAAAAGGAAGTATTTAAAATGATGGTGCTAATTACACAATAAAATATAACAATGACTATTTGATTACAGAGCAATGAAAATCATATGTGAAATTTATAAAGATGATATCAGGGGATCCTTTGTCACGGATACTACAGAGTACAACATCAATGGCAAAGTGTTGAACAGGAAAACACTCGAAGTAAGAAAAACCATTAATATTTAACTATGGTTTGAATTTGTGTTCCCATTTGGCGTATCACCAATGTAGTCATTTGAAAAATGAATAATAATTTATTACAGGACAGCTATCTATAATTCATAAATTTACCTCAAAATACTACTCTCTCTTACTAAAATTTTAATTGTAATTTTTTTAATTGTAAATAATGATTTAGTATAAGGAGAACTATATGTTCAAATTTTGTGCTTTTCTGACCTATTCATGCGATTGTACGCATATCTCAAAACTCCGACTTTCGATCAAACTTTTATATTTTATTATCAATGCACGATTCATTTGCCTGCTCTTTTTATTTCGAATATATGTTTTACAATTACTAAAACGTTCTTAAGGTTTCATCAATAAATTACGACATGCCTTAAAAGAGCCGTCATGCCTTATATACCACATATAAAATACCTCTGACCCCCTATTCGCAACTTTATTTTGTTGACAGATATCTCTAGTCCTAGTCCCGAAAGGCCAAGGCGACACCATAAACATCCGCATCAAGTACGACGAGACACCGACCGTGTACACCATGTCGGCGCACATCGCCGGGACTATGAACGCCACGTTACACGCTAAAGCCGAAGTGGAGGCTAACTTTACCGATATTAATATTAAAGTATGTATTTTTTTCTGTTTATTTTTATTGTTTGAAATTGAAAGTAAGGAAATAGATATTTTATGTAAGAGAACATTGGTTTTCTTTAGATTTGTAAGTCATTTAAAATTGAGATCAGTGTTGGGAACTAGTTATATTCGTCATATTCTTCCAGAATACAGGCTTTTTAAAACTTACATCAATCTTTCAATAGTTTACCAATTATAAGTGTTTTCTGGTCCATGGGATATATGACTATTTAGTCTAATTGTTTAAATGTATGTTTTTATAGCAAAATAAAGAATTAGCTGTATAAAATAATACTTTTAATGTTTTTAAAATTGAAACTGTATATAATATTCCACCAGTGTTGCTGCATTTAATAGGTATATCTAAGGTAAATCTTAGGAAGTAGATACATCCTCAACAGAATAGATTTTCTAAGACTCTTTAGAACGGACGATACTTCGAAATGCATGTTACCCCATTTGTTATTTTTTACAAAACAGAATTAACATATTTTTTTATTCACAGTTAGATATACCCCATTCCAAATACAAAGATATATACTTTAAATCACGAGTTGACAACTACGAAGGGCTTCGCAAAGTGCTGAGCGTGCAGGCAGCCACACCACTGGAGAGATTAAAATATGTTAAAGGAGATACTGACTTCTTGTAAGTGTCAATACGTTTCAAAATCTAATATCAAACCTTTAAATACTTTAAATTTTGGTATGTTGTACAAAGGCAGTAGCTAATTCACAATAAATTCTATAATTGACTGTTCAGTCAAATCCGTTTCTTTTTACGAGACGTCAAAACGACACGTTTTTTATAAACATACGAATTAATAACGAATCAAAATGTTGCATTTCATTTCATGAAGACTGTTTAATAACTTATTTTAATATTAGATATATTATTAATCTTAATAATATCTTTTGGTTACCGTGTTATTAGAGTGTCTAGGCAAAAATATTTTTCTTAAAATTTCTCCATGCCCAGTGCTTCACTCCTATGCGTCGTAGCATAATGTTACATGGGCTTTAATCCTCCTCAATAATAGTTCTGTCCAAGGCAACAATTGCGCAGTAATTCGGGTCATAATAAACTGTTTTCGCTCCCAGTACAAATGATATTTTATATGACAAGTATGTCATTGTGCTACAGTTATGAGACGAGTGCTATGGTACTACATATTTTTTTATCTCAGGTTCGGTCCTAAGACTGGCTACCTGCTTTGTAAGTACGAATTACCCGAGATGCGTGGCCAAGGCGATCTGAAATGGAGCTTCTTACTTGGAGATCTCTTTATTAAGGTAAGTTAATATTAACTTATTGGACAAAATATTCATACAGATCGGCATTAAAGATAAGGTAGTTACTGTAAATGGCTCTTCACCGACATAGGCACCGTCCTGTGACGTAATTAATTCTGTGTCATCTTTGTATGTACACACGCTGTATGTACTTTTTAGTAATATTTTCTTATACTCCGTTTAAATATTACGTTGTTGCATATCTTTTACATGCAAAATTTCCAAACAAACACCAGACATGTAATTTTTCTTATCTAATAAAACAGTCGAGAGTAGAAACCAATTTTTTTCCTTTTCACTGTTACGCCAGTTAGGTGAAGACCCGTAACACTTTTTACGCGGTAAAAAAGTTCAATGTTTGTAATATAAATTTGTTATTTTTAACGAGAATATAGGGTTGTTCAAAATTTATTATTTTTAACGAGAATATAGGGTTGTGCAAAATTTATTATTGTACTTAAAATGTATCCCGTTAACAAGTTCAGATGCTTTGTATCAAACAATAATTAATTTAGATTCCCATTTTCAGGTTACATTATCTGATACAAATATACATATACAAACAAAGATTATTTGATTTTTTTTTTAAACTTTCACTATAGAAAAGAGGGGGAGTGTATGTTACACACCTTCATCCCTATTTAAGTTAAACTAAATAAATTCATAATAATATAAACTTGAAGAATATATTCCGCCGCTAAGTGTTATGCAGAAAATAACTGTAATAAGGTTATTACAATTTATCATGCTTAAAGCCCTTTTTAAATAAAACCGTCGTATTATTTACACGACGCGTGTTGTGTTATAAATATTGACAAAACAAAAATGATCCTTATTCTCCAGGCGTTAGGACACCAGTATGTAAAGAATACAGAGAAGAGCGTGGACCTGGACATATACTTCGGGAACAGCACTACACCTGATCAAATGCAGACTACTGACGCTGGTTTCAAAATGGATTTGGATCATGTTTGGCAGTTAGTGTTTTATAACCTCTTTATTACTGCTAGTTATGATTAAAATCGGCTAAAAATTGGCAAGAATTGTGTTTTATGATTAGAAAAGTCATATTTTCTGTATATAAATTGATTTGATGTGTAAATGATATAAAATCAATTTTTTAGATACTTGTTTATTTTCATGCGCTTTAAAGAAACTTTTTTCTTAATTATGCTATGCTAATTACCCGATTGCGGCTGAGGCTAAAATGTTTTTCGAGGTTATGAATATATATTTATTTGGCACGCTTTGTAGCCTTTATGGATTTCGGCGTTTGAGGTGTCGTTTTAACGCAATCAGGTTTCTTTTTGTTTTTATTTTAATAAGTTCATTTCTTGATTATTTGTATAAATTTTGTACTTCAATAACAACTAAAAAATCTTTGTCTCACAGAATCGGCGCCAACGCATCATTCGGCTACATAATGAGCAAACGTATAAACCTCATCATTAACGCCATCTTGCCCAAACCGAACGTGGACGTGCACACGCTGTACATTGCTGCAGACTTGGGTACGCCCACCGAGCCACTGAAAACAATGGAGGCACAGTACAGGACTGACGTCACTAAGATCGTAACAGGAATAAAAGGCAATGTAAGACCCATAATTATCTTATTCATTTTTAGCGTTCCGTACCCAAAGGGTATGTGTTATGATGTTTGTAAATATTAGTTAATATACGGAAGTAGTAAATGCGCACCACACGCTACATTACTATATAGTATAGTCCATCTAAAGGTTGCCTGGAAGAGACTGTTTTTTTTTGGTATGTATCATCGCATGTATCCTAATTATGGTGTGCAATAAAGAGTACCTATCTATCTATATATCTAAGAGACCAAGGTATACATTTGACCATTATATGACCATGTTGAAGTGGTCAATGATCACAAACCGCATAGGACGACACTTTGTGTGATCCACAAATTGTTGTTCTAAGTCTGGGTGTTCTTTGTGTCCGTTTCATGTATGTTTGTAAAGTCCCCCGTGACACAGGATATATTCCTAATGCGGGAGTCGTCTTTTCTAAAAAAAAAACTGAGTCAGCTTGTCGGTTAATTCATTAAAGGCTATCGGTCGCGTTAATTCACGCAATAATAGTTATGTCTATTTAAAATAGATATCTAACAAATTTCATGCACTTGCACATCTTCTACTTTTAATTCAAATGAAAATTATTTATTAATTTAAAAAAATACTAGATTTTAATTTCAAAAACTTTTTGTTTCTTCTATTTGTTATTTTTTCTGGTTATAGAATGTTGAATTGAAAAAAATTATCAAATCTTTTATTCCAGATCCTCGAGCTACCTGAAAGCATGGATACAAATTCAACCATCACGTGGACATCGAATTCCGGATACAAACACATCGATAACATAGTCAAGTATCAGTGGGACGTAAACGGGTCACACCACATCGACTACACCCTATCCTCGCCCATGTACGAAGACGTAGCCACGTTCAAAGTTAAAGGCTCCTATCAGAAGGATATGGTACATAATTATCATATTGTCAAGTGAGTATACAGAACACGTTTGATCTTTCCCTCCTCCGCCACATAAAAGGGGAAAATCCACTCAATTCTTTTTTTTTTCAAAAAAGACAGATATATAATGTGTAATTATTTGGCAAATAAAAACACTGTTACTAATACTAATTATCCCGGAAACATATTTATTGCGGGGTGCAAGACTTTTTAGTTCGGATTTGTCTTCTTAGGTTTTAGCTGTGATCCTATCTCGGTATATAGTAGCATTCTGTAATTCTATACTGAGCAGGTTTACAGTTTGTATTTTTATGTAAAGTAGTTATATAAACAAGATAAAAAATCACTAATACTTGTATATTTGATGTATTGAATGTCAATACACACAGTACAGCCAGAGGTCGTGGGTTCGATTCCCACTTAGGACAAATGATTGCGTGATGAGCACGAGGTTTTTTCTATGCCTGGGTGTACTTTATCTATAATGTGTATGTATTTAGAAGTATATAAGTATGTTTATCAGCAGTCTAGTTCTCATAGCTCAGGCTCTGCCTAGTTAGGGATCAGACTGTTGTGCGTCACATATGTGCAGTTATTATTATTAATAAATAAATCTTATACTAAATAAATCTTATAATAAATAAATCTTATACTATACTATTTACTTATATCAATTGTTCGCAGAGGCTTAATGCACCAACCAGGCAACAGCCAGATCGGCGAGATCGACCTCCGTTACGGCGGAGTCAAACACACAGACGGGCACTTCAACTTCACAACACCCTTCCAAAAGTTACCCTGGCTAAAGTCTATATTTGATGTAAGTTTTAAGAGGTTTCAAATTTAAAAACTTTTTATTCTATGTGTAGCCAGCAGACGGAATAGACTTCAGGCTCGCAGTTATTCTATTTTTGTGCTATTTAATATTTATAATCCATAGCATTATTATATAGCATATTATATTCTTTATTTATCATAAATATGCTTCATAGTTCTAAATTATATAATTCTAAATTTCGTAGCCAATATTCTATAAATAGGCGTACAAAAATTTTCATCACATACATAGACTACACAGTATATAGATTATTGACTTCAAAAACAAGCTGTCATTACTAAATTATTATATCTTGGTCCACAGATTGATAACTTAGAAGAAAATTCAGACAATAAGATCGAGTTATTTTGGCCAAACAAAACCGCTGCCGTGAACACAACACACCGGTACAACAAACAAGACCAAGGCTTCAAACAAAGGGGACAAATCTCCCTTTCCATTCCATTGAACTCTCAGCATTTAGTTAACACCGAATATTATTACATTCAAGCTGACAAATGGAGCAATGGAAACGCTACAATCGACTTGGATAAAGAGAGATTCGTAAAAGGATCTTTTAATCAGATACTTAGTAAGAGTGTCAGGGATTTAGACCTTGCTACAACGGATATAGAGGTGGAAAATGTTCATACACCAGTTGGTGTTAAGTATATTCATGAATATGATAATACTGGGAACACTGTAAGTACTTTAAATTAAACTAGTATTTTATTTCTTGGCAAAACTGTTTCTTTATGTCACTAAAGCTCGTAAATAGCTACTAACAAAATTGAAATTCTGTTGACAAACATTGGAAAAAATGGTACTGAACTCTTTAATCTTGGCCTTATTATATTTAGATTGTTATTAAGCTGCACATTTTTAAAGTTGTATTAACCCAGTTTAAATAAAGCCCCAGGTCTTTTAATAAATCATTAAAAGTCCTTTAACTAAACAGATCTTGGGACGAAAAAGCTGTATCATGCATAAAGACATCTCAAAGATTGTTAATCAAAACCCGACATTTAAATCAAAAACACGATTGTTTTTTTTATCAAACATTATCTATTCTAGGATGTAAAACAAGCCACAGTATTCCACCTCCACAACGCAACAAAGTTCAACGTGACAGGCAAACTAGACGTGTTCACGTACGATATCGGCAAGGATATGAAGTTAACAGCCATCCACGGCAATAGAACATGGACGTTCGACAACAAATATGAAACTTTTGATAAAGAGCTGAAACAGGGCAGCAAAATCAAATGGGCCGAGGACGTGTGGTTTAATTATGATATACACGTTACTAATATGACTACAGTAAGTATTTCTGGTGTTTAAGAAAAAACTGTGAAGTTCTGTTATATATCTGTTATGTCGTAACGCTAGGTTAAGATATACGATAAAATGGGACTTCGTAGACGTTGTTTTCAACCCAGGGTTATTGGAGTACCCTACATTCAATTCTAAATGGTAAACTTTAGGGTTTACCATAAATATGATTATCACCGTAAACTCCGTCGTAAACAGCACTGGGTGATAACGAAAGAGGAAGAGATTTAGTGTCTTAATGAGTAGATCTATATGTCTTCACATCACATCACATCAACAGCCTTTGATAGTCCACTGTTAGACATAGGCCTCTCCTTAGAAAGGAGGTTTATGTCTTAATCTTTACATATAAAAATACTGGCTGATTCATCAACGCAGAGCCTAACCGCTCGGGCTACAAACTTTTTGATGCTTTTTATATTATTGTAAGCACCCACTGAAAGAGGATTTTTGGAAATTTCACCTCTAAGGGAATAAAAGAATTGATAAACTTTTGTATGGAAGTTCGTAATTTTCTAAGTTAGAAACATGAAATAAGGAATAGTCACACGAACGATCCCGCAGGCAATAGCTACTTAATATATTTTCATCAGCAAAGTTTACTAGTAGCAACTAATGTACATATTTATTATTTACTGCTCGTCCTTATTACTTAGCGCGGAATCGGAGAAAACCTTTGTACGTTTCTGGTAAATGTTTCTTTAAATTCTAGGCAGAAACTGAATCTCAACAACTGAAAATGAACGTATGGTATCCTCTTCGCACATTCAACTTGGACGCTATATACAACCTGAAGGACACACTGTTAGATGGGAAAGCGCAACTGTACTGGAACGTGAGGGATGAAAATAAAACGGCAGAATTAAGAGGGCGATGGGATAACCCACCAGTGGCTGAAGGAAATCTGCATAATATTGATCTCTCACTCACGCATCCCTCTTTTAGGAAGGTAATTTCAAAATAATGTATGTTACATACATACATATATCTTTTTGGAGGGTAGGTAGAGATATACTAAGCACCTAAACTTAAGTTATAATTTTGTCTCACTTGAGCTTTTTTATCGTTTGGGCGATATGGGGCAAACGAGCAGACATGTCACCTGATGGTAAGTGACTACCGGTGCCCGCTGTATGGACACGTGCAACTCAAGAGTCACAAAGGCGATGCCACCCTTTTGATTCCTAGGGTATTCAAAGGGCCCTCCCCAGAATCAAGGAAAGAGAGGTTTAAGGTCATAGCTCATTAGACCCACCCGATACCCACCAGCACCACCTCGTTGCTTGGTGTCCACTTGTAGTCGACAGGTAGTCAACGAGTGGACGCCGCGTTGTCAAAAAGTGAACGTCAGGTGGTTCATAAGTAGACGCCGCGTTGTTAACCAGTAAATGTCCCGTGGTCAACTAGTGGACATAGCGTTGTCTGCGAATAGATTAGTAGTTTGACAGGGATCGTCACGTACTCGCGTGTGAACCACTCACGGACAGCGCACAATCCGTTCAAAACTGCGCGTGGACAACGCAAGACAAGAATGCGAGCAACGGGTGGTCACCAGTTGTCCACTCGCCGTCCACAAGTGGTCAACCCATGGGCGAGGCGTTCCGACGTTGATGTAGTCAGCGTATACCCATAGTACTCCATACAAAGAACAATAATCGCTCTAGGCGAGGCGGTGCTGGTCGGGTGTCGGGTGGCTCTAATGACCTTTAGGCTCCGGTAACTTCACTCTGTCTGAGCAAGTATGTTTATTAGCAGTATGGTTACCATAGTAAAGGCTTTGCCTGGTTTGGGATCAGACGGCCGTGTGTAACATGTTTAAGGTTATTATTTTTATAACTAGTATAAACCGACAAATTCTGAAAGCACTTTTTTCTCTTCCAGGACGTGACACTAAACGGTCAGTACTTAAGCACACCGTCAGTGATGTCGAACATTTCATTAGAACTTCAATACTCTGACTACGAAAACGAATACCTGAAGTTAAGGTCTATACTAACCGACAACTCCAACGGCCCAGTCCGGGACTACAGGTTTGCCCTGACCTGCAAACATCCTTCTACTCACTTAGACCTGGAAATGAAATCCGATATAAACATACACAGTAGATGGTACTACTTCAACAATTTCTATAGATTCCAGAAGTCTCTATTTTATCAGAAACTGAGGCATAGTAAGCTTTTGGTGGATATGGCAAACAGCGCTATTAATTGGGAGGTGAGTCCAATAGTTTTATATAATGTAAATCTTTAATATAAATAAATTTTTATTTAAAATTATTTAATCATCATTTCAATTCAACAGTTGTTTATGGAATACATAATTGGTCATATTGAAACATAAAACATTTTCTTTTTCATTCATAAGAATAAAATGCTTAAAACGTGGGTTCATGTTATAGTCTAATATAGATAAAACATTTTTACAGCTAGATATAAATAATTATTCCGTATTGAGCTCAGACTATATTAACGTCAAATATTAGTGACTGTATTTTGCAGTTAAATTAAGATCTAATTGCTAATGCAACCTTAATAGAGAACAGATAGGACTAAATATTTAAAAATCTCTTATATTCTTGTATTTCGATGGTTGTAGAAATTTAACTTCCACGACAGTTGTAATTAAATTAATGTCATTTAAAAAATATCTACTATGATTTCACTAGATTTGATTTTTTAAATTAATTATAAATACAATCTTAAGTATTATTTTGTGATTTGTATATTAAGTTTATCATTTATCATTTAAATTATTTGTTTGATTTGTTCTCGTAGCGGACAAACGAGACTTATTTCTATAAAGTAAATGGTACCTGGGAGCTCATATATCCCGAGTACAAGCTAAAGACGTTTGTGAAACGACCGACCGGGCAGGACACCGGCGTAGCCACGCTCTCCATGTTGGCCAAATCACTCGTGGCTCATTATAATAGTTCCGATGGTAAGTATCATTTTTATTTTATTTTTACTCAGTAGAAAGTTAAGGGGGCTCGTGCCTAAGTGTTAACCGAGTAGGTTAGCACATTGCAAAGTTAAGCAGTCGTAGCTGGTCATTGTATGGATGGGTGACCATTCTTAACACATGGAGACCCCTCCTTGCCTCGAAGAGCATGTTAAGCCGTTATCGTCTAATTCTGATCAGTAACTGGTGAATATAAAACTCTATTTTTTTTTACACAAGAAAGATAAAAGTTACTTATATACTTCTATCTAATTATAGGTATTGATACCTACAATAACTTTCAGGATTTCTGAATGTGTGTTTACTCAAGTTTTATAAACTTTCGACTGTACCTTTAATCTAGATATTTCTATACCTCACGAGAGAACAAAGTTTACTTAATGTTCCATACACCAACATTTTTATATAACGGCTAAAGACATAAGACTCTAGAATATTTGAAACTGAATAATTTGTTCCTTTTACAGATATATCATATCACATGGTGGGCCAAATAGTTGATACACGGTACGCAAAATTCAACTCATGGCGTGACTTTGATGAAATTACTACCGTCGACCTCGCCTCTTACATCCGCCTCAATCACTCCCGTCTCTTAACTAGCTCAATAAAATGGCGCCCCGAAATATTTAGCGAAGTGAAATCCACAGCGGTTTATACATTAAAAGTTTTATATGGACAGATAAATGATACCCTAATAATTATCAAAGAAATGCCAATGGAAGCTCACACAGCTTTAAAAGCTATTTGGACAGATGCTAAACCAAGAATCCGCGACTTTTTAGATGATTTGAACGACTTACATGTTATTAAAGATGATTTAGATGATTTCGAACGCTTTTTAAACCAATCTTATGGTAACAACGACTTCTATGTGAAAGACATAGTAGAATTTACTTACTATGTGCTAGACGAAATGGCCATACGTAATCATTTAGAAAGTTTGCCAGGCATCGTGAACGATATGTGGGGAATGATGGGTAATACAAGCCAGTCCATCAAGCAAAGTTTGACGTACATAGTCGATAGCATCAAGCATGCTTATACAAACTTTTTGGTGTCGGTCAATAAGGTGTTGGAAGCCGACTTCATGGAGCTTGTTTCGGAAAGATTGGAAACTATGATAATGCAGTACGATAGCTTCATAAGAGATCTGCATATGAAGCTTTTGGAGTATTGGGAGGAGACATGGGTGAATGCTACCAATCGGTTGTCCAAGTATTGGCACGAGTTACTCAAGTCCATAGAACCATTGTTCTTCAAAGTTCTGCATTATACTGAGTCGTTCGTATTCACTGTATGGAAAGGTGTTATGGATTTCTTCTACAATAGAACTCAGGAGTTGACCGATTCGCCTTATTTCAATTACGTTTCGACGTTTGGTCATGAAATGGATCGGTAAGTTTATATGTTTACTTTTACTTGAAAGGGCTTTTTTTGTCATGAACTCCCTATTCGTTATGAATATCAAAATCGTTTATTATAAAATATTTTTTGAAAAATAACTTTTCCATAAATGTTTTAAAAATATTTCGTAGGTTTTATAAAAAAGTTACCCCAAAGTGTTTCACAAACGCTATTACCTTTAATGGGGGGAGGTAGAGTAAGGCAGTGGCCTCCTGACATAATCTTTAATTTTTTTATCAATTTATTTTAATGAACAATATATACACATGTAAATTTAAGTTTAGTGAAGTATTTTACATAACATTTTTGACTCGATAAATCGACCAAATAATAATCTGCCTGGACCAATATTTTTTTTGCCTTGGGTGTTTGTTTCCGCCTAGGCCATACATAGGAACACCCATGGTCATGCCATCTGTTGTCTACTAAGACAGTTTTTTCTAAAATGTTCATTAATAGAACTGCAATTTGTTGCAACTTCATTTGTTTAAGTTGCAACAAATTGCAGTTCTATTAATGAACATTTATCATTGAGCTAATAAATCTATTTGAACTTGTATGATATGATGATTGTACGACACCCTATTTGACCTTCTTCAGGATCTACAAAGATCTAATGAACAACGACTTAATAACAAACATAAAGAAGTACAGCAAGAAACTGTTCAACGTCGTGTGGAGCAAAATTGAGAAATACATTCCGTTCAAAGACGAGTTTACAATACTGTACGCAGAGTTCAGAAATGCATGGCAGGACTTCTTGAAGATCAAACAGGTTGTCTATGTTAGGGAAAAGGTTAGTTAAATCAAGTATTGCTGTTAGAAATGCTGTTTTTATTTTTTAAGAGAAATCCATTGATAAACCGCTAAACTGTTGTGTTAATATGTGGTCTGTGTAAAACGCTAACTTGATGAATAAGTTTTTCGGTTAATAATAATATACATCAAACTTTTTTTAAATTCCAATTTCAAAATGTGTCTAGTCCTTTCGTATAGAACAATTTAATGAATTTTAACAAAATTGTCACAGTACCAAGAAGCCTACGTACGTCTAAAGTGGTGGTACGATTATTTCTTAATCGGCGAGGCGCTCGAGACTGTGGCAGATATACTATACGCGAAGGTCACTGATATGGCTAAAACAGCGCTGCAATATGAAGAACTGTAAGTTTTATATTATCTATACTAATATTATAAATGTTTTGGTGAATGGTTGTTTGTTACACAATCACGCCAGAACGGCTGAACCTAATTTGATGAAATTTGGTACAGAGATAAATCTGAGTCTAAAGTGGGACGTAGGCCTTTTCATTCCAGAAAAATCCCCCCAAACTACTAGTCTTTTTTTACCTTAACAATTTTGAGAAAGAAAGCAATATTTCAAAGGGTTGCCTTCTTCCTTAGCATTCCCTAAAATTTAAGTAAGAATCAATATTGCTAAATAATTACAAGCTTCTTTCGACTTGCAAATCCAAAATAAATTTTAACTGGTATATCTCAGATCCAACATATTATTACTCAAACTTTTTCCAGCCATCGCACCCCAAAAACGAATTTCATCTTCGACCCACGGACCGGTGACATAACCCTCGAACAGAAACTGCCGATGTCGTGGCACGCCTTCAATAGGACACCAGATTTCACCGAGATATCTGAGTACCGAGCTGTGAAGACCTTCATGGACGACTGGCTCACTACCAACAAGAGCATCTGGAGCTTCTACTACGATATCAGGCCCTACATGGACTTTAATAACTTGATGCCGCCTTTCGCTGGTACGTGAAAACTTCGCTGAGATTAAAATGTTCGATTTTTATAGTATTCACAGTTCTCACCGTCATCGCATGCAGTCATGCATGTATCTGTCAGGATATGTTCAGTTCGTGTCCGTGTGGTGCAAAGACAACACACAACAACAGCACTGCAAGGAGACGGAAAACTTGAAACAAACCCTATGCCAACTCATCGTGATAAAATACACCAAAATCTCCTTTCTAAGGAGAGGCCCATGTCCAACAGTGGACTAGTAAAGGCTGTTGATGATGATGCGTTCTATAAGAATAAAATGTACCTTTTGTTGAGACAAAACATAATTTCCCTCTCTTATACCCAAGTCTTGTCAACTTTTTCACACAAGTGCTTCATTAGTTTGCGCTTAATATTTGGGATGCATCCCCGATAAACTTATATATAACGCCTCTTCCTCTTTTATAATCACAACTGAAAGATTACTGTGCGACCATAAATATTAAAAAACTTTCTGTTTGCCTCTGATAGCAAAGTATTTTTAAAATGGATAGATTTTACTACTTACATGTATTATATTAATAAGCATAACGATCGCAGGCATGGCAATAATGACTGGCCAGGGCACACTAGCGACATTCGACAAACGGGTGTTCACTATATCAGAAGCAGGAACCTTCCTCCTGAGCAAGGACTACGGCCACGACAACTTCACCGTACTGATGGAGAGCAATGACCAAGGAAGATATAACTTAGTTGTATTGACCAGGAGAAACCTGATACATATCGATTTGTATAGAGAAGTAAGTTCGACAGTTATCTTATAACAAAGAAATTTGCACTGACATACAATAAATACAAATTGCTCCCTTGTTAAAATGTCATGTTTAAAAAAAACAATGTTTAGTACTTTTTAAACAACTTTATACTTCTTACACTTAGCGACATCTAGTGAACAGACTGAAGTACTTCATTATAACTGATTAATTTTACAAATCTAATAACACATGCTTTTCGTTTTGTAAAGTTGCAACATTTAAAAGGCTTGTTATTTTTCCTACACAAGTCATTTCTCGTACCTGGTACTTATATTTACTAATGGATTTAATAGTAAAATTCACAACTTCACCGATGGCTAAGCGCTAATAGTGATGGTTTTCATCCCTCAATTCCTGTAGAAAGTCCAATTCAAAAATTAAACAAAAATTAACCATGTCATGTTATGTAACTTATTTGCAGGAAGTGTCGATCGGTCGCAGAGTGCTCAGCCTGCCTGTCCTGGTTGACGGTCTCATCATAGACCGGCAGACCGACATCCTCGCGGTACAAGGATACAATGGCCTCGACATACAATGTAACCTTATGTTCCACACGTGCAAACTGCAAGTTTCAGGTATGTGCAAGAAAAAAAGAAAGAACAAATACATATATATTTTTTAAATTTGCAGGGTCTTGGTGTTGTGGTAAAAAGTGGAGGTTCGAGCCCTACTCGCCACACTAATATGCTTTTTGTTTTTATTTTGACTACACGGATGTCGTAGTGGTTTAAGCGGTCCACACGCCGCATCATACTGCGCCGAGTGTTTTGGGTTCAAACCCCACATGGGACGACACACACAAACGACAGTCACACAAAGTGACTCAGAAATTGTTGTTCTGAGTCTGGGTGTTCTTTGTGTCCGTTTCATGCATGTTTGTAAAGTCTGATTACCACGACAAGAAGTTTGATTACCTCCTTGAAATCGCACGAACTATACCCATCATGGTTCGTACGTTGGTATAAAACATAAAGAATAATAATATTTCAGGCTGGTATTATGGTATTCTCGGCGGCTTGCTGGGCACATACAACAACGAACAATACGACGACTTGCAGCTCCCGAACGGTACTTACACGGAATCGGTCCCGGTACTCGGCCACAGCTGGAATATAGTACCGACAGCTAACTCTACAGTCATAGATAACAAAGATTTGAAGAATGACACACAGTGCGATAAATTTTTCATGAACAAAGTGTCACCTTTGCATCCCTGCTTCTCTGTCGTAAGTAGCAATTGAATTCTTAATAAGAACTTTCTAAAAGACGAAGATTTAAACTGAACCTATTTAAAACTTGATTTCAAAGTAAGTAATCTTTAAACAATCATAATCTTTGGTTACCGATTACAGCACGGTGTGGCCCATTGACCCACTGTGGGTATTGCCTTTACTATTATGTATGGATATTGTGTAAATATTGCTAGGGTTAGGTTTGAAGTTCCTGAAATGACATTTAAATATTTGGCAACCAGATCTCGGCCACGCCCTTCTTCTTGGAGTGCGTGTCGGGCGGCGCGGCGTGTGCGCTAGCGAGCGCTTACCACGAGCTGTGCGTACACCTGCACGTGCCCACGCACATGCCCGACCACTGCCACCAGTACGTACACTCTCACTTCCTCTAATCTAACATACTTGCTTATATTCGCTCCTGCTCTATTCTTGTTTTTTAGATAAAAATCTTTTGTAACTGATTTCAATGTTTTTAGGTTTTACTTTTGTAGACTAGTATTAAAGCGTCGCGACGTGACGATGACAGACGTCACCCTGATTGGCGACGCTGATACCGATTCTCTTGTCTTTTGAGCATCTTTTGCGAATGTATAGTCCAGATTAAAAATGTTGAGCTTTGAATTTGTTTTCTTTTCATAAGGTGTACAACACCACAAGGGGACATAATAGAAGAAGGTTCCTTCCATATACTGCAATATGTGCCGAACTCTACCGATGTCGTATTCATAGTAGAAGCACTATACTGCAACAAAAACTTGCGTAAGACTAAAAACATGGACATGTTCATCGAAGCGTTCGATATTAAGTTGCAGGCTAATGGTTTATCTGATAACAGGTAATAAACATTTATTTAATTAAAGTATCTCTTACACACTTACATTAACTGGCGAATTACACACATGTAGATCGATGCGTCACTATTTTCTTAACGCGAATGGTCTATAAGATTGTACTTCCGCCAAAGTAATTCTTTCAGAAACGTAAATAGTCATTATATTTATAAAATAATATTTTTTGCAAATTCCTGTAAACAGGTACGCGATAGTCGGTTTCGGCGGGCGTGGCGTGTACCGACGCCCGCGCGCGCTGTACGTCAACAACAGGGTGTTCACCAACTCTATCGAAGTGTCGCAGCACTTTGACAACTTTGTTATTGGTAAGTCGATTATTATTCATATCAATAACTCAATACAAACAGTTAATCGATATACGCACCCTGTAAAAAGATCTAAGATTATAAATGAAGAGTGTTATTGTCAGATTTAAATTAAAATATTATTGAGTGTGTACACTTATTTAAGAATTAATTTGAAAAAAATCCTTAATAAGATTCAGCATGTTTTCAAGTACAAGTACATATTGTTTTCTGTATAACCAAGTGAACACAGTAACAGTAAATATAATTTAAAAAAATCGGAGTTTGGTAGCCCCCACATTTGTTCTAAACTGTGGTTTTTTTTAATAAAAATGAAATTAGCATACAACAGCTGGTATTATTATTCTGGTTACTTCTTTAAGAAGAAATAGAAATGCTTTCGTCTTTAATTAATGACATAAATATTCGGTTCATAGTTCTAAATATATTTAATACTAATAATCCGAACTTTCACAGACAAGTCTGACTTAGTCCGAAGCAACCGCACAGTCCGCACGGACATGTTCAACGCTCTGAGCTTCGCCACACGCTTGCCGTTCAGAGCAGCGGTGCCAAAAACCTTCGTACTTATGCCCTGCTCCAGATGTGATTCTGCTTTCATGAGGGTAAGGTTTTAGTGCAGTTCATTTATGAATATAAGTAGGTACCTCTTTAAGACGTTTATTTAAATTGATTATCAGGCTTACATTTTTACACGTAATACTTTAACAGGGGTAAAGGTGTTTGATTTATGTAAATTATTTTGAGGGATAAAATACAAGTATTCATTCAAAAGGCACATTCTCGAAATTAAAAAAATCATAGTTTTATATATTTTTCTTGGTGTTACTTGGGAATATTACTTATTACCACCACAGATGGACAAATGGCACAAAAGTATAGTACAAAAAAATCGGTCACTGAGAAAAACATACCCTCTGTCCACGTTTAGTAGCATTAATTATTAAGTTTGATTCATAGTTGGACTACTCGACGATATTCCACAACCTGATGGAGAACTCGGTGACGCTGCACGTGCTGATGGACGATGACTTCACCTTGTCTAAGAAGCGAGCCGCTAAATACTTGTTTGGTGAGTATTTGCACTGGTATAATTTTACTTATTATTTACTGGTATTATATTCATTTTGCTTTAATTTTAATCGACCCTTTACAAACCGACAATAGCAAAACATTTAATCTCTGCAGGCGTGGACAGTCAACTAGCGTACACAAATAAGGATTACGAGCGTTTGGTTGGTGATTCGGCGCTCAAAAAACAAATTAAAATACCGAAGGATAAGTTGGGACTTTGTACTTCACTTGCTCTAGAAACAAACGGTATGTATATAATCATAACATATGTTTACCGAACGTAGTTTTGATTTATTTAATAATCTAAAATAATAAATTTTATTGATTCTTTATACCATATAATACTGTTACAGTAATACGAGGGCTGCTGTTTATGTATCCGGAATAACATAGTGAAACAAAGATATTGCATTTATTATAGTTTTATTATCTTTCAAAATATTCGCCGTGATGATCGATGCACTTTTGCATACGTTGGAACCAATTTTCGTAGCACTTCTTCCATTCTGATTGTGGTATCTCCAAAACGTACATTTTTAACGCATCAACAGCCTCTTCATGGCTCAAAAAAATTTTCAAGTTGTGCGGAATCCAACGAGAACAAATTTCTTTTTAATGTAATATTTTAAATATACTTATACCTATTCCCAGAGACGCCTCTATCTCGCGATATGAAACATGACGATCTTGCATTATTAGTTCCCGCACAGCATCAATATGTTGAGGTACAACAACCGATTTAGGGTCTTTAAATTCGTCCGTGAGCACAGACCGCCCTCGATTAATCTCACTAAACCAGTGACACACAGTTGTTTGTGGTACTTCGTCCCCAAAAGTCGAAGTGAGTTGATCAATGCAATTTTGAGTAAAAATAATAAATCATAGCACGAGTTAAATCCATAGTCATTAAGACACTCAATTTTCAAAGGATAAACAAATGACAGCTACATGAAACAAATTGTATTCTTTAGCCAAAGAGTTCCATTTTTAAATGTTATAACTACTTTTCTAATATTGTTCTGTAACTGGCCAGTTCCGGATACATAAATAGCAGCCCTCACACTCGTAGCAGGGGTTTGTAGATCAAAATAATATTTTACATAGAAAATAGTATTCTTCATTTTCTATGTGCCAGAATTAGAAATGTATGCAAGTAAATGGCTTTTATATTGACCTTTTTTTTTTTCTCTTTATTTACGGAGCTTAGCCACAATGATGACTACGTCGCTCCATCATAGCCATTTTTTGTTTTAAAACTAACTTAAATATTTAAAATACAAGGTATAAATATCATTAGCTGTATCCGTCAAAGGACTGGCCAGGATGCTGTTACATCTTCCAATGTCCATCAACTTATCATTAAGCAGACGTTCTCTCAGTTGTTGGTTCCGAACACATTCCATCAAAACATGTTCTACGTCCTCTACCACACCACAGATTTCACAATTTGGCGTAGATGATAAACCCATTAAAAAGGTGAACTTTCTGGATGGGATGTGTCCAGAGCGTAACCTCATAGCCGTTATCAATTTATGTCTACTCAAAAAACAGTTATCAATCCAAGGGATAGCCAGCGGTTCAGGTTGTATAGTTTTATACCAGATACCCTTTTCGGTTGATCTTTTATCGAAATATTCTTTCCAGGATTTAAAACAGTATTCTTTTACGAGATATAGGCAGTCTGAATAGTAAGGCAGTATTGAAATATATATACCTTCAGAACAAGCCTGCTTTGCAAGTGTGTCAACCATTTCGTTCCCAGTTATACCAATGTGAGATGGAATCCACTGAAGATGTACTGTTTTACCGCTCCGTTCTAACTCAACAATTTGATTCATAATTGTGTATGCTATCGGTGTTCCTCGAATTGTCGAGGTACACCGAGCTACATGTAGGAGGGCACTTTTAGCGTCAGTAAAAATAACGAACTTGTCATGGTCAATAGAACGAATGTAAGATAACGCTTCACTAATAGCTATTAGTTCAATACACATGATCGACATTTTTACCCTAATTCCATAGCGCGCGAATGTATTTTGCTGAGGATCGAAGAGGGCCGCCCCCGCACCACCTTTTTCTGTCGATCCATCGGTAAATATCTGGTAATAATTCGGAAACCGAGTATCCATATAATAAAAACACAAATCTCTCAAAACGGATGTCCTGTATTGCTGTTTAGGTTTGTTAATGTAATCTATATTATCTTTTAAATTTTTGGAAATATCTATATAGCCCATCCACACCCGGCTCTCAAACATCTCTAAATTTTGGCTACAATGAACTTACACTTCTCTCAATTGTTCGTACATTATTATTAAAACAGGTTTATTTTTCCTACGCCATGCGATTAGATAGTTGGCTAAATCCTCTAAGTAGTTAATTATTTTACTCTTCGTTAATAAAGATTTGCATTTTAGTAAAAATTTACCGGCTAAGTAGCATCTACGTATATGTAACGGCTGTATCGCTAGTTCACTGCTCATTACATGGATAGGTGTCGTTTTGATAAACCCGCCGATAATTCGCATAGCCTGATTTTGAGTTTTTTCTAATTTGCATAAATGTGTTTCACTACTGTCACCGTATAAAAAGCTACCATAGTCTAAACGACTCCTCAGGAGAGAAATATACATTTTTCTTAAATGTTTCGGGTGTATACCCCAACTTATCCCCGCCACAAACTTAAGGATGCTGAGAAATTTAGATACTTTTTCATTAATTTCTCTTATGTGTTTAGCCCATCTAAGAGATCGATCTAGCCACAAACCTAAATATTTTACACTATCTACTACTTGTATGCTTGTATTATTCAATTTTATAGAAATATTTTGTCTATTACAACCTTTTTTAAAGACGCATATTTTGCTCTTAGAGGGCGAAATCTCTAGACCAAGCTCAGATAAACTGCCTACGATATTCTCCAACGAAGTTTGTAACTGTTCAGCGGCGTTAAATATGTTTTTAGGTGTACAATAAATAACGAAATCATCTGCATATTGTAAGATGTGTACTGAATCGGTGTTATGTTGTTTGCAAATGTCTATAGTTGCCACATTAAACAGCAAGGGTGACAATGGGTCACCCTGTGCCAATCCTCTGCCGGTGCTGCGGGTCACCGACATACCATCTATTACTAGTTTAAGATAACGTTCCCGAAGAAATTCAAAAAGGTAACTACATATTTTATGTCCCACCCCTAACATATCTAATTTATATAAAAGATTATTGATATTTATGTTGTTATACGCGTTATCTATATCAATGAAACATCCGATTGTTATACAATTTTTACGGAAACCTGTTTGAATTCTTGTTACTAAATGACTTAAGTTATCTAGACAAGACCTGCACTTTCTAAAACCTAACGTGTCGTTAGAAAACATACAATTTTTTTCTAAATACCACTCTAGTCGTTTCTGTATAATTGCATGAAAAATTTTGCACAAACATGATATAAGCGAAATCGGTCTCAGTGCCGATGAGGAGTGGGTGTCCCTCCCAGGTTTAGGGATAGGTATAATACTAATATCTCGCCATTGAGTAGGAACTGAACCCGTCGAAAGAAAAGAGTTATACAGTTTTACTAGAACTAATTTAGCGTTTACAGGTAAATTTTTAATCATACTGTAAGAAATGTTGTCGAACCCAGGTGCAGTGTCTTTTGTTTTAATACTTTGATTTAATTCCTGCAACGTGATTTCAATATCTAGAGCCGAATTTTGAGAAGAGAATATAGGTTTACATCGGGGTACATCGTCAGGGGTTAGGCTATATAGAAGAAGGCTGGCTGTATCTGGGTCAATGTGTCTTTTTTGTGTTTGGTAACCTTTAATCCACCTAATTTTATTCCATAGTCCACTCACTGAGGTTGTTTCGTCTATAGAACTACAAAATTGATGCCAAGACTGTCTTTGGGTCTGCCTAAGCATCCTCCGTGACACACTTATTTTTCTTTTTAGTGCAATTAAATTTGCTGGGGTGGGGTTACGTCGAAAGTTAGCTAGTGCTAGTCGCCTCTCTGCCACTGACTTGGATAATTCGGGGTTCCTTTACTTGTAGGGTTAGTACTAAATTTTATATTAGGGATGCACTTCTCGGCGGCATTGTATAAAATATTTAAGAACGAATTATAAGCTACTTGAGGATTATTAAGAGTGGAGGTATCATAAGTATTACATTTTTCATCAAGGTAACTCTCATAGACTGTCCAGTTAGCCCTTTTGAAATTTCTTCTTTTTTGATACTGCTCATTTGAGTAAAATGAAGTAGATATTTTAATAATCATGTGATCGCTTCCCAACGTTTCATTTGATACCATCCAATCAAAACCCAAAGAGATATCAGAGGACGCTATAGATAAGTCAGGAGAAGATTTTCTATATACATTGTTTACAAGTTGAAAACGTGTAGGGCTACCATCATTTAATATCATATAATTATAGTCTAATATTGAATCTAAGATTTGGTTTCCCCTCGTATCTGTTTTGTAAGACCAGTTTGAATGGTGTCCATTAAAATCGCCTAATATAAGCGACTTTCTGTTTGCCATAGAAAACAAATAGTCCCATGTCTGAGAATTTGTCAACGATTCCGGAGCACAGTAGATGGCAATTAAATGTTCTAATTGATTGCAATTAAATAATTTTATATGAATTAATTCTAAAGCAGAATTAGTTCTATGTATTTCAACCCGTTGTGTTTGAACTGATTTATGCACTATAATTGCCACACCACCATATCCACCCCTATCCAGCCGAAAAATATAGTAATTATTGATATTTACATGAGTATCTGGTGCAAGCCATGTTTCACTTACCACCGCAATATGGATGTGTTCTTGGATTAATAACTGTTCGAATGACTTTAGTTTGGGCTTAATACTTCGGGCATTCCATTGTATTATGTTCAATCTAATTAATGTATTGGAAGCGTTATCCATTAACTGACGTAAATATATTTTTTAAAACAGACATATCGGGTATTAAATTACTTAGGAATATGTTAAGCCAATCTACAACCACTTTTAACCCATCCTTAAATTGTGTTTGAATCTGATTTTTTATGTTATGTATCATCTCTTTAATGTTTTCCCACACACGCCGAAGTGGCGATATTTCGCGAGATTTTTTCCTTGTATGAGGTTGTGTAGTTTGAGAATCTTGAGGGTCAGCTGAATCTTCGGGGTTAGAGTCAGTGACAAACATATCCACTATAACATTATCGAACAGGTGGACCGGAACTTTTGTTTTCTTTTTCTTGTGAGTCTTTTTTGTGATAGTTGTCTTTGGTCGCCCGTTGATCTCGGCTAATTCGAATTGTTCGGTGTCAATACTTGGTGCACTGGTGTTAAATGATCCTTGAGAGGCAAGGCCATTGTTGCTATTTATTAAAAACTTGTTTGCTTCGGCTGTACGACGCGGAGAAGGCGGAATAAAAGTCACGGCTTTTTGATAAGTACACTTCAGCTGTGACATAATCTCACGAATCCGTCTTTCCCTTGCGTAAACTGGACAATCCCTTGATAGTGAAATATGATTAGCAGAGCAGTTGACACACTTATAAATAGGTATATCACAGTTTGCGTGATCATTTTTGCCACATTTCGGGCAGAGAGGCTTGTTAGAGGGGCACATCTTCGATGTATGACCGAACCTCCAGCATCGTGAGCATTGTGTCACAGGGAACACAAACGGAGAGACAGCAATTCGTAGGTCCATTAAATAAATATGACTTGGTAAACAATTACCCTTAAAACCAATTCTCACGGTTTCACTCGGAGTCCATCCTTCCTCCGTTCTCCTATTCATCCGCTTAGCGGTCACAAGGTCTTTATCAGCCCGAATACATTTTATGAGCTCCGCCTCTGATAGTTCCACATCTATATCTTTGATGATTCCATAGCATAAGTCAATTTCCCAAGTTTTTTGTCGGCGCCAACCAAGTTCACTTAAGGCGGTACAAGATAAAAACTTCTCGGCGTTAATTTCCTTATCAAAAGTGAATGATACCTTATAAGGGTTAACATATTTAACTCTTGTGACTCCAGTTATTTTATTTTCGTTTAGTAACTTTGCCATAGCGAATTGCTTAGGTAGTTTTTCTTTAGAATATACGCATATCTGCCACATATTTTCTACCGATTGCGTGCTGGAAAGATCTATAGATTTTCTTTTCTTCGCCACCGTCTGCCAACCTTTTTCACCATTCTCGATTCTTAACCGCTTATTTGTTAGTTCTTCATTTGTCTCCATGTTCTCCTCTAAACAATATGTATGGTCAGTCTCACCACGCTGGTCAACTATGGAATTTTCATCGCAGTCATTGTAAACACGTCCGCTAGCCATTCAGAATATGGTTCATATTAACTTCACACAACAGACGGCCGGGCGCCGATCGCGCTGCGCCGAGCGATAAGAAACCGGTTAGTTGTTTACTATATTTGTTAACCACTAAGAACGCGTTCTAATCGCACGAAGTGTGAATTAGCACTGTATATTGACCTTTAAAAAGCATTAAGTGGATTATTTACTGCTTCTAGATAAGATTGCTTTTAACGGCATACGGGGTAATTTGCTTCTGATGTTTACCTCATATTTTTAATAGGACTCAAAAGATAGTTTTTTAAAGGTTTCAAGTCTGAGGCTACAGTTCTTAATTCTGGCGTTTCACAAGGGTCTATATTGGGTCCACTGTCGCTTATCGATTACAAAAGTGGTCGGTCATTCGGCTTAACCGATTAAACTAGTCACCGATTAATCGGCTCGTCTTTAATTTATATATATATATATATAGTTTTATGACAAGTAAGTTTATAGATTAATCTGGCGAAGGTATCGTTATATTTATTTATTTATACACGGTGATTTTATAGGCGTTTTGGAAACGAAACATTATAATTTGGCATCATCTATAGTACCAATAAAAATGGTTCAATCAATTGTAATGTTGACTAAAAAAAGTTTCAGTTTTAATATTCATTATTACTCGATCGACTTGGAAAGTAGTAATGCACTGATCATTCATTCATTATCTTATATGAATGAAACACGTCTGTGGGCATTTCGGCGCACAGACAGGGGCGTTAAGTCCGGGCTTCTAGGTGGCCAAGGCACAGGCCCTCCTCGACCTATCCACCGATCACTAAACTCATTGTCCAGGTATGCACGCACTACACTCCGGCGAATAATAATTTAAACGTCCTTGACCTTGCGCTTGAGTAGGCGCCCGAAATTGTCCGTGGTCGAGAAGATGTTGGGTTGCAGCGAAGATGGTAGGTGTAGAGGGAATTTGAGGGCTTTCAATTCCACGTAGCCGTAGTGCATTTAAATGCTCCGGCTGGGAATACAACGCCGAGCCTCTTCCAAGTTGTAGTTGGCAGTAGCGTAGGTACAGCTGTACCATTGCCAAGTACTCCACGTTTGAAAATTCGTACTGTCGACTCATTTAAGCGCTAATCAATGTAGCGTGCCTTTACGATGTTATGGTATTACTGACCAGTCGGTCAGTAATATAATAATAAGCGAAGGACGCCTCACGATTACAGGTGAGTCCCGCGTATGCGCCTACGGCCTAATGCCGTCATTGGTTGGACGACTCTGGCGCAACTCGGTAGCTTTGTTTTTATTGGCGAATACGATTTTATGTGACTCGATATTAAAACGCATAGTATTTCTATTTGTAGTATTTACCTACGTGTGATTGAACTACTGGTTCTCACTTTTTCTCTGTAAACGATATGAATATCGACTTTGGTGAAAAAAAAAAATTATATATATTTTATTAAATTAACGTTATATATAGCTTCTGTTATTATTATTATATAAATAATTCAAAATTTTCTTTTCCAAAACGCTTTCAAAATCACCGTGTATATCGTGCGCATTCGGTGCATCGGTAGACTCGAGCCTTAGGCATTCTTTACCGGTGAACCGTTGGCTGAAGGTTATAATATATCTGAAAGACTAACCGAGAGCCGGCCGAGTGTTTGACGAGCGGACATACCTACCCGCAGGCACGATATTCGCGGGCGCCAAGCTGCGCAGCGACCGTCCCACGGCGCGGCGCTTCTCCACGGTGTTCGGCGCGCGCGCGGCCGCGTCGTGCCCGCGCTGTGCGCGCGCGCCGCGCTGCGAGTGCGCCGCCGCGCGCCTGGCCTGCCGCCCCTGCGCCGACGCGCAGCGCCTGGTACGTGCCACACCCTCTACCTTGTGTCCTCGCCTGTACTCACTATACACATGTCGTGTTCGGCGCGCGCCTGGCCTGCCGCCCCTGCGCCGACGCGCAGCGCCTGGTACGTGCCACACCCTCTACCTTGTGTCCTCGCCTGTACTCACTATACACATGTCGTGTTCGGCGCGCGCCTGGCCTGCCGCCCCTGCGCCGACGCGCAGCGCCTGGTACGTGCCACACCCTCTACCTTGTGTCCTCGCCTGTACTCACTATACACATGTCGTGTTCGGCGCGCGCCTGGCCTGCCGCCCCTGCGCCGACGCGCAGCGCCTGGTACGTGCCACACCCTCTACCTTGTGTCCTCGCCTGTACTCACTATACACATGTCGTGTTCGGCGCGCGCCTGGCCTGCCGCCCCTGCGCCGACGCGCAGCGCCTGGTACGTGCCACACCCTCTACCTTGTGTCCTCGCCTGTACTCACTATACACATGTCGTGTTCGGCGCGCGCCTGGCCTGCCGCCCCTGCGCCGACGCGCAGCGCCTGGTACGTGCCACACCCTCTACCTTGTGTCCTCGCCTGTACTCACTATACACATGTCGTGTTCGGCGCGCGCCTGGCCTGCCGCCCCTGCGCCGACGCGCAGCGCCTGGTACGTGCCACACCCTCTACCTTGTGTCCTCGCCTGTACTCACTATACACATGTCGTGTTCGGCGCGCGCCTGGCCTGCCGCCCCTGTGCCGACGCGCAGCGCCTGGTACGTGCCACACCCTCTACCTTGTGTCCTCGCCTGTACTCACTATACGCATGTCGTGTTCGGCGCGCGCCTGGCCTGCCGCCCCTGCGCCGACGCGCAGCGCCTGGTACGTGCCACACCCTCTACCTTGTGTCCTCGCCTGTACTCACTATACACATGTCGTGTTCGGCGCGCGCCTGGCCTGCCGCCCCTGCGCCGACGCGCAGCGCCTGGTACGTGCCACACCCTCTACCTTGTGTCCTCGCCTGTACTCACTATACACATGTCGTGTTCGGCGCGCGCCTGGCCTGCCGCCCCTGCGCCGACGCGCAGCGCCTGGTACGTGCCACACCCTCTACCTTGTGTCCTCGCCTGTACTCACTATACTCATGTCACGAAAACCTTTATTACAGCTCGAGTCGTCGTTCTTCAACACGGAAGACATCGACGAGCTGATCGACATGGCTATGGACCCTCCCGCTTTGCCTGACTTCAGATGATACCTTCCTATTGTTTAATAAATCTAATTAAATATATTTAACTAACGTTCGTGTGCGTTACGGTCTCTTTTTAAATATTCATTTTATACGAGTACAATTTATGTGCGTGTGTGTGTGTGTAATATCTTTCCTCTCGTTTCCTGCATCTGTACCGTCAGATAGTAGTTGAGATGTCAGATTTTACACGTTATATAAAACTCGCTTAATTTTTTTATGAATTTAAAAAAATTAAATGAGTACAAGATAAATGCTGAAGGCCGATGAGATTACTTATAAAGTGAAAGCATACATCACTAGTATTTTCTTAACCTTTCGGAACTGAGCCTAATATTTTATTAGAAATTAATATAGAAAAAATTAAAAAGTATGAGTCTTGAATAAATTAAAAATGGTGCTAATGTATTAAAGATCAAAATTGAACATATCGAGATAATTTTTCAAAACATTTGTAACGCATCTAATCCTGCAAAAAATATCATAAGTATATATTCACGAAATACCAACTATAAACATTAATAGAAATATCCTATAACATATAATAATATACAAAATGGATATTTATATAAATAAAGTAACACGACACGCTTCCATTTCTTAGGTACAGATGGCGTTGTCGTCACACAAGTTACAAAATGATTTTATAGGGAGTAAAGACGGGTAAGGACAATGGGTTTTTAAAAAAGGAATGCGTTATGAATTAAAATGATGTCACATTAATTAATAAAAATAATTGTACAAAATTTAGATGATTTCTGATAGGTATAATGCATATGGGCATTAAGTTCTAGCAGTTCCAATAGCTTGTATGTTTGTACACCGAGTACACAATAAGTGTATTATTTTTAATAGGAAATTATAAATATTATAACGTGTAGCTAACTAAAATTGTAATTAAATTAAATAAATGAACTATGTGCTATGTATTACGGTGATGTAACTTAATATAAATCAGTGCCATCATCCCCAATGCTAAGTTTAGATGTGTAAATATTTATGAGTAGCTTTTTATATAGACTTGTAACTTGACTGTAGTACTGCAACTACTCCTTTTCTGTACAAAGTCGTGTGAAATGCATATAACTTAATCTTCACTTATTTAACAATTAAAAGTTTAGAATTCAATAAAATATTTTTATAATAAAATACTTTATTTTATTTAAAGCTAACCTTTACAAATAGATTGAACGTATTATGTATAGATATTAAGTAGTTAGGATATCATATATTTTCTCAAAAAATTGTTACGGTAAAATAGGAGTGACTATCTTGAATAAAGCAGTTACATAATAAAAGCGATGATGGTAAAACTTCATATTATTTATTATGTCACATTAAATAATACATTACGCTATCTAATAACCTCACATAAAAATATCTTAATTTTTGACTCGCCAGAGTGACTTAAGAGAGAGTGTAGAAATAATTAAATCGGAGTCAATTAAATAGCATTGAAGTGTGAGAAGTTACTCGTCTTCGTAAAGCACGAGAGAACGAATCACGAGTAACGAAAATCTCCGAGTATATTGAAACGGCTATTTCGCACCACGTTTTTAGCTAATCACGGTTTAACGCTATGATTTCCTCGCTCCCCGCCCCTACTCCATGCCACTAAAGGGACCCGAAAATTTACATCTGCTCGGGTGAAGGACAGCGCGAAATTTAGCCGAAGTATACAGGTTAAGTACAATTGACTTGGTCGCGCTATTGAACTCCTGTTAACAAATTTGCTTTCATTGGTTAATTGAGGTTAAAAAGTTACCCCTACGTCGCGGTAATTCTGGATACGGCCACCAATACATGGCGTCCAATTTTTTTCGTCAAGATATAGTATACAATATTTGGCTGAGCCATGCGTTTTCATGCATGTGAACAGGCTAAAATGGGTATAAAATTAAAGTAAGTATTAGTAGTGCCTAAAATACTTATTTCTATGAAAAGAATCATAACTGCTCGTATTATCTTTCATAACACCTATCCACAAAAAGGGTGCAAAAACGGAAGTCACTAACTAGACTGTCTCTAAACTTTGTATAATAGCTAGTTTAAAAAAGTTTTCTATGACAAGGTATACTCTACTGTATAAAATTATTTCAGTCCTTCCCAGCACGGTATCTTAAAAGGCAGATCTACTGTCACTAATCTTGATTTTATCACTGACACTATATACTATACACTGGATAAAGATAAGCAGGTTGATGTGGTCCATACTGACTATAGCAAGGCCTTCGACCGTATAGACCATGATATCCTTCTATTAAAATTAAATAAAATGGTATCCATGGTGACTTGCTGCGGTGGTTTTCCTCGTATTTGGAGAACAGGATTCAAGCTGTAGTTCTCAATAACTTTATCTCTGGCTGGGTACCTATCTCTAGCGGCTGTCCTCAGGGCTCTTTGCTTGGGCCCCTCCTATTTACGATATACGTGAACGATATAATAATGTTTTAGATCATCGAGACTCATGTATTGCTGACATATAAAAAAAATGACAGCCATCTCATCCCTTGAGGATATGACCACGCTTCATGCTGTATTATCTCGTTTGGAGGAGTACTGTCGAAATATTAAGTAGATCTGAATGATACAAAATGCTCGGTGGTAACATCCACTTCAACTACCGCGTACATGTGATTCGCTGCCTAGATGTGCTTCCGTCCGGGATCTGGGTGTCACGCATGACTCGAAGCTGATCTATGAAGAACACATAGATGCAATCGTTGCCAGAGCTTCTAAAGCACTAGGATTCATAATGCGACTGTCTAAGGGCTTCAAACAGGCAAAACCTTTAATAATTCTGTTTGCACCTTTGTTAGAAGTCATTTAGAGTAGTCATGTGAAATTTAGAATCCTTGCTACAAAAAAATATGTAGACCGGATTGAGAATATCCAGAAAAGGTTCATAAAATATTTGTGCGTTCACCAGAAATTTACCTTAATCTTTGTAAGAAGTACCATTTACGAGTACTACCCCTTACAATGCGTAGTGAAATCGCTGATTTACCCTATTAATAAAAAAAAATCGTAACGAAATTGACTTTAATATTAATATTCCGTCAAGAACTCGCTATAACCCATCGCTGAGTGTACCATTTGCATTGACGAACTATAGAAAAAAATCTTTTGTTATTCGTTCAACTAGAAGCCTCAATATTGTGTGTGAACAATTTGATATTGATATTTTTAATGTTAGTGTAACGGGAGCGAGGAGGTGTTTAAGTTCTTCAGGGATAATGGTGAATGGTCCGAGTAATTATTGTTATGAGTCCTGTCTGTATATATTGTTATATTCTTTGTAATGTGTAAGTGATCTATGCCTGAAACATACATAGTACCTGTTGATAATACCCTGTATTGTCTTGTGCACTGTAATTTAACTCTGATTTATATAAGTCAGGATTTGTAATTGGCTATCTGTTTTCTTGACTGCTTTTATTGTGATCATCATAGCTGTAAATCCTCCATAGTATGAATATAACGAAAGAAGAAAGGAAAGTAAAGAAGAAACATCGATAAAGACGCCTAAGTCATCCGCCGTATCCGGGTACCTACGTAAATAGTTTTCTGATTATGCGAAACAAAAACAAGGTCCGAGACGACTGTTGGATGAAGGTTTATCATACTCTTAAAACTACTTATATGTTCAGTTTAGTCTTAACAAATTAATTGTAAATGAAGAATTCTTAAAGATGATAAATGAAACAACAATTAACAAAACATACTTTATTGCCAACTAAACAAGTATTTTAAGTCTTAGATAACTAAGAATCACAATCTACTAAAACTATGACTACTATTTATACATAGGAGGGTAATTGCACAACATGTTTATACTGATATTGAATAACTTGGCTTTTAGTTAGATTTTCAGCCATGTAAAGAGAGAAATAAAGAGGAAGATAGTTCCTTTGCATTCTATTTCTACTCCATCGAGTATAACTAAAACTATTACACTATTGTCCAGTAAATTATAGCTGCAGCTTTCGAGTCGCTATATTGCGATAAGGCGGCAGTATTTTGAGTTTACTTACTTTACCCTTTAATTTTCTCTTCTAACAGTATTTTCACAAGTTTTCAGTCATTAACCTCTAATGTGCTGCTACCCTGTACATTGCCTACCGGTGAAAGCACTGTACAGTGTAGTGGCACGTGAGGAGTTAAATTATAGCTAAAAGTATAGTCGTAAATATATTTATCATTTAATAAGATGAACATGAAGATCAGATGAACACATATTATTGTGTTCATCTGATCTTTTTCCTTCAACGACGTCACAGATCCTATAGGTATAAGGTACAGAAACTATATCTCTGTATCTAAACATATATGCCCGAGTTAAATTACTAAACTTTTCACGAGAGTGAGAATATAGTTTAAGTAATAGTAATTGCTAGTTTAAAACCATGTCATTATTATTTGCAATAAAACAGTTCTTTTGTTACTCTCGCTGATTTAAATTTAATGTTTAATATCAACTTAAATTTAAATCAGCGAGAGTAACAAAAGAACTGTAACGAGTAACAAACGAGTGTTTCAACGGATCTACAAAATCACTTATGCAACTTATAAGCTACAGCAACACCGAGTACAACAAAGGCAACCGCTGAAAACTTGTACAGTAAACTAGTCAATACCTTATTTTGTCCACCAACTGAATTAACAATAAGATTATTCATGACAAATACGGTGTTGCTCTCTTCGATAAGTGCTGCTTTCTCCTCCTCAGTCATTGTTTCTCCGATTTCATTCATCGCCTGCCTGAAATCTTTCTTTAATTGAGCAATATCCACACCATTGAAGTCTGTAACTTTGTCCGTATAGGTACTTTGTTTTGTGTTATCTGAAATGACATACACATAATCAATATTATTTATATTTGACACTACCTTCCTTCTATATATCTCATATAGGCTCTACATATAGGCTCACACAAATGATAATTACTTTTTGCTCAACAGCCTAGACCAGCATTATATACCAGTTTTTATTTTTTTAATAAAGCTTATTATTAGTGTCTGACCGAAACAGGTTTTTCAGCCGAAATCGAACTTTCGGCCCTTGTTTCAATTTCGACCGAAACCGAAACTATCATTTTAAAATTTCGACTGTTTACTGAAATCCGGTGTATTTTTACCCCTTTATCTGCTTATACCTACATACCACCTAAAACCACTGGAATAAGTTAGATACTAGGCATCAATTCTAAATTAGAGAAAATGTATTTAGGTAGGTAGAAAAACAAAAATACGTAGCTAGCTACTAAATACTAGAAATTCAGCTGTCTAATTATGTAATAAGGTAATTTGAACGGGCTATACGCGTTTTCTCATAGTTAAAGTTGAGCAACCCAAGATTACATGTAGTATAAGTTTTTTGAATGGTTAAAAATGGTAAAATAGGGGAACAGAATGTTATTGAAGAATAATTAACTAACTACAAACAAATAAATCTAAGGGTCGTATTACAAAATCATATTCAAAACTCCAGAAACTCATGAGGTTAGTTTTCGCCTTATATAACTATGCTCAAGCGTTTCTTGAGTTTTGAGAAACGTTCTTTAATACGACCTAAGTAATATCTGAATCGAACATAATCTCTTATGTGTTACTAATATAAAAATAAAACTCAACAAAACCAGCTCTACACCTAATAATCGCCTTTGAGATAAAACAATGTTAGTTACAAGTAAAAAGAAAACAAATACAAAATAATAAAAAAAAACATAAAACACAGCTAACAAGATGAGTTAGTCGTGAGAGAGCCATGCCTCGGCTCCTATAGACCAGGCTCGACCGGAGTGATTCCACGGCCTCAAAGAAAACCTGTGTTAAGCAGTTCTTTCGTTGCTTATTACCGATTGAGAGAGGTTACCGGAGCCCAAACCCTTCCCTTTCGCCTAATTCTGGGGGGAAGGACTGAAAGGGCGACAATACACTAGTGACTCTTAAGTTGCAGCTGTCCATGAGCGGTGGTAGTGACTTACCATCGTTTGACCTGTCTGCTCGCTTGCCCCCAAACCCCATAAAAAAAAAGATCGCACTGAATGGCGGCGAACCACAGTATGCCGCGTAGAACATGCTAGGTGGACAAAATTATTTTATGTTATATAAAGATGCTTTTACATAGAGGTAGTCATATTTAGATATTATTTACAGTTTTTTGTTTTATTTTTTAATAAAAAACGTTTATTTTAAATCAGAAAAATATATTTAAAATACTCAAATATTTACTGATAAAGAAAAATTTACAAGTCAAGGTTTACATGCTTAGTACAAGCACGAGTACATACTACAATCAGCGTCCAATAATCATATTAAATTAATATATATACTATACTAATAAAAAAAATATACAAACAAACAAAATTTTTTAACAACATAACTAAAGTAGCTTAACCTTAATAATCATCATCAGAGTCTTCTGATGAGTCGTTTACTATACAGTAATTAGTTGTACTATCACTTGATTATACAATCATCATCATTTTGTGGCATTGTGCGACAATATGATGACGATTCCAGTCTGGACTTTTCTATGCTAGGGCTTACAATTATCTTTTTACATCTGTACATATTTTTTCCAGCTTTGTTTTGGGAATCTCTCGAAGGCTATTAATCAAAGGATCAGATGTTATAATTAACATAGACAGTAAGTCTCTATTCGTGGCAACACGCGAGCACTTGCGGGTGTTGTACTCCCTAAATCTGCGGCAATCTTTATTCCGTGCTTCCTGAGCCTCTTCGGAAAGCTGCCCAATTGGAAGCAATGCCGCTTTGATGACTTCTGTGCTGTGAATTAATATTTTATGCACAGTAGCAGGCATACAGTACCACGAATAGAGACTAAGATAATGTTTTCTGGTTTCAAGACACAATTTATTGAATTCAACTAAGTTTATCTCGAATCCAGAAGACAATGTCCTCAAAATAACATCAAACTTTTTTTATAATTGTAACATCCAACCCTGTGATCTGAGCACTCATCTCAGCATTCTTAAAAAAGCGACGGGCTGTATTTCCATCATTTGAAGAACCAAATCCTGGCTTTGGCTTATCTACAATAAGTCCCATCTCGTTCTCAAATTTCAATGGTATTTTTAGACTTAATAGTATTATCTGGGCTCTCACTAATGTCTCTAATCACATTGGCAATTTTCCTTTGCCCTGCTGAACGCACAGCAATTTCGGCAGCAGTCACCAATTCATTGACACTTCGAGATTCTACGAGATCCACTACGCGACGTTTCTTCGTCTTAAACGACGATTTCTCGAAATCTTTGAGAGGCCTTCCTGCAGGAGTCACAGCCTCAATTGATGTCGAAGGTTGTGGCGCAAAAGAACTCACAGTAAACTGTATGTCTGCTTCATCCAACCAAGTCTTATTTTTAATTAAAAAACGCTCCTTCGACTTTCCTGAAGCCAACCATTTGGCACCAATCTTATTAGACAAGTTAGATATCTTCAACTTTATTTCTTTTTGGCTGCTTTCAGTAATGTCACCAAAGTGAAATTTTGAAGAAAGATAGTCATATACACGCGAGTTTTTTTCATTCTTCGTGTTTCAACCACTCCTCAAGAACGGCTACCCTTGAAATAGAGTAAACGTGTTCTGAAAAAAAAAGAAAAAAAACATGTTGTACTGAAGTGTGCTAAACAATATGTGTATTTTTACGAAGAATAAAGTTATTTCTGCGTAATATCTAAAAACTAGCCCGGATAGAGGTGAATGTCTGTATATTCTGACCTTTCAAAGTTTTTTTTATAAAAATTTAAAATTATTTTAGTTTTTTTTTTAATAGGCTATTTAAAAAAAAAAACTAAAAATTCAAATTAATAGATTATGATTAAAAAAATACATTAAAAAATAGTACTTACCCTCAGTATTAATATCCATCTCAAAAACTTTCACAATATTACAATATGCCACTATGAGATGTGCACGAAAGTATCGCTAAATTGCAACTGATTGATTGAAAGGGTTGCATTAAACTCATTACCTGACTTCTGACCCTTATGGCTCACCACTTGCGAATTTGACGAACAACATTTTCTCGGAATTCGGGGTTTGGGGGTATTGTTTACGTTTTGCAAATAAGATTTCCTGGAAATGATAACATGAATTTTGTCCACCTAGCATGTTCTACGCGGTACACTGTGCGAACTGAGAAAGAGCAGATAAATAACGGATTTCTGAGGTAGCAAACAAAAACAACTGAATTGATATCACACTACCATTTTTGAAGTCGGTTACAAATACCGAGATATCAAACTTTTTGTAACCAGCTAAAAGATATAAAAGAGCGAAAACCCATTGGTGTATCTACGTTTGTGTAATAATATGAATGACGTTTTTGAATAAACTTAGCTTTACTATAATTTAAAAAAATACCTTCGCCAAACATCCTCCGTTTCTTAGCCAGAATCTGGCCACCGCTGAGGAGTCCCAGGTATAAGTGATATACATAAGCCAGCAGTAACTGTGGGTTGGACCTTTCGAGCTCTTGTAGGTGCTCAAGGTAGTTCTCTAAAGCCATGCTTTTCGGTGTCGAGCTCCAATTCTCACCGAGGTAGTGCGTAAGGTCTTCTTCAAACGCCTTCTTTCTGTAAAAATTAGTTAGGTTTTCTTTTTGTTACTTCCTCTACTGCAGTGAAATTTTATTTCGAAGTAGGCCCACTTACTGATCTGTTCGTCTAGTGGTTAGTGATTTTGACTGCTGAGCCGGAGGTTATAGATTGATTCCCACCCAGGACAAATAATTGTGTTCACAGCAGAGCCCATGGCTTGAATATGGTATCGGTTTAGAAATATCGAAGACGATAACTTATTCCACAGATTGGTTGTACGAGGCACTGCACCACTGTGCGCACAGTGGTGCAGTGCCAATTATCCCAGTGATAGGGATGAAAATTGAAGATGAATAAACCCTTTTAAAGGGTTTATTTTACCATTTTTAGTGTAGGATATGTTTGTAATGAGTAGATAAGTACGATATTTAAAACTCTACGTACCGTAATGTATAGTAACAAACTGTAGTTTGTTAGATTATATTAAATTACTGCTGGACATAGGCCTCTCCTTAGAAAGTTGACCCACACAAAATTTAAGAGTTTTTTCCAGAACTATTTTAATAAATTAAGTATAAAATTACTTACAAACGAAATGCGATGCCATCCATAGCAACAAAACGTCAATCCGAATTATTTTAACAAGATAGAATACAAAATTTCAACCTTTTCTTCTTAATACAACGAAAATTACAGTGGGGACATAAATACTGCAAGTTCTCTGCGCATCATATCGCGCAGTCTCTGACGGTTGCCATGGTTTGTTTGGCTAAAGAAATACTCGTAACTAAAACACGTTGTCGGGGCTGTCAAATTCCCAATAATTGTGAGGGTTTCCCTCGATTTCTCTAGGATTCCATCATCAGATCCTGAATTGGTGGTAATGGGACCAATTCGGGACCATACCCTTTCGATTACAAAAATAATTTTGAAAATCGGTCCACAATTGACGGAGAAATCGCGGAACAAACATACAGAAAAAATATAAAAATACAGACGAATTGAGAACCTCCTCTTTTGTGTTTTGGAAGTCGGTTAAAAAGAAAACATACTGTCGAATCAAAAACCCTCCTTTTTTGATGTTGGTTAAAAATCGACTAGCATGAAGCTCCTAGTCGAGACGAATCAAATGAGCACAAACACGGCGGAATTGCTTTATTTTGTTACAGAGTTCCCATGGCTATTTACCGTCTCCATCATCAGACCCTGAATATCACATAGGATCGGAGTCCTTATTAATTAGACTCAAACACATTCAAATTCAATGGTATTACATAATTTTGTTACAGAGATGCCATACTCCTAAACCATTCATCATCAGCTTCATCATCAGCTCAGCAACATCAGATGGTGACCATTAGATGCAAAAATCTACATAGATTAAGATAATTTCTGATAAACAGTGTATATGCCTACAAAATTTGAGGGTTTCCCTCGATTTCCCCAGGATCCCATCATCAGATCCTGACCTGGTGACAATGGGACCACCTCTGACGTATGACCTACCAAATAAAAAAAGAATTATTCAAACCGGTTTATAATTGCCGGAGTAATCGCGTAACAAATATACAAAAAAAAAAAAAAAAAAAAAAAAATACAGTCGAATTGAGAACCTCCTCCTTTTTTTGAAGTCGGTTAAAAACGATAGAGAATGCAGAGTGAAGCTACATCTCTATGTAATGCTAAAGGATCGAGCCGATCGGAGTCTTTTGGTTATCGACGATGCGAGTATCTCTTTATTTGCATATAGTTTATCTATAATAAGTTTGTACTTAGAAATGTGGAAATAACCCAACTGAAAAAGTTGGAGTAGGCCTATGTGACTGTTGGGTCGTCCTTACCGCGCGGTGCGACAAAAGCTCCGCGCGTCAGGCCCCCCCCTTACGGAGACTCTCCAGCCCAGCTTCCTGCGAGAAGTGGTTGAGGGCCTTTTCCCACAACGAGCGGAACACACTCCCCCGGCGATGGCCTCCTTGGCCGGAGACGACGGGGAACACGGGGAGGATAATGTTCCGCCCGTCCGGGATTCGGAGGTAGGGGCGGCTGTTCTACGGATCCGTTCCAAGAACACCGCCCCTGGGCCAGACGGGGTACCGGCCCGAGTGCTGGCCCTGGCCCACAACCACATGGCAGACCGCCTCGGGGAGGTGTTCGACGCTAGCTTGGCGTCGGGACGCTTCCCTGAGTGCTAGAAGAGCGGGAAGCTGGTCCTATTAAGGAAGCCGGGACGGCCTGACGATTCGGTCGCGGCCTATAGGCCCATCGTGCTGCTGGACGAGGCGGGTAAATTGTTTGAGAGGGTTCTTTCTGCCCGCATCGTCCGGCACCTCTGCGAGGTGGGCCCCGATCTGTCGGACGCCCAATTTGGTTTTCGGGCGGGGCGTTCGACAGTCGACGCCGTGTTGCGCCTGAGGGCCGTGACCGAAGAGGCCGTGAGCTGTAGCGGCGTGCTGTTGGCGGTGTCATTAGACATCGCCAACGCACTCAATAGTCTGCCATTCAGCTGCATCAGGGAAGCACTCCACTATCATGGGGTGCCAAAGTACCTGAGGCGGCTAGTGGCAGACTATTTAGAGGAGCGTACCGTCGTGTACGAGGACCGAGAAGGTAATCTGAGGTGTCGGCCCATGGCGTGCGGTGTTCCACAGGGGTCTGTTCTTGGACCCCTCTTGTGGAACATAGGGTACGGCTGGGCCCTTTGCGCCGATTTCCCCCCCGGGCTGGGTGTAATCTGTTACGCAGACGATACCCTGGTGACAGCCCGGGGGGCAAACTTCCAAGAGGCGGCGCGCGCCTGGCCACAGGGGGAGTCTCCCTGGTGGTCGGGCGCATTGAGGCGCTGGGCTTACGGGTGGCCCTAGATAAGACGGAGGCCCTGTTATTTCATGGGCCCCGTCGTGGTCCACCCCCTGGCGCCTCAATCGTGGTCAACTCGGTCCTCGTACCGGTTCGGGCCCAGATGAAATATCTGGGCCTGATCCTCGACGGGAGGTGGCTCTTCGACGAGCACTTCCGACAGCTTGCTCCAAAGCTGGTCGGCGCTGCGTCTGCCCTAGGGCGACTTTTGCCCAATATGGGTGGACCCAGCGTCGCGACAAGACGGCTGTACACGGGGGTTGTCCGGTCAATGGCACTGTACGGTGCACCGGTGTGGGCGGCGGCTCTGACCGCCCAGAATAGGGTACGCCTCTGGCGCCCTCAGAGGGTAATGGCGGTCAGAGCCATACGCGGTTACCGCACCGTTTCGACGGAGGTGGCATGTGCGTTGGCCGGAACTCCCCCGTGGGATTTGGAGGCGGAAGTGCTCGCCGAAGTTTATCGGCGAGTGGCTGACTCCCGAGCGGAGAGCGGATTTCGCCCTCCGCCCGAGGATGTGCGCGAGTGGCGCGAAGCCGCTCGCCGAGCCACGATGGCTCGTTGGTCGTTCCGGCTGGAGACTCCACGCACTGGCTTCGCCGCCGTGGAGGCTCTCCAGCCGGTCATCGCCGAGTGGGCAGGGCGGCAGCACGGGACCCTTTCCTTCCGGCTTACGCAGGTGCTTTCCGGGCACGGTTGCTTCGGAAAGTACCTGCACTCGGTCGCTAGGAGGGAACTGAGTCCCGCCTGCCACCACTGCGACTGCAGTGAGGACTCGGCCCAGCACACGCTGGCGGTCTGCCCCGCATGGGCGGCGCAGCGCCGGGCCCTCACTGCAGTCATCGGAGTGGATCTCTCGCTACCGGCCGTAGTACGCTCCATTGCCGGTAGCGACAGTTGTTTTACCGCGGTCGCAACCTTCTGCGAGGTAGTAATCTCGCGGAAGGAGGCGGCGGAGAGGGCCCGGGAGGAAGACCTCCACTCGGACCCGATCCGCCGCCGGCGAACCGGGCGGCGGAGGCCCGCCTATCACAGCCACATGCCGCCCTGAGTGTGGCCGCGGGTGGACGGGGTGGGTTTCCCCTCCACCCGCATTAGTTTGGCCGCGAGGGGGCGGCGTCCGCGTGTGCCGGACGTCGCCTAAAAAGAGAGGAAAAACATTGAGACGGAGCCCGCACCAGGAGCGGGCTGGCGCTAGGAGGGGTCCGGATGTCTTAACAACAGCTGTTCCCGGATCCCTCCTGTTACAGGCGCAGAGTGGCACCCCGGAGGGATGACGGTCCGAGGGGATTTCCACACGTTAAAAAAAAAAAAAAAAAAAGGCCTATGTGACTGTTCACATTCGCCTCCTCCAACTTTTTTGCAAACAAAGGCACACTGAACTGTGAGACATTTTATAGTTAAATGCACAATTTGACCTGTTGGTCTAGTGGTTAGTGACCCTGACTGCTTAGCCGGAGGTCGTGGGTTCGATTCCCACTCAGGCCAAAATTTGTGTGATCAGCACAATCATTTATTCTGTGTCTGGGTGTAATTTATCTATAATATGTATGTATTTAGAAATATATGTAGAAGTATGTTTATCAGCAGTCTGGTTACCATGGTACAGGCTCTGTCTAGTTTGGGATCAGATGGCCCTGTGTGAAATGTGTGAAAATATTATTCTATTATTGTTATTAATAAATTAATTACAATAATATGTATATGTTGGCAGTTTAGAAGAAAAGCTCAATCATTATTAATGAATTTATTTAAATTTATGAAAATTGAAATTAATGAAAATTTACATTACTGCTAAGATTTTAAAGTAAAATAAAATATTATAACTTTTTTCTAAGCCAATAACATTAACAGAAGATTAAAATGTAAATAATCATGTATGTTACAAACCTGTAAAGTATTTTATTAATAAACATTTTATCAAACGCTGGCATATTTAGCCTGGCCTTGGCATCTTCTAAGTAAGCAAATACATGGTAGAATATAAATAATCCGCCACCCCAGACTTGTTCATCTCTTAAAGCTGCAAAAAAAGTTGTGATAGTAAGGTGTAATTAATTTTATTGTAAGAAATCCTGCATTACACAATGAAAGTTGTGTTAGTATATATGATGTGACTTCCTAAACGTATCCTGCCTTTGTCTATACAAAGGCAGGATATGTGTGAATGGTCTTATGGCCTTCCTATGAAGGCCATAAGACCATTCTCCAACAGTGGGTTAGAACTTCCATTGTGTGAGTTACACAATCATAATTCAGTGGCAATGTTACATTTTTATAATAATATTTTTATTTGTTGTATGGGGAAGTCACTATAAAAGCAATTAATATTATAATTGAAAATAATGTGACATATTTTGATAATTTTGTTTTAATTTTCATAGAAGACTAAACAAGCAGTAAACATAAACAAATATCTCAAAATAAGAATGCAGGTATTCATAAACTATTCTTTATTAATTGAATTTATCTTTTAATTATTTCATAATTAGTAATATAATTATTTAATTCACCAGAACAACACTACATTATTGTTAAAAGTTTACTTTCTGCATTTTGTGTATATTACTGTTAGTTTTCAACTTTCTATCATTTTCTATGTGTGCACTGAAAGAAGAATGCCTCTATTCGTACTGCATTTGTGTGCAATGTGAATGCTGGGCTCTACACCTGGCTGCACATTTGTTTTTCATGTGATACAGTTACTTCTTTGACTAAAGTGTTGTTCTATGATATGTCTCAATTCATTTTCTCTCATTGTAATATTTCTTTATTTATTTCGTTGACCAAAATATGATGAGTAGTAAAGTATGATTAGTATTTGAAAGTTAGAATATGAATAGGAATAATATAACTAGAGAGAAACTAATTATTACAACCATTAACAAGTGAACATGTTATAAATAAATTATTTGAGAGAGAGAAAGAAGTATTTAAATGATTAGAAGAGAATCAATACAGCAGCTTACTAATACAGACATGATTAATTTAAAAATATTACTAACAGAAAAAAATAGTAATCTATAATAAAGTCAGACATCAGCAAATACTAAATTCTACAAGAAGGTCAGATTAAGGAGGTCAAAAGGCTATATAATTGTGTTATGAACATAATCATTTCTTCTGTATCTGTATTTATTTATAATATAATATGCTAATAAAGTATGTTTATAAGCAGTCAAGACACCATAGTCCGGGCTCTGCCTACTTTGAGTAAGCTGCTGCAGTGTGATAAAGAAATAAATCGTCAATTTTATGAAAATTATTTACATATAGTTTTTTTAGTTTAGTTAGTTTTTAGCTGAGTTCAAAAACAGTAAATAGCCATAAATATCAATTTACAAAGGAACTAAAAGCCGGTACTACGACCAAATACTGAGACTTTGACAAATATGTAACATTCTATTTCGCGGCGGGCTTGGAAAAAACTTCTGGCTGTTCTTCTGGTTGTAAAATAACATTGATAATACTTACAGATAGCAAACTTGGCGTTAACCAAAGCATCGCTGATATTGTGTATTTTTCTCGTAGCTTTACGCATACGAGTAGAGAACAGATCCTCAGTTGCCGACATTATTATTATTTAATATCACCGCACACAACTAAACTGGAATATTGACAAAGAAAAGTGATTGATGACTTTTAGGTCAATAGCAGCCACAATCACAATCACAAAGCAGTTTCATTTCTTTTGTCACTTTCATAGACATTAGTGACTTAACCGTTTCAATGCATTTAGAGTTCAAAAAGTTAATTCCCAAATGTTTTATAGGTAATAATAATAATAAATTTATTTAATTAATTCATAAAATGATGTTTGATGAATCAAGAAAAAACAGTAACTAGATTTTTTTTCAAGCCAGAACCTATTGATTTTACCAAAAGATGCTGGACATATTACTTAATCAGTATCCTTTTAGACTCTGTTTTGAGTACTGTAAATTGTGAAGAAAAGTGCTCTGATATAGCATATTTATTTGTATATCATTATGTAATTATTTTTTTGTATTTATTAGCTGCAGTTATAAGGTCTTGTTTGGACCAATTTTTATCTCAATTTAAAATTAATCTTATCACAGAAGAACACACGATATTGTAGTATACATCTCTGATAGACTGGACATAGCGCCCTAGTTTGTCAGTTTAGTTGAACTTATGTATGTTAAAGAATGTAGGTATAGAAGGTGACATTTTTCTCAATTTTATATTCATAGGTATTTCTTTTTATAATCTTGTTTCCTACTGTTATTAAAAAAGAAAACAATATGGTTATGTTTGCAATATTATTATTTTTTATATTGTGACAAGTGCAATAAAATCCACGGTGTTTATGTCATTTCTTAGTTTGGACTACGATGATTTCAGGGTTAACAAATCAGCTGTTTCTGTGACACAGTCACAGGTCTAAAAATACGTTTAATTTTTGCAAGATCAACTTAATGAAAAGACATCATCTATCTTGCAAAGTAGTTGGTTGCTCTATGAACTTCACTATCAATAAGACTTTCTGTTATTTATAAATAGTGAGGTACATTACAACTTAAATATAAGCCATTTAATATTTTTTAAGACATCATAATTATATTAGATTTTGAATCTATGTTAAGCACTATTTCTGTACTGTGGCTTTAGGTAATTGATAAAATGATCAGTATTCAGTGTATAATATTATAGTATACATACAAAATAGAACACTGGGTAGCCGGCTTCGTGTATGTAAGGTGCACAATAGCCTTTACTCATAGTTTGATAAATTAAAGACTTCAAAAGCATTGGGTGGCAACTATGGGTGAAGTCTGCAAAATAAAGGTAGGTAATTAAAATTGTTATTTATTTGAACAACATCTGAATCTGAAATTATATTTTTATGGTAAATTAAGCGAATAACTGTAATGAATAATTCTTTCTTAATATTTAACTCGATTATGTCATATTTAATTATTACGCCTTAAACATTTTCAAAAAAAGTATTTAATAAAATTGTTTACTAATTGATAACCTATCAGTTTGACTTTGACATTTTCCGGATTACCTAACCTCACAAAAGTAATAAAATTGTAATAGCCATGGCTTATGACTTAAAACAAGAAGAAGATGTAAAAGAATACATAGAAAACCTTGGTATAGAATACCGATTTGGTTGTTACAAAGAAAAAAAACCAGAAGTATGTCACCTTTTGGGAGATTATTTAGAAGCTATCAAGAAAGATTTCGACAAAGCTTCCAAGGTTTACAAAAGCAACTGTTTGGATTATAAATTCGGGAAATCATGCTTGAAGTTCGGGAATTACACTCTAATTGGTCGGGGAAGAGACAAAGGAGATGCATCGGAAGCATTGTCTTACTTCGAAAAAGGATGTGATTACAATGAACCTGGTGCTTGTCTGCACGCAGGGATGCTGCTTACTGCTACTGGACCTGGTGTGAACATAAAAAGAGACGTTCCTAAAGGTATACTATCATATTTCTTTGCTTGTTGGTATTAGCCACATTCATAAAGTAAAATTTTTAAATGAGTATGGTTTTAGAGTAATTTTAGTTATTAGAGTAATTCACAATAATTCTAGTTTATGATGTGCTTAAATGTGCGAAGTAGATTTTATAAGCATGCTTATTTTATTTGATTATTTGCTATGTTATTCATGATCTCTAATAATATTTGCTTAATAAAATTATGAAATATTGTTACAGGCTACAATTTTTTGAAGAAAAGTTGTGATCAGAATGATGCTATGGCTTGCCACTATCTCAGTGGAATGTATTTGACCGGTGTTCCTAAAAATGTAGCTGACTACAACCCCCACAACCCAGAAAAAAACAAAAACATAGAGTACCTCATAAAGTCTGATATGAAACAAGCATTCAATTATGCTAAAAAAGCTTGTGAACTTGGAAATATGTATGGCTGTGCAAACGTCAGTATGATGTACAAAAAAGGTGATGGAGTTGAAAAAAATCCTGAGGAATCAAAGAGATACTTTGAAATTGCACAGGCTCTACAAAAGGCTCATGAAACAACAAAAGAAATTAAATTCCAACAAGGATTAGATGACAAGTAGTATTATAAAGAGTGTAAAGAGTGCATTTATGCTTGAAAGTTAGGTGTAGTGTTTGTAGCCAATCAATGTACAAATAAAGCTAATTAATGTTATTGTTATTCAGACTGTTTTTAATTTATTCCTTATGTTCCATTTTCCTTTATGTGTTATCCAATAAATGGCCTACAGTATTAAACTAGGTTGATAGGTGGACACACACTCATAGTGCCGTTATGCAGTGCCTAGGGAATGCTTGGCAGAGGCAAGAGTGGACTACTTTTATTCCTTGAACAAAACTAAACGAGCAGCATTATTCTTGTCACAGGTAAGGGGCAGCTCCAACAGGGTTCTAGCCGTGATAGCCGACAGAATGGAATATCCATATATGACTCAATGCTGTCGGCTACATGCATCTTTTGTGATTATGTACCTTAATACTAACATAGGCTAAGTGTACTACTAACAATTACTATGAGTCACAGTTACTCGAAATGAATTATTATTATAGTATGGGGTATAGTAGTATAGGGAAGGACCTGCCCAATATTCTGCGCTTCGGCCAAATCACTAATCTTGGCATCTCTAATTTTTTTTGGAAGAGCCTTCGGTACATAATATGGGTCAGGCTCGTCCGGAGTGATACCACAGTCTCACAGAAAACCAGTGTTAAGCAGTTGTTATGTTGCTTGTCATCCAGTGAGTGAGGTTACTGGAGCCCAATCCCTCCCTGATTCTGGAGGGAGCGACTGCAAGGGCGGCAAGAGACTGAGACTCTTAAGTTGCAGGTCTCCATGGATGACTGTAGTCACTTAGCAACAATTTTAATACCTGCTCATTTGCCCCCTACACACAACGATACACAATCCAGACAAGTTCTATATAACTGGTCAATGATCACAAACCACATGGGACAACACTTTGTGTGATCCACAAATTGTTGTTCTGAGTCTGGGTGTTCTTTGTGTCCGTTTCATGTATGTTTGTAAAGTCCCCCGCGACACAGGATATATTCCTAATGCAGGAGATGTCTTATTAAAAAAAAAAAATGATGTTGAGAAAATACAAAATAAATTTATTCGTTACTTAAGTTTCAAATTCAAACTTTGCCACTTGGTCGATCTTATATATGAGCAGCGCTGTGGAGCATTACATCTTCTACCTTTGTGCATTAGGCGTAATATTTCAGACCTAGCATTCCTGCTCAGTCTTGCTGAAAGTGAGATCGATTGTCCTAATCTACTCAGTATGATTAGGTTAAGAACACCCGTTAGAAGGTTGCGTGACAACTCTTTACTTTATCTTCCGTCGAGTCACATCAACTTTAGAAAAAATAGCTACCTGCCTAGAGTTTTCACTGAGTGAAATAAACAAAATAGTAACAGTGGTTTTGATCTTTTTAGTACAAGTACTGGTAATGCTAGATCATATTTAGCTGTAGAATATTTCTTGTGTATCTGTGGAAACTTCTTATTGGTATTTCATCAACTAAATTACTGATGTACTTGTACTTGCTTGTACTGTAGCTGTAAGCTCTCCAAATAAAATATTATATATAAAATATAAATAAAGCTAGGTTTATAAATATACTTAATTGATTACTAATTGTAATTTAACTTTATTTATACAAAGTAATTTGTAAATAATACACTTTCTGTATTTTTTTGGAAATGTTGAAAGAAGGTAGGAGGTAAAAGAAAATTCTATTTATAGCTGGCATCTTATACAGCAAGATTAGACCTCACAATGAAATTAACATAATGAATAAATAATACGATATACGATACGAATATGCGATAAATCGGAAGTTGAGCTAAATTGCCTTGTAGCGATTTCACCCGTTCGTACAAAGGGCCGTAACATCCGTTCCTAAAACAGCCTACAAAATGGTGGATGATGTTTTAACCGTTTCTTCGCTTTTTCTTTGCCATAGACTACTACTACTGCTACTTTATTGTAACCTATTCCAAGACGCAAATTTTAATGCTGTTTACATAACAATCGACCCCCAGCTGACTCTCCCTACTCTGCCGATATCACCAACCGGCTAGACACATAGATATGTTCACTTACGATATACCTAAACATTTGGGTTTTCTTTAAAACAGAATGCCTTAACCTCAATAACTTTAGAACATCAGCACCATTACAGAATAATACTCCAATTTGGTAAGTACTTTAATAATGAGCCTTAGGAATAGAAGACGATTGTAAATCGTTAACATTACAGATCATTCAACATTGTATGTATATATTTTGAATAGGATGTGTTCCGATATATGCCTTACAGAACGAAACCCTTCTCCCACTGATTAAATATTATGTAGAATGATTAGCATTAACTTTCCCGGAGACTACAGTAAGACCGTAGGTAGGGGCTTTGTGGTTTTAAAAAGCAGAAAAGTGTAGGTACCTACCTAATCTTTGTTTTGTGACGGTTATCTGTGACATAAAAAAAACTAACAATAAAATAAAATGTTATGAATGTTGTACTGTAAGTTAGTAATTAGGTATAAAGTTATCTTTACAATTGTACAGATTGGCATCATTGGCGGATCAGGGTTCGACGATCCAACGTTATTCGAGAATCCAGTTGAGAAAGACGTAACGACGCCTTTTGGTAATCCATCAGATGTGCTGATTGAAGGTACAATCAAAGGAGTTCCATGTGTGATACTGGCTAGACATGGAAGAAAACATCAATATCAGCCAAGGTAAAGCCAATAATATTTGCATAGGAACCTTTGAAATGTCCTCGGCCATTAAGTCATTATCCATTTGAACGATTTGCCTTTATATAAGTGCCTTAACTGTTACACAATAGATAAGTTTTCAAGGTGACTTTTGGTATATGAAAAAGGGAATATTATTTTTCATTATACATCACTAGCTTTTGCCCGCGGCTCCGCCCGAGGCTCGCGTGTTTGTCGGTTATCGCGGTAAAAAGTAGACTAAGTATGTCCTTTATCAAGAATCAAACTATCTTTATACCAATTTCATCTGAATCGGTGCAACGGTTATTGATTCCCTATACAAACTTCCACATCCCTTTTTTCCCTTAAAAGAGAGAGAGATGAGATATGAAGATTTATTTCTTAGATAAAAACTATTCTATGTCCTTCCTCGGGATTTAAACTATCTCTATACCAAATTCATTTAAATCAGTTGAGCGGTTTAAGCGTGAAGAGGTAACAGACAGATGGACAGACAGACACACTTTCCCATTTAGCCAATATCAGTATGGATTAATTCATTATCTTGAGGCCCCTTTTTATAATTTTTATTTGAGGTCGACGCATAGTTTGACTTCAATTTTTTTTTAAATTGCCGACTTGATCCCAACCCCAACCATTTTAAATTGAAAGTTCGATCGAGAAGTTATGTCAAACCTGTAGATTCTTCTGGTAATCAAATGAATGTTTAATCTGGAAAACCGATATACATATTATAAATTAATATGTCGGACGAAATTATGTCAAACCTGTAGATTCTTCTGGTAATCAAATGAATGTTTAATCTGGAAAACCGATATACATATTATAAATTAATATGTCGGACGAAATGTTTGATTCGTCTTATACTATAGGTATATGTATAGGTGACTGTCTCTGTGGTGCAGCGGTAGCGTGTGCGACTGCCTAAGTTCTCGGTTTCGATTCCTGGGTCGGACCAAATTTTTGTATGATCTGCAATTATTTGTTTCGGAGTTTGGGTGTTTTCTATGTGTAATATGTATATATTTACTAAACTTCAGTATATAAGTATTTAATCAGTCAATCTAGTTTTCATAGTACAAGCTCTGCTTAGTTTGAAACTAGATGGCTTTGCGTATCAGATGTCCGAAATATTATTATTATACACGGTGATTTTGAAAGCGTTTTGGAAAAGAAAATTTTGAGTTATTTATCAGTAACAGAAGCTATATATAACGTTAATTTAATAAAATATATATTTTTTTATCATCAAAGTCGATATTCATATCGTTTACAGAGAAAAAGTCAGAACCAGTAGTAGTAGGCTATTCAATCACACGTAGGTAAATACTACGAATAGAAATACTATGCGTTTTAATATCGAGTCACATCAAATCGTATTCGCCAATAAAAACAAAGCTACCGAGTTGCGCCGGAGTCGTCCAACCAATGACGTCTGCCCCGTAGGCGCATGCGCGGGGCTCACCTGTCATCGTCAGTCGGTCAGTAATACCATAACATCGTGACGGCACGCTGCATTGATTAGCGCTAAAATGAGTCGACAGTACGAATTTTCAAACGTGGAATACTTCTTGGCAATGGTACAGCTGTACGCTACTGCCAACTACAACTTGGAAGAGGCTCGGCGTTTGTAATCCCAGCCGGAGCATTTAAATGCACTACGGCTACGTGGAATTGAAAGCCCTCAAATTCCCTCCACACCTACCATCTTGGCTGCAACCCAACGTCTTCTCGACCACGGACAATTTCGTGCGCCTACTCATGCGCAAGGTCAAGGACGTTTTAATTATTATTCGCCGGAGTGTAGTGCGTGCATACCTGGACAATGAGCTTAGTTGGCCTTGGCCACCTAGAAGCCTGGACTTAACGCCCCTGGATTTTTTCTTATGGTCGGAAATAAAAAGACTTGTTAATACACGGGAATATGAAAGCCGTGATAATTTACGCATAGCGATAGTGGACGATTTTGATAAAGTGAAAAGTGATAGAGACACATTAAGAAAATTCAAAAAACAATTGCATTAAACGTGGACGTTTGTGTATTGAATGCAGCGGACTCCATTTTGAGCAGTTCCTTCGATACAGAGAACTGTAAATAGTGTAAATAGGTATGTAAGTTAATTATTCCGTAGATAGCTCCGATTTTTTAAATACGCCTGAAATATTTATACCTACAGTCCGTTGATAAATGGATTTGTTGTGAAAAGAACAATCGTGGTTAATAATCGAAAAGAAGTTTAAATAAAATAGGTATTTCTGACGGTCCTAAGCCCGTGTAAAGTATGAAGGACAAATTGGAGTCTATCTACGTATGTACTCGCTAGCTCGCGCCTATAGGTATACTTTTGTCAGCTGCTGTTAGCGTCAGCGGTGCGCAGCGGCCGCCGAAACGCCCACGGACGTGTTTCATTCATATAAGATAATGAATGAACGATCAGTCCATTACTACTTTCCAAGTCGATCGAGTAAAAATGAATATTAAAACTGAAACTTTTTTTTAGACAACATTACAATTGATTTAATCATTTTTATTGGTACTATAGATGATTCCAAATTCAAATATTTCGTTTCCAAAACGCTTTCAAAATCACCGTGTATATCTATAGCTTAAAAGGTTAAAGGTCCCGGTGATCGGTTAGGTGGGTCAGTTAGATCACAGAGCAGGTAAACTACATGATCTTCTATTCTTCTGAAAGGTTGCAGGTTAAAATTTCAATTTAAGTCTATGATCAAAACAGTTTTTTATACATGCAATACCTTGATGCCTCTCCCGTGCTCTAGATTATTGTATAAACATATTTTAACATCACAATTCATCACACAGTGACGTGAACTATCGCGCTAATATTTGGGCGTTGAAAGAAATAGGATGCACACACATACTGGCAACTACCGCAACAGGATCCCTTCGAGAGGAATATAAACCAGGAGATTTGGTGATATTGGACGATTTCATTGACAGGTAATTTCATGTTGTGCTTAATTAAAAATTGAACTCTGGAATGATGTTCAGACGAAAAAAAAACAAATCGAGTAAATCGCGAAATTCGAACGACTTTTTTTTCATTATTTTTTTGTTAACTTTGCTTATTATATCTAGCGGCGGCCCTAGTTAGACAACAAGAGAGTCTTTCGCACTTGTTGGGATAGTTAAATAGGAAATTTTTACCCGTAAGTATATTTCGTCTCAACTCATAAGTGTTAGAAGAAAATTATGACTGTAATTTTAAAACGTAAATCACAATAGATTGGTATACTCATAGGTTCACTGTCGTTAACATTGATAGCGTATCATAATAACGAAATTGCATATCCGAAAGCGACGCCTTTAAATATACGTCAAAAACAAAAATTTATGATGACATGAAAATCCAGACACGTAATGATAAAATTATTTAAATAATAATAGTTCTCAACGGTAAACCTCACGAGCACGTGTATAATCTACTCAATCCTTAAGGAGATCCGGTCCTGACACGTGGTCCAACTGCTATGACCAACTGGTTGTAAAAAAGTAAGTAAAGCTATCCATAGTCCAACCGATTTTACCTCTAGGAAGCAAGTTTACCCGTGGTCCAAGCGGTTGGACTACGGGTAAGTGAATTCATCAGTAGTCCAACACTAGAAAGTATGTTTACTCATGGTCCATCTGCTACTTTATATGAGGTACCGAGCTGTACGATGTTCGAACTGTGACAATTGTATACATTAGTGTTTTATATCAATTTGAACTTTGACTTCTATAAATTGTGGCGTCTAATAGATATGTTAGTTACAAGTTTACTGAACAGCACGTAGAATGATATTTACTTCTAGGTCCTATTATATCAAAATCTTCTATTTCTGCACCGCCTGTTAGTACCATCATAGACAATGTCTAAGTGATCGTTAATATGCCTATATGCCGCACTGTACAGTGCTTTACTTTACGCACTTAAGTTAAGCACTGTACAGCATAGCGGCGAGTCAAAGGTTATATATCAATTTAAAAAAAAGTCAATGACCGATACTCATTCGCACTGCCCTGAGGCCGGCACTGACTGACTGTACCTAAGTATATTTATGCATAATATGTACCTATCTACGTTTCAAATATCAAATACTTAGTTTCAACTACGTCAGTTAGTAACTTATACATAAATCATTAATGTTTTTTTAATGTTTTAATTTACGGTTTTAGAGTCATTGCGTCCGGTTAATCGTTTAGGAGAACCCCAGATCACTTGGCGGGTATATTCATGTGGGATTGGTAGAAACAAGAACAAACCTACTATTTAAATAAACAGCCACCCCAACAAATATGGCTCTTTAAGCTGCTTTTGACTCAGAAGTTAGTAAATCATAATATGGAATACAGTAGTTATACTCGTATACCAGAACATTCAAACTCACAGAGTACATTTTCCAGTACATATTAGGACTTTTTAATTAAATTTGTAAAATACTTCTACGTCACGAGTGTAGAACTCGTTGTATAATCGTCAATAAAGATAAAAATCTTATCGACTGTTTCTCGTAAGAGGCGATTAAGAAACGTGTTCTAGTTTGCAATTGTTTAGAATTACTCCCAGCAAGATAACAGCGACATACGCTTACAAAGGTGACGGTTAGTTACTAAGTTATAAACAAAACCGTTACTTTGTCAAAGACTTTAATTTATTAAAATATTTTGTTCAGAACATGGGGCCGTAAATGCACATTCTACGACCGCACGGAGAACGGCCCAAAGGGTGTATGCCATCTTCCAATGCGACCGGCATTTTGCGAGAAGGCGCGAAATGCGCTACTTACTGCAGCAAGATCCAAGGGGTACTCGTGCCATGAGACCGGAACTGCTGTTGTTATACAAGGACCTAGGTACATACATACTTAACTTTTAAAAAGTATTCTTGTGAGTACTTCAATGAGCTTGATGGGATAAATCTTATCGCCTACGATAAGATTTAAGATGTAATAAATTGTAATAAACTGTAGTCTGCATCCCTTAATTTTCTACAGTTAGGAGTGTAATTTTTTCTTCCGTAAATATACAACCGAATTGAGAAACTATCTTTTTTGAAGTCGGTTAAAAATACAATGAATTCCAAATTTTCAATAGCCTTGATCGCTATATACTGATTTAGTTTAAAATAGTGTAAATATCGAAAAAATTAAGAACTCGCATTGTATTTTTGTATAACCATGTGTGTAAGTGACGAATAGAATTAAATATGTATTTTTTTTAAATATAAAATTCTTCGTGCTTATTTCTAGTTACATTTTTAGGATATATTTGGACACTCCAGTAACATTCCAAATAATTACTAAGGTTTACGTTTTGATATAACCAGTTTAAGTTGCTTATCAACCCGTTTCGCTAATTTTCCGTTTTTAGTAGCATCAATGTTATAGTCCATATTTAAAAAATAAATCCTAAACATTTAGCTCCACTTAATTAATATATTTGTAATATTCTTTTTTATCGTTACAGATTTTCAAGTAAAGCTGAGAGCTTGATGCACCGTCAGTGGGGTGGTCATCTTGTTAACATGACTACAGTGCCTGAGGTATGCACCTTCTTATTTATACAGTAAATGTAAATAGCTAAAATTATTTTATTTTTAGTATCAAAATCATGTTCTGGTGTTTCTATAACTATTATTATTTTATAGCCTTTTTTGTTAAACTGCTTAGGTGGTATTGGCAAAGGAAGCTGGCCTCAGCTACGCAGCAGTGGCACTCGTCACCGATTATGATTGTTGGAGGGAAAACGAAGTCTCTGTAAGTATTCATGAGATACACTTTTTAAAACGCAATAAAAATATTACGGCGTCTTATCGAAAGTTTGACTGCCATATTAAAAATGCCACTTTAATGTTGCTAGGTGCGCCGCATTTTTGATTTGACACACGTTTAGTAGTCTCCTTAAACTTCTTTGTCATGTCCATAGAATATAAGCATAGAGTGAACAAGAGCCCCAATCTTGAAATAATAGGTCTTTACCTATGAAATTGCCGTTTTGTATGCAATAAGTGAAAGTACTTATTTTTTCAAACTTTTTTATTTCTGTTATTCGAAGTAATCACCCATACAATCGACGCATCTTTGCCAACGCATTGGCAGTTTATTGATGCCCTTCTTGTAAAAATTAGCTGGACGGGAGGCAACAAACTCTTCAAAGGCATTTTGTACTGCCTCTTGGCAATTGAATTTTTTACCCACCAAAAAGTTGTCTAAATTTTGGAAAAAGTTATAGTCGGTAGGTGCAAGGTCTGGTGGTCACATCTGCAACCAGCTTTGGTCAATCGGTCGTCCCCACTGCTCCTTCACGACAACGCGCGACCCCATACTGCGCAACAGACAGTCTCCAAGCTGCAAGAGCTGGGGCTGGAAGCTCTTCCTCATCCGCCATACTCACCAGACCAGATGCATGGGTGATTACTTCGAATAACAGAAATAAAAAAGTTTGAAAAAATAAGTACTTTCACTTATTGCATACAAAACGGCAATTTCATAGGTAAAGACCTAATATAAGCAATGAGAGAGGTGGATAATAGATAGATGCCTCTATCTCTTTCTAGTCGAGCTCTGTGGTTGGCTGGAGACCATGAGGGGTTAACAAGTAGCCATTCACAGCTTAGCCAAACAGAGACAAGAAACTAGCGGACATTCATCTCTCTCGTTGCCTATATAGCTTCCACTTACAAGCAGCTTTACCCTGCGATCTCTATATGCTTAAATCTCTATGGTCTCTTTTAAATAGTTGTTTTTAAAGTTTACTCCTTAAGAATCGATTTTTAGATTTAGAAATAAATGTGAAGAGTAAAATTTAGTGATTGAATGACATCGTTACGTAACTTGATACTTGTGTGCAGCTGAATCGTTCTTAAGGAGTAAATTCCAGTCGTGCGTCGAAGCTGACACACACATTTTTTTTTATTTTCATTAGGTAGGGTAATTTAATTGGTATAAGTTACTGTAAACCTCCTTTCTAAGGAGCGGCCTATGCCAAGCAGTGGACTGTTATAGGCTGTTGATGAAGTTACTATAATTGTAATAATATGGGATGAGAAACTGCAAACTTATTATAGGGTGAACATGTATGTCTGAACCAATTTATAATGACGACCGAATGGCGTAGTGGTTTGTGTAACGGACTGCTATTTCAAAGGTCGCGGGTTCGATTCCCGCTCAAGTCAAGCATTTGTGTGCATGAACATTTAATGTTTGATTTGGTCTGGGTGTTTCTATGTATAATAAGTATGTATTTACAAAAAAAAAAGTATATATGTATTTATATCAGTTGTCTAGTACCCATAGTACAAGCTCTGCTTAGTTTGGGACTAGATGGCGTTGTGTGAATGTAGTAGAATATTATTATTATTAATTTTTAGGTATCTGTAAGTGAAGTCTTGGCTATGTTCAGTAAGAACGTGAAGAAAGCGGCCGATGTCATCATAGACGCTGTTCAAATTCTAGCTGCGGAAACTCAACATGACTATTTGGCTGCACATAAGGTGAGTTTCGTAAAATCAATAACCAGCATTCGTAATCCTTATGGACATAAGAATCAAACACCTAATTGTTACCGTTGGCTGTACTGCTTAAATCATTAATTTACCTGACTGGTATTGACCCACAACAAAATGAAATTCAAATTGCTTGGCTTCTAATTACTCCGTATGGTGACGAGATTACGAATCCAGAGTGTGACGAACCCTTTTCGTCCCAAGGGTGTCGTAAGAGCCGGGAGCCAAGTACGTAAGGCAACAGCACTGCAAAGAGAAGGAAAACTTGACCCTATACTATATAAGAATTGTTCAAAATCGAGTTTCTGTGAGGCCGTGGTATCATTCCGGTAGAGCCGGCCCATGGCTCTCGCACAATAACTAGTTGAAAGTTAATAAACGTGTTTTTCTATTACAGGAGCAAGTGTCTAACGCCATTATGCTGAAGGATTAATAGGATGATATTATATACCACATCGACAATATACATGTGTATTTTATAATTGAACAGTTCGAAATAAATAAACATTTTCATATCAATTATCCATTTATTCGTAGCCTAGCTTAAAAACAAATCATATAAAATGATTGAATCATTCTTACACCTAAACATTTCACACAACTACCGCTTCCCACAGAGTGTTGCATCATCACACTGCTGGCCAAAAATGTAAACATATTAAAAATACATTTCTCATTATATATTATATCCTAAATAGAACAAAAAACAACTATAAACATTTATTCCATATTTCTCTTAATTCCTGCCTATTACTGGCAATACTATTACTATAGTCAGATTTCGCAACAATTTTGAAGTATATTTAATAAAATATTTGTCCAGCAGCAACGTATCTATTGAGATCTTGAATGTTCTGAATAGCACACGAGTCTGTCATTAAAACTAGTCTAAGCCATTTTACGTATTTAAATCTTGTGCATCAATATGTTAAACGTTGAAAAAATGTCCTTACGTACTAATTATCCTATATTTTAATCTATGTTTTATTTCGAAATGCGTTATTGTACACAATGTGTACAATGTCTATAGAGTTCATTTTCTAGCGTTTAATTCCTTTCGAAGAGCTTCACAAAATATTCGCAATAGCTATACAGAATAGCATGCAGGCTAGAGATGGCTTATGGATTCTAAGTTAATAATGTTAGTCAAATTGAAATAAATCTATTTAACCGATTTCCACTCATATCAACATGGCGCATTGGACATATAGCGGCGTCTTACAAATTAATTGTACCCACAAACGGACTATGGTAACGTGCTGACTACAACGTAGTACGAATCCGAGCTGGTTTTTGAACGTATAGTGGGCTAGCATGCTTACAGTCAGCGGCAAAATTAGGTGGGAGTTCAGTTGACTTTATTCTACAATCCTATCAAATTTCCTAAAAATAGCTTTATGAGGACTAATTACATGACAAAAATGATGTTTTCTTTAGCTTTCTTTATAAAAATCGTAAAATTAAATTGCTAAAATTCGCGTCTGCTCCAAAACATACTCCCCTTCCGGAATTTAAACTCAGGCATAAAAACGCATGCTGACTGTCCAACGTCCAATTCATATCTTACAATTGCTCGTTCATCGAAGGATTACTTGCCTAACTACACTCATTGTTTGTCTAATGTGATTGTTATCAACCTGGTGTCACCATTCCCACCACCATCTAGCGGCCATTTCAATCACACAAAATCAATTTCTTTGGTCATAATAGTTACTGATTAATGTATAGAGTATAACGCAGTCTCCAGCCTACATGCCCCAAGTATACAACCAAAAAAATACTTAAAAATGTAAGTTAGTTTACAATTTCAATATTAGTTTCATAAAAAAGCGTAATTGCTTCGGCGTAACTTATTTTTTAACAATTGTTTTTATTTCTTGCTAAATGTTTTTATTGTATTACACTTTAACTCGTGATATTATTATACACCATTGTTTCTGCTGACTGATTCTCCGAGAACTCTGCAGTGTCACTAAATTTAATCTCTTCAATGCTGAAACGAAAAATTAGGTTTTCAAGGATTTTCTAAAAACATAGTACAAGTGCAGTTTTCTTAATTTCGGTTTGTAGGCTAGCTAGTTTTGAAATGAATAGTTATATATATATATATATATATATATATATATATATATATATATATATATTGAATACATATAAATTTTGTTTAAAAAATATTATATCACGAGTAGTAAGTGAAAAACACATGATGAATTGTTTTCGAATTGTTTTACAAGTTTTTTAGAGAAAGTTGTTTTTTATTAGTAGTAAAGTGTAATGATTTCGGACACTGATAACCGGCGAAAAGGCGGTGAGACATACCGGCTAGTTCTTGGTCCAAGGGTTCCTGGGGTGCTGGCCGGGGATCATGTCGAGCAGGTACTGGCGCTGCGCCTCGGCCACGCGCTGCATCTCGGCCATAGCGGCCGCGCCGCCCGCTCCTCCCGACCCGCCCTTGCCCGCTGCACACACAAGTACACTACACGTCCACCGTTTCTGACTCGCTGTATACTTAACTGCTCAAATTAATGGCTTCGAGAAAACCTTCAAATCTTATGAGCAGTTTTGTTTATGAGTTCGTTCTTTTTGCGTTTACAAGATGTGTAACCATTGATTGATACTTCGTTACCGCATTTATGCGTTTACCCATGCAGTACCGAAGTAACTTAGTATCAACCTGTGTCATGGCTATTACGCGGTGTTGTAGCCACAACACAATTTTTAACTAATACGACTATTATCGAACACATTCCAAATAAAACACTACAAAACGTAAATAGTGCATTTAAAAAAATACCAATCGAATTGAGAATCTCCTCCTTTTTGAAGTCGGTTAATAAATATATTGAGATACTTGAAATACACTGATCTTTCCTAGAGCCATGTAAATTTTCGGATATTTCACAAATTAATATGGCAAAATATAAGTGTCCTGACAGTGAAGTCTTTAATGTACTTTCACTTCTTTTATTTTGTTATTGATAATTCGTTCATATCAAGATTAAAACTGGTACTATAAATAAGTCGTTATTTAGAAATACATAAAGACAACTTTAATTGATTGTCATCCTGGATAGCTTGTCTGGGAGACGTGAAACATGTCTGAATATAATACTTTGCATTCTTAGACGTTAAAGAAGTAATCTAGTATATAGATTGTCTATTATTTTAATACACCTCGATGTTAACTGTTGTCAGATAAAATGTATACAAGATAATTAAGTTACTCCTTATGTCATCAGCTATCTGCCAGTGAAAGTCCCGTCGAAATCGGTCCAGCCGTTCCAGAGATTACCCGGAACAGACAGACAGACAAAAATTATAAAAAATATACATATGCATTTAGTAAAAAGCGGTTATTTTAATATTACAAACAGACACTGCAATTTTATTTATTTGTATAGATTTTAAAACTTAACTTCTTGTATAAATAATCTCGATACTTTCCTAAAACTGTTAACGCTCTGTACGTTATGCACAGGGTCTCTAATATGTTATTTAAATATTTTCAAATCTTTTAATAACACCCTGAAAAACTTTCAAATACGCATACAGCAGTACACATGTGATAGAAGTGAAACGTCTTAAACGTATACGTCTCTCCCTTTCTAATTCTCTCAACGTTTTATTTTTCTTCTATCTCTGGGCATAATCCCTTAAATTCCGGTCTCAACGTTCATACGTCGCCTAAGAAGCGTCACTTCTGTACTTCATTAATAGTTACAAAACAAAAAAGATAAAGTAAATGTGTGTGGAATACGTACAACGCTTACCGAGAGCGGAGGCCTGCGCCATGGCGAGCTGGTAGGTGTAGATGAGCGGCGAGAACTGCATCATGGCCGCCGCCGCCGCCGCCGACGACATGCCGCCCGAGCCGCCCGCGCCGCTCAGCCCTGCCGCGCCCGCCGGACCAAACATTACTATCAGTCATCCACCACTACGCTCCACACTCTTATACGCACGTGCTTTGTGTGACGATTCGTGAGGGCCTAGTGCGAGTTTATTTCGCATCAACTGGCTCGCGATAGCGAGCGCGTTCGGCGTTGCGATCGGTGAAGATTTCAGTGCGGGCCAAATAAACTTATACTAGGCCCTGATATAATAAAACAGTCGAGTTTATTGTTTAAACACGCTAATCGTTCAGATTAGAGTAATACGATAGAGTATTTATTGAGAAGGGTTATGAGCTATGTAACATCACGCCCTTACGAGCGAAGCGATAACCATGACTGGTAATAGTGAATAAAATAATGCCGATGGAAAGTAAATACAATAGAACTTTTGTTACACGATTAATAAAAAATGTTATCGTTAGTTAAAAATGTAAAGTTATAATACCATTTCATTCTTATGAATCATGCACGTACTAAATAAATCAAAAACAGTCTTAAACATAATCGCGTCGTAGCGATACACATGGTCCTTCGAGCCGCATAGAAGAAACAAAACGCATGTGGTTCGAAAGAGCACCGTGGCGCTAGCAGCCCGCTGAGAGTAGATAGTTACCCCGGAGCAGCTGGTGCTGCAGCGCCTGCATGGCGGCGGCGCTGTGCTGCTCGAAGGCCATCTGCGCTGCGGCGGCGGCGGCCAGCTGCTGTAACCCGTAACAATATCACATTATTATTGACAAAATACTCCACTGATTATGCGTCAGCAGTTTTTAAAATGAAATTACTATTTTATACCAATCTTTAAATAAAATCAATTTTTGGTCAGTCAAATATAAAATTAACTTACTAATGATTGCAGGAAAATAAGAACATTTTTTGCCTGTGTAGAAATTTAAGAGATATTTTCAAAAGTTAAATTGTATTTTTAAAGTACACCATGTAGTCTACTACTTTAACATCAGTTTTCAGAAAAAAAAATGCTGAACGTCGCTTTAAAAGTAACTAGAAGACAGTTATTCCTATCCATATGTTTTTCAAATTCCCTTTACAGGTGGAAGGAACATTTCAATCTCCATAAAGGAAACAGTTGTTAATTTCTTATTTTGGTATTGAATTAGCTAGTACACACCTGATGTTGCTTACTGCTGCTACTGTTTTGACTGGTGCTACTAGATGATGATCCTGAAATATTACGATAAGATAATAAGAATAAAATAATTTAAAAACGACGTGAAGGGTCTATGGAGCCCCCTTCGGCACGAAGCTCCTTTCGCTTTTTAGTTGTCATTTACTATACAGTCAATATAATATTTATTATAAAATATCAAGTTAATGTTAAATTGAAAAATTTATGATATAATAGCAAAATGTCTTGTCACACATTTTTCGGTTTTGCTCCTCCTTTGATAAGAAACTTCGTTCAAAAATTTAGTTTCAATAAATACATTATGCATTTTTAGAAAATAATAACAATTTTTTTTCATGATTCAAAGATTACATAAAATGATTTGCCTCAGTAGCCTTACCGGATTCATTTACATAAATAAAAGTGAAATAAAGCTTTTGTCTAACCTTTTCCTTTTTTGGCGGGCACTTCACTGGTTTCTCTAGAACGGTCCGAATGATGACTACGCAATGAATCAGATGATGTTAATGGCCTGAAATTAAATAAAACAGACGTTAATGACGACACGTAAACAATTTAAATTATTTTGTATTTATTTTTTGTAGAGACAACGACGAAATTATACTACTGATTGTCGATTACACGACATACTTTTTTTAGGTATAATTTAATATCAAAAATGTAGTGGAAGTCGTAAATAGAGGATAGTTGTAGCTATTGTATACCTATGTCATTCAAATTAAATTGTCTATCTACACCTTAATTGGCAAACCAGCTAACTAAATAATTAGTTTCATCAGGCACTTGGAAAGTTTATAATTTAGGAAAAAACTAGAGAGAAAAAAGAGTTCTATCAGTCTGTAGGTTTTGGTGGGTTTAAAATTTTGATACCATTCGATAAAAAAAAACTATAAGTAATAATAAAATTTCATCTTTCTAAGCAGACACAACCATAACTTTGTTTTATCATCAGTGGAAAAAAAAATTGCCATCACTGATGTGTTTTCTCATAAATTTGTTGTTAATGTACAATTCTTCAGTCTTCTTACTATGATTTTAGTCATCATCACATCACATCAACAGCCTTTAATAGTCCACTGCTGGACATAGGCCTCTCCTTAGAAAGAAGGTTTTGGCCTACTATACCACGCTGGCCAGACGGGTTGGTACAGGGTTTGTGTCAAGTTTTTATTCTTTTTGCAGTGCTGGTGTCCTGCGTTGTTTTGCGCCCTTAGTCGGCTCTTACGACACCCACGGGATGAATTGGGGTAGTGACATTCCGTATTCTTAATCCGTCACTACACGGACAATGATTTTAGTACCCTCTTGTAAATAAAAAAAGTGTGTATGTGTGTGTGTGTGTGTGTAGATGGCAGGTTTGTCCGTAAAGGTAGGGACGAGACGTTACCTGGGCGTGGGCGGGGGCGCGGGCGTCTTGGCGGGCGCGGGCGACGCCGCCGCGGCGCTGCGGGACGAACTGCGCGACACCGACATCTGCGCCCGGATATACGCACTTTATACTATACCATTCTAGTTCTTTTATTATAGTTTGCTTTGTAAATTTTAATTTAAAAGTAAAGTTGAAATCGCATTACCAAAAAAAGGGTTACTTTGAAATATTCATTCATTTATTTAATTTTTACCCGCAGTGTTTCTTGAAAAGGTATTTTTTTTTAAAAAGAATGTCGCCAAATTACAAACAAAAAACATTATATAAGACTCTAGTGATTTGACTCGAGCTAAAAAAATCCTAGTCCTAATTAAATACAAGCTATTTCATAATTTTAATCATATGAGAATTGTTGGAGAATTTAGCAATAAGTAAATCTTTGCTTGTTTACTTACACAGTAATCAGTAAAGTTATTATTATTATACAGACGTAAGTGTATAAATCAGTAAATAGGCACACACCTGTAGCGGGCGGTGCGCGTGCGAGTGCGCGGGCGGCGGAGCGGAGTGCGCGAGCGGCGCGTGCGCAGGCGGGGCGGGCGCGGGCGCGGGGGGCGGGGACGCGCCCGGGCCCGCCAGGCGCCGCTCTATCTCCTGCTCCTGCTGCAGGGCGCGGACGAACGCGGTCTTCAACCGGGCCGTGTGCTCCGCCTGGATACCGATGTATTGCAAATATCATTAACTATTCAATAATACTTTCTAAAGCATATAGTACTGATTAATAAACAGAAAATGTTTTTTGCGGACCTATGGTTAGTTACGGAATGATCCCTAAATAAAAATAGACTATTTTTAGTATTTTTTTAATTTCCGGCAACTTTTAATGAATTTAAAAAACCCTTTAGATCCACATTTACTGTTATATATAATAGGAAATAGGTTTTCATTAAAACTTTTATTTATTTGCTAGGGAATTTATCTTTTTGTTTTTGTTTTTAATACTATAAGATAACAAACTGAATAGCATAGTATACAGTGTAAGTCGACCTAGATACTTTAGGGTGTTGCAGTGGCCATTATTACCAATAGATTTCACGATGAAATATTATATTCTAAACCTAATCATTTTCAAGTACTATTTAACTGAACAATATATATAACAGTATAACAGTCTAGGATAATATATTAAACGAGTTCAATAATTTTAACAAAATTTATTTCTTTACCTTATTGAAATCGATAAAGACTGTCTAAAATATACATAAAAATCGATTGTTATCTTTAATCGATTTGTTTGTATGTTTTAGACTTTATATTTTGTAAGGTCATCACTAATCGATTACATAACGATTCATTTGTGTTACAAATAATCTGTGGTAAAAGCGTTTTATAATCTATACATATAAAATTACTTTTCCTGATTGACTTATCGATTTATCACTAAAAAAATTTTTTTTTTGGAAATTTCACCCTTAAAATAAGAGAAGAACGGTCGTATGGCACTTCGTCATTTTCAAAGTTAGGAACACGAAATAAGAAATAATTAAGCAGCGAAGCCAGTGGCAATAGCTAGGTAGTTTTATATAAAATTTAACATTTAAGAATCGTGTTATTATTCTATTTATGTTTTGTAATATGTTAGTGACAATTCGCTTTCAAAGTAATATTATTAGGTGAGGCGGGCGTACCTTGAGCGCTCGCTTGACGTTCCCGGAGACGCAGAGCTCGCAGAGGCGGCGCGCGGAGGGCGGCGGCGGCGCGGGCGTGAACGTGGCGTCGTAGCGCCGCGTGGCCGAGCTGGCGCTGCTGCCGCGCTCCCAGCGCCACACGGGCGTGAAGTCGCAGCCGCACTGCGCGCACGTCGCCGGCACCGACGAGCGCGGCATGCTGCCACACCACACCGCACGCTTCACTACCTCGATCGCTCACTACCCTACTCGCAATCCTCATCGACTACTATAACGTTGCGCTTCTTTTTTTTTTAAACAGATTTACAAAGATACACGGATCATGTTTTTTTTTTATTTCGTGCGTGCATCTTAGAGATCGTTAGAAGATTTAGTATACAGAGCACGAAGGATTTCCTTCACTCGACTACTCCCACGAAATTGCAGTACCGAAAATTATTTCCGTTTATGGTTAACGGTTATAGTTCAGGAGATGCACTATTTTCATAGTTATTAATATATTAAATACGCATCTCCTCACTCCTCCTCACCACTTATTCCATTTTTTTTTCTTAGGCAGATTTCACCTATAAATGTACTAAGTCAAAATAATGTCTTATTAACAGAACAGGTAAACATACGTACCGGTCCTCGTTAGTTAAATAGTCAACGACGTGCTCGAGCCCCACCAGATAAACGAAGTCAGTGTTGCTCGGAGACGGGATGAAGTTCATTTCTGGTGGTGGAGGTTTCGGAGGTGGAATCTATTCACATTGAAAACATAAATATTAGAAGATTTAAATAAAAGTAATTTAATTACATGCATACATCTGATGTAAAATAAATGAAATTACCTGTAATAAGGTCTTCTCGAGCTGTTTGCGTAGTGCAAGCTTAGCGGCGGCCTGACGTTGGGCAGGAGTTTGTGTGTCCTCTGAGCTGCGAGAGCTTGCCTATAAAGGAATAAGTTCATTAATAAAACCTCTGTTTACTATTATTAATGCGAAAGTGTGAATAGATAGATGTTTGTGACTCAATCACGCTAAAACGATGATTTTCATTTTGAGGTGAAATATAAAATAACACGACTTCTTTAACGAGCCTCAGCACTATCTCCTGGTCTTAAAAATTGGCTTTTGTCGGTTAATAGCAAATAGCGTTATAAGCTTGTAGACTACTTTTGGAGAGTTCAGAGGATACTGCCACTTAAATGTGTCTATCGTATCTTAGATTATTTTCTGTATCGATTTATAGACACTCGATTTGTCGTTTGTCTAAAAATCGTGTTGCTGATGAGGACAAGTAAAAATGACAAATTGACTCAATAACATAATCGATCTGATCCATAATGTCCAGGTTCAAATTACTAATGTATACATCTGAATTAAACATTTTTCTCATCTTCAGTCGAGCCTTATCGAATCAAATCGATTACCTACTAATAGGTATTATTGCAATAAAAATATGAATGAAATCGACATCACATTTTCATACTCACTGCATCGCTCGTACTACTGGTGACTGATGAATTGTCCTGAGACGGCTTGCAATACAATACAATGCGTCAAACTATTGTAAACAACTATTAGGGTAGTCTAAATTAAGTGTAACCTTTAAATTTTTGACACGTTTAGTTTAATTTGCATAGAACTATAGGAGCAGTATACTAACACAAAATGGCATCTCTTCTGTATGTACTATATGGTCAAAAGTACGTATGACATAAAAAATGATTTGGGACCATAAAACAAAACTAGCTGAATTTAAGTTTAATGCTTAGCTATCAAAAATCATCAAATTATAATCTTTCCAAAAACACTTTTATTATAATGATTAACATTTAAAAGAAATTTTCAGATCACAACTGAGTTTCTCTACAATTTGAATATTTAAGAGTTTAAGTAGTAAACTTTCTGGTAAAATATTGTGCATACGTCTATTTTTATATACATTCATCCCATGCTGTTTCGCTTTCAATATTTTTAAGTTCTACAGTCGCAGTTAATAATTTTGTTACAATCACGATTTACAATCGTTGTGTCTGGCCTTCAATATCAGCTCAATTTATAGAAATGCCATTAAATTCAATAGAAAATTACATCGCCTTATAGCCTGGCACTAGGGCAATTTCAAATTAACGGGTTATCCATTACTTACGACAGACCCTGTATATCAATATATGTAATCCTTGTATTGGTATGTAAACATACATCTCTCACATAATAATGGGTATAACAATAAAAAATGAACAAATTATGAAGTAATGATTAAAAAATTTTTTACAGCCAATAGTCGCGGTATAGTTAATGATATGGCAAGCAAGAATAAAATAGTATGTTTACCTTAGAAGACGCATGTTGTGTTGTAGGAGGTGGGGCAGGAGTTATTGTTACTGAAGGTGTTATGCTTGCGCCACCGCTAGTAGACGACTGGAAGAAAAGAGACGGTTTATGTCAAGTTATAGCTAATATTGCTGATTTTAAATTCATTTAAATTAAATTATCTTTATCTTAAATGTTTATGTCGACTGTAGGCGTTGAAAAGGATTAATCACGCAATTAAATTTTTAACATACCTTAAAAATAAACATTTCATTGAAATTTGACAAAGAATATTTTGTTTAATTAAAATGTAGTAGGTACTTGCTTCATCTCTACACCGAATCGTAGCGAGTACCGTAAATTGTTACGGCTAAGGTCTATAAGGATGCTGACATAACAGGTTCCAGCGAAATAATTATTAGGGTATTAAAGAGATCATTAAAAAGAGATGAGAGGGATTCAGACACGGAGGGTCCAAGGGCGAGTGTACCTGCGAGCGGTAGGGGCCGGGCGTGAGCGTGGCGCCGCCGGGCAGGCTGGACGTGCGGCGCGCGGCGCTCGAGGACACGGACGCCGTCGTGGACGAGTTGCTGGACGTGCGCTACACAAAAACTTGCACTTTTCTTAACACTTCCACCGCTACCTTTATATACTTTTTTTTAAATAGTATTAACTGTCACCCCAACGAGTGTTACGGGGCAACAACTTATTTAAAAAATAGCTGTTATTGTTAGTATTCATTTTAAATACTCGTCTGATTTAAAAAATACACTTTTATAGCTTTTTTATAGGACAAGAAATTCACAAAAACAATGGTTTTAACATCAACTTAACATCATAAGCGCTTAATTGCCGTAAACATAATTATATTGTGGAACGCGATAGTTTAAAAGTTGGTTTGATAGTTTAAATGTAGATTTAAATTTATTTTTTTCTAAGCAATATGTGTAAGTTCTATCTACACACGTCGTAAAATATTACAACTGACTACGACTGTGTTCTACTATTAGCGATTATGTGAATTCTTTACAATAAAAAATAATACAAAACAATATAATAACTCGACTAGATGTGTCGATAGTCCACAGTCAAATTATCTTTTCTAGTTTCAACTGTAAACGATGTCATATTTGTGTGTTATTGTAATCTTCGTAAACACAATAGTTCGTGTCTGCCATTGTTAATTGTAATAATAGGTTACGTAACACGACATAGGGCGCGAACTAGCCACCGCACCAAGTATTAACGGCCGGCTAACACTAGCCTAATATTCATAACATTATTATTAATCAGCCAGTTTTACAATTTCTAGAATCATTTCTTTGCCAATATTAGAAATAACTTTAAGCGTATACCGTTTAATTATTCATGTCAAATTAATAATTATGATTAAAGATTAATATAACTGGCATATTCCCCCATTCCCTATACCTGTATAGGGAATGGGGAGTAAAAAAATATCAACCCAATGTTTAAACTTATTAAGTTTATGGTATTACAAATTAAACAAAAAAATAAAATAAAAACTAATAACCGTTTTTACCGGATGCCGAGGTATACACCTAATTTTGCATTTGACTATATAGATTTTTACAGAAGTCTATAATTAAAATTTGTAAAAAAGTTTAAATAAAAAATTTTTTTTATCCCAAATTTCGTAGTTGAGATAGTAATAGCTGGGGTAGCGTATGTATTTTCAACACAAAATAATAATTCATTAAATTGATTCATAATTAAAAAAATTAAGTCAATAAGGAAGTAACTTACTTATTAAAATGACAACTATTTCCGTTGAGGCTCTTTATAAAATTTTGGACTATGATGAAAACATTAAACAATTAGTGATAATACATTTTCTAAGTAAGACAGTACGATATCGGGATCATTTCACCACAAATGTCACTCTTTCATCCTGCTTAGTTATAAATTATAACTCCCCAGTAGTTCAAAGCGTCCCTGGCCATAATACTGGCAATTCAAAGTAGTACATATGTATGAAGAACATTCATTTTACTCGTATAAGTAGAGCTGACAACGCTGTGGTGTGGTGTGTTACCTTGCTCTGCTGGTGCGCGGGCGGCGGCGCGGGCGTGACGGTGACGCCGGGCGGCACCACGCAGCCACTGCCTGCCAGGGCCGTGCCTGTCGCGCTGTCCTGGGGGGCGACACGTCAGGGTTTAGGTCAACCAATTCAGGGATAATTCATTGTTATGCCTTAATTCTAGATGTTTTTCTATTCTTTTCTGTTTAATTTCGATTTGTATTCAAATTTAGTGATGCAATCGTTAACTACGAATAACAAAGCATTGTACAAAATATGAAATCACTACTTCTATTAAAACAATATCTGAGGGCCTAGAGCCTTGTGTAAATCAACTCGCTCTGGACAGCGAGAGCGTTTGACGTTGTGATTGGTGGAGATTTCGCCGCCGAACGCGGCACCGTGATGATCGAGTAAATGTGAAATAAACTCGCACTTGGCCTATGTGCATATCTCAATCAACATATCATATATTATACACGGTGATTTTTTAGGCGTTTTGGAAACGAAACATTTTAATTTGGAATCATCTATAGTACCAATAAAAATGATTAAATCAATTGTAATGTTGTCTAAAAAAAAGTTTCAGTTTTAATATTCATTTTTACTCGATCGACTTGGCAAGTAGTAATGGACTGATCATTCATTCATTATCTTATATGAATGAAACACGTCCGTGCGTTTCGGCGGCCGCTGCGCACCGCTGACGCTAACAGCAGCTGATAAAAGTATACCTATAGGCGCGAGCTAGCGAGTACTTACGTAGATAGACTCCAATTTGTCCTTCATACTTTACACGGGCTTAGGATCGTCGGAAATACCTCTTTTATTTAAACTTCTTTTCGATTATTAACCACGATTGTTCTTTTCACAACAAATCAATTTATCAACGGACTGTAGGTATAAATATTTCAAGCGTATTTAAAAAATCGGAGCTTTCTACAGAATAATTAACTTACATACCTATTTACACTATTTACACTTCTCTGTATCGAAGCAACTGCTCAAAATGGAGTCCGCTGCATTCAATACACAAACGTCCACGTTTAATGCAATTGTTTTTTAATTTTCTTAATGTGTCTCTATCACTTTTCACTTAATCAAAAGCGTCCACTATCGCAATGCGTAAATTATCACGGTTTTCATATTCCCGTGTATAAACAAGTATTTTTATTTCCGACCATAAGAAAACTCCCTAAAGAACACTGGCCCTCCTCGACCTATCCACCGATCACTTAACTCATTGTCCAGGTATGCACGCACTACACTCCGGCGAATAATAATTTAAACGTCCTTGACCTTGCGCGTGAGCGCGCGACCTTTATGTGACTCGATATTAAAACGCATAGTATTTCTATTCGTAGTATTTACCTACTTGCGATTGAAAAGCCCTACTACTGGTTTCTTCTTTTCTCTGTAATCGATATGAATATCGACTTTGATGATAAAAAATATATATATTTTATTAAATTAACGTTATATATGGCTTCTGTTACTGATAAATAACTCAAAATTTTCTTTTCCAAAACGCTTTCAAAATCACCGTGTATTTATAATTTAGTCGTTCATAGTGTTTATTTCAATAAAATGAAGTAGTGAAAGCGTATGTAATTTATCATGTATTCATTTTTTTTCGAGCTTAGTAAAACAAGTGGGTATAGTATACGAGCATATCTACCTTGGCTGGAGGTAGTCCGGTTGTCTGCTGTGATTGACGTAGCTTTCTCAACAACACGAGCCGTGTCTCCTCAGCGCGTAACTTCTCGCGCAATGTACGTAAGCGCCGTTCGCGCTCCCATATTTCCGCACTTGATAATTCCTGTACCAAAAGTTATATTATTGGAAAATACATGTTTATATAATCGCATATTAATAATGTGTATATATATATATACCCTACATTGATTATACTTCAGAATTTGATGGCTGCAAATATAATTATTTTATACTTTACAAAAATATTAGAAATAACACAGTATTACAGAAATTCATGAATGCAATTCATGCTGCAAATATTTTGTGCCCAGGGCTATTCTGGGGATAGAAGATTGCAACATGAATGGAGGATAGGCAACTAAAAGAGGTGATTTAATAACGGAGATACTGGCACACATCGGAACAATGTTGTGGTATATTTAATGATGCCATTGTATTTATCTGTATATTGCAAAGGAGTGGCCATGGCTTTTTTTTTGCCCTTTCTTCTCATAAAGCACAACCCCTTGGAAACGGGTGGTTGTGCATATCATAGATTTTGTATAAGCATTTCCTTACTATTTGACAAAACAGAGATTGTTGCTATTGTGTCTGTGTTGATCAGACTTTAGAGTGTACATAAAAGACGATTTAAACTTTTTTTTAAATTAAATAAAGATATTTTGAATTTGATTCATATGTATGTGTAACTCGTCAGGAATCCCTTCGTATGTCCTTGATGTGTATTTTTTAACTGAAACTTTATTCCATTTCAAAGACTTTTTAAGTAATAAAATGTATAATACTTTAATTAATAATAATTTTTATTTTGAAAGAATGAAATAAATGTTAAACAATTCAATCTTATCTATGGCTAAAGAGGATTTAAAATATTGTCGAAAAGTGTTGTGTTATCATACAGTTTCGGCCTACCTAAACCATCTAGATAGGTGGTAGGTGCCTAGTTAAGACACAAAACACCAACTTAGAACTTACTCTGTGTCCCGCTATAGGCAATGGTGGGTCATTCTCGTCTTCTTCAGAGTCCTCGTCGTCGCGGGGGTCGCGAGGAGACTCCGGCGCTGGCGCTGGGAGGGCACTCGGTGTAATAGAAACATTTACACTACCGGAGTTTAATTTACTGCTCACATCTGGGCGAAAAATATATATTTTCTTTTCTTTATGTTCTAAAAAAGAAAACTGGGTATTATCCATGTGTTGCGGGATCTCTAAACATTCATAAAACAGAATTATCGTACATAAACTGTATAACAACTGTTGTGAATCAAATATGTATTTGTTATTGTACGGAACTATAATTGGATCTGGACCAATGTTTACGTAGCCTATGGACCCGCAACACCAGTTAAGTAATAGTCAAAAAACACTTCAAAATAATTTCGAGACCCAGCCTAGAAGACTCTACTTCCTGCAGTAACAAAACAAGATTTTAGTATAGATGGGGATAGATACTCTGAAGGGTAACTTCCTTAATCGGTATGCAAGTAGTTATATTTTTTTGCGGTACTAATAAAAAAAATCTCTACGATTTTAAGTGATGTGGAGACATTTTTCATTATCTAAAACAGAATTTATATAAGATTTAACCTGTAAAAGGTGTAGGGGTGACCATAGATGGCTTGCGGTGCGGAGGTGCAGCCGGCAACAAAACGATATCCGGGCTCTCTGCATAGCTACGTTGTTCTGAACGAGGGCGAAGGACTCGTTTGCCGCTGGAGCCCTGTAAAATAAAATTAAAATAAGAGTACGCTAGATTTATTTATAGAGATAAAAATCTTATATCAATTGTGGAAATTTATTAGACAAAAGTAACTCAAAATTTATAATCGTGTGTTTATTTAATTACAGTACCACTACTGATGTTTCTAAAAAATAAAAAACTATACAATTTACCCTGTTAAACTTTAGATGAAGAATTGCGGTGAATTGAATCATTATTGAAACAATGTAAATCATTCAATACCAATGAAATATGTAAATATTTGTATTTAGAATTCTGTTTACATTCATTTCGCTCCGAAGCTGTGGACTATAAAATCAAGTGCCTTTTGTATTGCCATGCTATGATACAAGTATGTAAACATTTCTCTAATGTTTAAAGCATGCTATAGCCAACATGTATATTTCTTTAACGATCTGCATCCAATTAATCATGTTTAGATATATTTTTCACAAACCTAATTAGGGCCGGGTAAACCATGTCAGAAATTACAGGTTTCTTTTGTGGAACAACCCTCAGAGTAAACTTAAATTAGTACGATTACGATTGAAAAGAAAGAGTACGATTGTCGTGAACAGCAATATAAATGAAATGAATGTTTTACAGCACAAAAAGTATGCAGATTGTGTAAATCCTCATAAAGACGCAGAAAAACATTCAAAAAACGCATTAGGTATACTACCTAACAGTCGGAATAAAGTTGATCTGATTTTGAATAACGTTTTTCCAACTTTTTGCATTAACCGTTATTTTTATAATTAATTATTGGTATTCCTAACGCGCGTACCAAATACAGTCCTACACGAATAACTACAAAAATTACGCGTCTAGTCTAATTCTTAAAAAATATGCATCTGTATCAAAATGTTAAGTTGGTTTGTGTACTTAAAAAACTCAAAAAGCTCAGCACTGATTGAGCTCAAATTTTGACACGATATGACATTTGCAAGATTATTTTCTGTCTATTTCTCATGATGATTCCCAAGATGTGTCACAGCTAAGCGTTGTAGGGTGCAGCTAGATATCAATAGTATTGCGATCACCAAGACATGGCGACATGGGCTGTATAGATTTATTTTCTCTCCAGTTCCAGAAAATGCTCATTGCAACATGCCTTTAAATGCTTAAAATTTTAGCACTACTCTCATGTTTAGTTTTTATTTCGGTCATTGGTTCGAGTTAAAACAGCAATTGCAGAGGTAAAATATCTAAAATAATGTATAAGATATATAGTAAACTATAACAAATATTATCTATGACTGTTATAAAACAATTATGAAACATCTTTTCGGAGTTACGCTTTTGCAAACAATAAATCACCTATACTATTCATGTTATTATTTTTAGTCTAATATGTTAATCTAATAATGAGCATTATCAATTCTGATTGTATTGTTTGCTGACCTAAAGATTTTAATTGTCATTCATATTAACTAAATTGATTGCATGTGTCATTTAAAAACCAACGCTTTTGATTGATTAAAAATCACTATTATATAATACTAATATTAGCCGTTTCACACAGTGTTAAGCGTTTTATGGTCGCTGCTTAGTTTTTATGGGTCACGTGATTTTGTTAAATAACCTGTCCTCAAGATTGTGTTATTGAACTTAAAAATATATATTCAAATTCACTGGTAGCTCTACCGAGTCATCGAGTGCAAGCATATAATAATAATAGTTTAGTAGAGCTAAAAACGCATTAAAAAGTAAAGAGTTACCTAAATCAAAGTGTCGACTGTGTCGAATGTAAAAATGGATCCTATGAGCTCAAACTCGAATTTGTGTGTTGTTGTTGTATTGTTTTGCTTTTCAGCACGAATATTAAATTGTAAACTAAAATACTTTAAGGGCTCCTGTAAACAGCAGGACAAAATCATTATCCTAAGGACGTATTTCTGTAAGCTATTTCGGCACTATTCTAGGTATAGACCGAATTGGAGTGATACTGGCACTGTAATGTCTTTATGTCCTTTTAATTAGACATCTATATATCTTGTACGGCTGTGCCCATACGCGCTCCATAATAATCCATGCTTATATTATAAATGTGAAAGTGAGTTTGTTTGTTTATTACGATTTCACGCCTAAACCACTTAAACAATTTTTACCACCACTGGAAAGCTACATTATCAGCGAGTAACATAGGCTACTTTTTAGCGCGACAACCGACATACACGCGGGCGGAGCAGCGGGTATAAAATATTAATAATATTGCTAAGTAAATATTTCGCTCGGAACAAGCGCGGAGCGATTGATGCCTTTTATACTCATAAAATATTCTAAAAATATAAAATACTATAATACTAGATTATAATAAATATGAAAATAAAAATATAAAATACTTCAAAACAATTAAATTAAAATATAAAATATTTTAAAAGAAATGCCCATATTTAGGATTGTATAATGCATAAATGTATTTTTAATATAGTTAATTAATTTTGGTGCGTCTTTCTTGATGCATAAAACTCATACCGAACATTTTATTTGTTTTGTTTATTACCACTCAGCAAGAGGCCGGGAGTTTTGATGTTTTCAGGAAATAATATTAGCATGATTATAGTCCATTTAATCTAAGAGGCACTGTTTGACGTTTCATACTTTTCTATATAAGCGTAACTCACACAATTTCAATAATCTTTTCCGTAAAACCATGGAGTTATGTAGCTATTTTTTTTTGTCGCAAATTCCTAATGACTAAATTTAAATCTTTGAAACAAAGCAAAATAACCAATTCATACACAATAGATGTTTTTTTTTACAAAGTTCATTTCAAAGTCACGTAGGTAGGTCCTTTACCGTAATGTTGCGGTTCTTCAAATTCCCTTGAATACGAATAATCGTTAAAATGTACAAAAAATCTAATTTATTAATAACGAGTAATTTTCAGTACAGGCGTCTTAACGTGTTTAATAATACTTAAAATTCATTTGACATGCTAATCTCAACGAAAACGCATAATTAAAACTATGTAAGTTAATGTAATTTTAAATAAATCTTTGTAGGAAAAAATCGCTTGTGTCTAAATCTAGTGTAGACTAAGATTTACTACTAAAACCTATGATATGCCATTACACGGGCTTTTATAGTAACATACATAAATCTATAATTTGTCCGTGTGGTGACGGATTAAGAATACGGAGTGTCACCACCCCTATTCATCCCGTGGGTGTTTCACTGCAGAGAGAAGGAGAACTTGACACAAATCCTATACCAACCTGTCTGGGCAGCGTAGTATAGTAGGCCAAAACCTCCTTTCTAAGGATAGGCTTATGTCCAGCAGTAGACTGTTAAAGGCTGTTGATGATAAATCCATAAAACTGTAATCGATTAGTATATACATAGAAATGATATCGAAATCTCTTATAAACAGATATTTTAGTAATCGATTTCTTTGACCTAATTGCTATACTTCAATCTGTCAGAACTGTCAAACGGTACCTCTTAGATTAGATGGACTATAATTATCATGCTAAGACATAAGAGTTTGCAAGTAATTAAATTAAATCTAATTAGCATTAATGCCCATTACTAGTGATTCATAGGTGTATAATACAGTTCCAGAATACTTCAATTCATTAGCTTTTGTGCGTTTTCTGAACTAACTTAGACCTATCAATCTAAAAATGTTATGAAATCAGACCTAAGATTAAAATTTTAAGGTTATCAAATAAATTTATATATACGAAAATGTTAAGTTGGTATGGGTATTCTTCAAACACTCAAAAAGCTCTGCACCAATTGAGTTCAAATTTTAACACGAATGTATGAACTGCTTCAAAGATTGTATTTATATTTTTTTCACATCAGTTTTGTTATTTTGTTATTTCTGATCAATGCAACCACAAGGACATCATGTTAGAGTGTGTCACTATGAATCTTTAACATTACTAGAGCTTGCCTGTCAGTTGAGTTCCAACCACTTTGAATGTCTTGTTTTATTTCACTGACCAGTATAACTAGAACTGTCCTTGACTTAAATTTTTATACCACGGTAGGTCAAAATATATAGTGTACCCCTACAATTGAATGTAGCCATGTTTACATAGTTACTAACTTTATAAAATATATTATTTGAAAAAAAATCACTTTCTCCACTTCTATGTATAAACATTAAGTATTTAATAATAAAAACTTCACATATCTCACACAGCAGGCTGATCCCAAACTAGGCAGAGCCTCTAGTATGGTAACCAGACTGCTTATAAAAATTCTATACATACATACATGTATATACATACCTGTGCCATATTTGATTCAAAAGGTTTATAGATTTTTATTCACATATTAATATATATAGACTTACCCTTTCAATCTTTCCAATGAAAGCAATAGAAATAATAATAGCTTATTATCATTGTTGCACATTTACTTAAACAATATATTTTAATCAAAAAAATAATAAATTCAATCAACATCAAGATTAAAACTAGAATAAATAAAAAATTAAAACTAATAGCCTTGAGAAAATAAAAGTGTACATATCTATGCTCTAATGCCAAAGATTTCTAAAGAAATATGTATTTTCAGAAAAAGTTACTTTACATAAGCCTTCTACTTACTAGTCTATTAAAAATGTTAAGTTGGTTTGTGTATACTTCAAAAACTCAAAAAGCCTGCCCTGTATGAGCTCAAATTTTGACATGATATACAAACTGCTTTAAATACTGTTTTTATCTAAAAAAATGCAAGTTTTGTTCCTAATTTCTCATCAATGCAACCACAATGTGCCACATAAAGTAGTAGCTGTACCCTACAGCTACTACTTTATGTTAATAATAACAGTTTTTTAAGAATGTTTTGTTTTTTTGTAATTGTAAGAATGTTTTTTATGAATTTACATATTTATTCTACAAAATTAAATATAGAAGAGACTATGATTTTTTGTTGTTATACACTTTATAACCAGCACCACAAGATCATGAGTTATGTGGATTATAAGATGGTTTTAGATAATTGAAATTGTGCTCTCATATTATCCATAAATACAGAGCAAAAAAACATTATTGCATGTAACAGGAAAATTACTATTGTATTTAGTATATTAAATTTTGAAGTAATTATAAGCAGAAGACACCCCTACCCTTATACTGGTTACAATTGCAAAGAGAAGACAAGAAAAATGACCGTGATATGCCAATCTGACCATGCCTTTTGTTACTTTTTATACATATAAACAAACTTTGTTTATTTCATAACCTATGTCTATGCTAATCAATAAATAGATAACCCAAATCTGGACCACGGAGCCTGAAACATTTACCCTACAATACTGCATATGTTCCAAATTTAAAGTTCTTTGGATATACAAAATATATAGAAATAGATATACAAAAATATTTAATTTAGGCCACTATATAACAGTACATTAAAACAGTTGATTTTACACTACATTGTGTTTATTTACACTACATACTACTATAAGTTAAATTAATACTTACATGAGGTGGTGGTTGGGCAGGAGTTATGGTAAGTCCACTAGCCGTCAAAGCCCTCAATTCACTCAGTTCAGGTGGCAATGACCTGACCAGTAAAAATTACATAATTTAAGAAAACAATAATGTAAACATTAAATAATTAAAAATATAAAATCACCTGACGCTGAGGTCGACCGCAGAGTCGTCTACGTCCATTATGGTTAGTCACTTCTGTAACAATTACGTATTACCAATTATATCCAAATTATTTGGCACATCAATCAATATAAACAATTAACATTTTTAGTATTTCACTATACACAATCACTGTTTTAAAGTTAGCGAATGTTGCAACGCCTGTTTGGTCATTGATTATGTCGACATAACAATGAAATTGGTGATCATTTAAATCGATTTTTGTTCAAATGTAATGCACACGCACGCATCACCGGGATGACAACTGACAAGACTACGGTCAATGAGCTCAGAAAATAACAACAATTTATAATTACAACAAAGAATACCTAGTTTCTTAAACAAAACACCTGTCGCATAACTTTTTAACACTATTTGTACTAAATATATTGTTCAAGCGTTAAAATAAAGTACAATCTGATACACAACAGAAATTCCTTCGCAGCCATTGGCAACAGATAACATAGACTTAATTAGTTACTTAATAATTATCAGATTGTATTATGTTAATCTGATCGTAGGATTACTTTGTACTACGGTTTTTATTAAAAAATGAATTGAATTTTATTGAAATTTTTTATTGAATTAAAAAATGAAATTATATACTTTTTATAAATAAAATAATAGTTTTAGAAATAACAATACTCCTTCGTCAGTACAGCTTGCAGTCTGCTTTAGTTTTACAATTTATGACACTATTTCAAATATCTGAGATTATAGGCGATATTACCTATGCATGACAGCAAAAAAGGCTGAGGGTGAGCTCCTGCTTAAGACCCTTTTTGAGAAGGTTGCAGGTGACAAGGCAAATACCTCTGATCATCATTGCTGATCTGTCCCTAAGAATATAGTGATTTAGTTCTGTATCGGCTGTGTTTTCATTGTCAAGGTCCTCATGATAAGGGGTTTCATGGTACTGTTCACTATCAGTATCAGCTTCTTGATCGTTATCACAGTGCTTAGAATCTGCATTTACGACGTTTTCAATAATATCGTTTTGTTGAGAGTCATGAGCGTCGTCAATATTTTATTGCGTTTTTTTTTTTCGGTAGCAATAGTCTGTGAAAAGTTGTTAACATTGTCATTAGAGTTTGAGTAGTAATTTCCTTTTACAACGCTTACGTCTTTGGAAATAAGACATTTACGTTTGGAAGGAACATAAACCCTAAATGCTTTGCTGGTGCTTGAGTATCCAACAAACATTCCTAGTATTGCCTTAGGAGCAAACTTATTATCTCTCGGTCCTTTCTTCAGTACGAAGGAGTTGGATCAGAAAGGATGGAGATGATTAACGCAAGGCTTTCTTAAGACCCATTACTCGAATGATGTTTTGTTTCAATAGCACTGTTTACAGACCTATTCGATAAGTAGTTTGCAGTATTAACTGCTTCTGCCCATAGGTGCATTGGTGCTTTTGCATCATTACGCATAGCTCTAGCTTTCTAAACTAGTGTCCGATTTTTTCATTCCGCGATACCGTTCTGTTGTGGGGTATAGGGTGCGGATAAGCGTCGCGCAATCAAGTGTTCCTTAAGATAGGATTTGGCGTTGACATATTCTGTGCCTTTATCCGTTTGCAAATTCTTAATTTTGTTTCCAGTAATCTTTTCCATTTCTTGTTTATACTTTTTCAACTTGTCTAGTACTTCAGATTTGTTTTTCGTGGTAGTTCGAGAAGTAGTCCGTTGGGGAGGGCTTGTCACTCGAGTAATTTTCGATTGTAGGCAAGCTTCGCATTCTGACAAGGTCTCATTTTTATTAAAGTTAATGTTTCATTATTGAGAGCTAGGTGGAGGTCTTGGTTGTTCATATGTCCAAGCTTAATGTGCCAGTCAAATTTTGGGTTGGCCGCAAAGCTTCGTTCTATCTTCAGCTATCTGACATAATTAACGCCATTTGACTTTGTTGCGGTCATTAGCAACGTTACCGTTTTATTGCGTATGACTGCTTTGTCTTTATTGAACTCTACTGAAGCACCATGACTGGTAATACTCGGTACTGAAAGTAAATTTGTAGAAAGTTTGGGTACAAACGACGTGTTTTCTACCTATTATTTCAGTAGAGTGTACTTCTGATGCAAAATTGAGCTTTCTTGACACAGTCTTTCAAATACTCTTTCTGTGGCGTCATATGAGAGGTGCAGCCGCTATCAAGTACCCAATCATCCGAAGTTAAAATACACTTTTCAGCGTAGTGAGAGCTATTTTTTTTGTTAGTGTAGGATTTCTTTTCTTTGTTTTTGTCCGGCAGTTAGAACATATTTTGTGTCTTTTTTTTTAAGATTTTGGTTCGAGTCTTCTTACAGACTTTGCAACAAGCGTAGAGTACGTTTTCTTCTTCATGGTGTTGTTGACCAGGTTCAAAGTTTTCATTGTTATGATGACGAGCGTCACTTTAATCTATACAATTCAGATTTTAAGTTTTTCTGGTTTTGGCAGGACGTCAAGTGACTCTATAGCAACATTTAAATTGTCATATTCCGAAGCATCATTATCGTTAGTAGATCCTCGAACATCCTGAATTTTACGTCCATATCTGCCAGTTTATCAACCGTGTCCATAAAACTTGTTTTAGTGTGTGCGTACATCTTTTCCTTCAAGTTTAGAAAGAATTATTTGCTTAAGAAGATATGCTTGGCATGCCTTTACTCGCATGAATTTACTTAAGTTTATCCCATAAAGCCTATGCAGAGGTGCATTTATTTAATCATTTAAGTTGATAAGGAGCGATTGATCAATTCTGATTTTGCCTGTTTATCACCTTCGACATCATCTGCACTTGCGTTTTGATTTAGGAGACTTTCAACGTACCTCCATAGTTTGTTTCTTATCAACACAGCTTCACACAAGAATTGCCTAGAAGCCTTGAATTGCCCTAGTGTCATAATTGTCATTGTCTAGTGGATCAATGTGAAATGTCTTCGGCATGCTTCCAACGCAAGCATTACACTGCCAATTTTATATTATGCATTGACAGCGTTTTTTCACTGCATTCGCTCTACTACCATGTTAAATTCTATAATGTGGAATCACTTTTATATAGGCAAGGCAATTATATAAGAACTTGGTTAAAGCAGTTAGAAAGGGTTTTATTGTAGTTACAAATACAATAACGTTAGATTTAGTGAATACGTAATGTATGCAAGGAAAACAGTTGAGTAACTTCTAACCAGTCAGACGTAACTATACTCGTAGTAGTAAGTAAGTTGTAGGAAAATATGTAGTCTCTTCACAGATGGATTGTAACTTTAGAACAATATTTTGTAACTTTAGAACTTTAGCGTATAATACTGTAAATACCAATTGTATCTGCTAGTTTTACTGTTGTAACACCTTTGGACCAATAAATATATTTATTATTATTATTATAGTTCCCTCTATCTCTTTCTAGTCGATCTCTGTGGTTGGTTGGAGAAATTTCTAATCTCCCACCTGTCCTACTATCAAAACCATACCTACTTCACCCAAGCCAATCGCAGCTTAGCTAAACAGAGACAGAAGGAATAATCGGGCATCCAGCTCTCTCATTGCCTGTGTCGCTTCCACTTACAGGTACCGTACCCTGTGTTCTTTCTATGCTTACACCTCTATGGTCCTCTCTGCTGTCCGTCTGTCATTGTCATGTTGACAGATTATTATTTACTATTATTATTTCACGTGTTCTTGTACTCACTGTTCATAACGATTAACTTATCTTTAATGTGTCTTTTGTAACGATATTGTGTTTGAAGACTTAATTTGTAATTTTGTAATAGTAGTAAAATGCCTGGTCCCGACTTGCTTTCAAGTCAAGGTCTTCGCCTTGATGGACGCAGACCCAACGAACTTCGTCGGATAAGATGCAAGCTAGGAGTATTCACGCAACCCGACGGTAGTGCTTATTTAGAACAAGGCAATACCAAAGTTCTAGCAGCTGTTTATGGTCCACATCAAGTAAGTTCAAGATTTCTGTACATAATAAACTTTAACATATCTTTATTAATTGTTAAAACCGTATGCTAAAGGTTTTCTTCAAGATTGTTGTGATTGGTTTCAGGCTGCAAAATCCAAAAGCTTACAGGATGGGGTAGTTGTGAACTGTCAATATAGCATGGCTACATTCTCAACAGGTACCAAATACTACATAAAGGCACGCTATCTAGTGCCCGTTTTTATGGAATATGAAATAATAATTTGAGATGGTGTCTTAATTTGTGTAGTTAGATATTTGTCAACAGTAAAACTTGGCACTCATTTATGATCTGGCTAGGGCAGCGGATAGGCCAGAAAGATCTGCAGAGGTTAGATGTTTTCTTCTTAGTTTATACAAAGGTCCAGCTCAGTAGAACCACTTAGAATAAAACACTACGTGATTTTCTGGCAGGAGTTATATAAACTGTACTAGAGTAGTATAAACCGCACTACGTACAGAGTTCACATAACTTGGACAGGTTATTACTAAAATGCGTATGCTGAAGGAATATTTAAGTAGGAAGACTATTAGTAACTTGTATATTAAGACACTAGCTGACCCGCGCAACTTCGTCTGCGTCTCTCAATAGTAATAAATTTTCTCCGTTTTTGAAACATTCTTCATTGGTGCTCCGCTCCTATCGGTCTTAGCGTGATGATATATAGCCTATAGCCTTCCTCGATAAATGGGCTATCTAACACTGAAAGAATTTTTCAAATCGGACCAGTAGTTCCTGAGATTAGCGCGTTCAAACAAACAAACAAACAAACTCTTCAGCTTTATAATATTAGTATAGATTATCATCATCATCAAGCCTTTAGTAGTCTTCTGCTGGACATAGGCCTCTCCTTAGAAAGGAGGCTTTAATGTACTATATCATGCTGGCCAGACAGGTTGGGATAAAGTTTGTTTCAAGTAGACATGGGACAAAATCACAGTGAACTGTGTTATTATTTGTTTTTGCATACGTAGGTTAGGGTTGCTAGGTAGGTAGGTTAGACACTATTTGACAGTAAATCTAGTATATTTTTAATTAGTATGTAGAGAATGGTAGCCATATACATAAAAATAGTCTGAAAACAGCTTATTGGCAACAAAGCATGAGGAAGTAGTAACCCTAACCTACCAGGATTGAGTATCAAAATTCTATCACTCTTTGTCTTTTTCTTATCTTTTAAACTACATATAGACATCTGACAAGTCTATATTATTTCCATTAATGAAGTTAGACCATGAGATAGCTTCTAGTTATATATTAGCACATTTTAATAGCTGTAAACAGATCAAAATATTTTTTAGGTGAAAGAAAGAATCGGCCCCGAGGTGACCGAAAATCCCAAGAGATGTCAATGCATTTAAGACAAGCCCTCACAGCTGCTATAAAGACAGAATTGTATCCTCGGTCCCAGATAGACATTTATGTTGAAGTTTTACAGGTTAGTCTTCTTAGCATTTGTATATTTATTTAACAACGTGGTTGGGTGTCGTAAGAGGCGACTAAGGAAGCGAAATACGCAGGACACCAGCACTACAGAGAGAAGGAAAACTTGACACAAACCCTATACCAACCCGTCTGGCCAGTGTGGTATAGTAGGCCAAAACCTCCTTTCTAAGGAGAGGCCTATGTCCAGCAGTGGACTGTTAAAGGCTGTTGATGATGATGATGATGAACGATGATGTGGTTGGGACAAGGCCAATAGTGAAGTTGGTAGTCCTCTCCAAGTGTATAGTATAACTACTAAGCAGTATTATGGAAATATAGTGGTAACAGCAGTGTTGATTGGGCACAGACTTCTGTAGGCTTTAGTTATTGCCTTAATTTGGGGGCTTTCAAAATCTACCAGCCCACAGTAAAAATAACACTATAATTCGTGTGATAATGACTAATCTAATTCCATAGTCATTGATAGGATTTCGATATAATCCTATAATATGTAGTCTTTATTTGGTTATAGGAAGATGGTGGTGCGTATTGCGCATGCGTGAACGCTGCGACTCTGGCGCTCATCGATGCCGGCATACCTTTGCGTGCGTACGCGTGCGCCTGCTCTGCGTCTATGGCGTGGCGAAATGGGGAGCCCGAGCCTCTAGTCGATGTGGGACATGTGGAGGAAGCCGCTGGAGGTGTGGTGTTGACTGTCGCTAGTCTTCCTAGCACTGGTAAGTGTCGACTACAGTCGCAAGACAATAAATAGCAAGTGGCAGGTTTTGGTGTTTTACTTAAGGAGGTTTATTCTTGTGTAGTCAGAACTCATGACTTGCCTGGGGTTGTCGTGCCCCCATGAGTCCGCCACCCTGGCAGTAGTACCTCTAAAATGTGTTAAATCCATACTTATATTGGGTGAAATTGATTTTGCTTGTTTTTTTTTTTTTTATTTATTTATTTAAATAAGAAAACAGCATAACATAAAAACATGAAACACCCATAAAACACGTATTGGTTTATCTTGGGTGTGAGTGTACATTCCTCATTCCTTTATGTTTCGTTTGTTTATTCACTATAATAACAATAATTTTAATAGAAATACACTGGTAGCAGTACAATAAATAAATAAAAGGTTTTTTCATCTAATCTGCCGTTTACATAATCTGTAAAACTGGAGAGTAGCTGCGTTGTACTCTTTTTAGGCTGGAAACCGAACTGATTATCTGATATAATTTGGTGTTGTCTATAAAAGTTATGAATTTCATTACAAATGTATTTTTCTACTACTTTGTCAATTATAGGTAATATAGTAATAGGCCTATAGTTGCTGTACTTATTAGGTGGTCCTTTTTTATAGATTGGTCTAACTAAGCCTACCTTAAGTTCGTCTGGGTAAGAGCTCTTATTCAGACTTTCTTTAGTTAATTTTGCAGTTGCATAGGATAACTTTTCTGCTGTGATTTTAATGTCTATTGGTTTAATTTTGTCTATTCCAGGAGATTTATTGGTTTTAATGTTTTTAATTATTTTAAGAATGTCTGTTTTTGTAGGTTTTTTTAATAATATGGAAACGTTTGCATTTTTGACATAAGAGTTAGGGTCGAGTAGGGAGATTTTGCATTTAGGTACTATAACTTTTACTGAGTTTTCGAATTCTTTAGCAAAATTATTGGCTATAGTTTTACCACAACAGTTTTGTTGGCTAAATGCCTTTAAAATTATGCTGTCCAAAGAGGACTTCAGTCGACCTGTCATCCCATTTAATATTTCCCACAGTTTTTTGGGATTGCCCCTATATGTATTGATTTCCTTTTTGTAGAATTGATTTCTGGTTTTCTGTACAGTTTTGTTACATTTATTGCGTAATTGTGTATATTCTAATTTAAGTACTTTGTTTGTTGTATCTTTTTTTAATTCTATGAGTTTTTCGTCTTTCAGTTTACACATTTTAATTATTTTGTTATTAACCCATTTCTTTTTGTTCCTATCAGATGAGATTAACTTTGTTTGATATTTAGATTTTTCGTAACAGTTATCTATATTAGTTTTAATTATACTATATATTTTGTTTGGACAGGTGAGATTTTCTATGTTGTTCCACACGATACTGTTTAGCTCCTTCTCAAAAACGGATTTATCATACCGCAGCACATAATTACAATCACTCTGTATACTTGCTGTACACGGGAGCGAGGCAACAGTGACGCGATGGTCCGCTAGTACTGTACCGAGCGCCGCACAATACACATCTTGCGTGCGGGATCTTATAAATATATGATCGATACAGGTTTTTGTCAAAATATCTTTTTTAAATTCAATTCTTGTATAGTCTTTGATCCCGCACATAAGACCGTGTTCGTACATTAAGTTCAGATAGAGTTGTACTATGGAAGTCTTGGATTTAAGATCTATATTTATATCTCCAATAAGTATGAGATCCTCTGATTGATAGTTCCTGAGAATGTTGCCTAGTTCGGAGAGAAAGCGAGTCTTATTACGCGCCGGTGGTCTATAAAGTGCAAACAGAACTACGGTCATGTTGGATTTTGTAGTTATTTTGCCTACAATGCTTTCCGCGTGAATAGTGGTGGTTTTGTAAGGCGTAAATTTGTGACTTTTGTGTACATAAACGATTATACCACCGCCTTTCTGCTTTTTTCGCAGTTCTGTATGCATATCATAGTTAGGCATGTGATATAACGAGCTTATGCGTTCAGATATACCCACTTCGGTCAGCACAATAATATCTACATTTCTGTTTGAGTTAATTAGTAGTAATTCGATTTTAGAGAAGTTTTTAATTATTGAACGAATGTTAACATGAAGACAAGTTAGGTAGCCTGCTTTATTATAAGGGTTAGGTAGCTGTTCAAAATAATATGAGATGGTTGGGCAGTCGAGTAGTTCGGTTATGTTATCTTGGATGTCTTCCATTTTTAGGCTCATTTTTATTATTATTTTGTTAGGCAATTAATATTACGAAGAAATTAAAAAATGCACAATATTACGAATGAGTGAGGTTTTTGATATCACTCTCAGAGCGTAGGACAATGACTTTCGCGTTATCGGTTTTACGTAAAAGTACCCTACCTTCTCTGCACCAAATATATTTATAGGTCTCTTTTAGTTCCTGCTTGGCTTTCCAGAGTAGATTCTTTACATTGTTATGCTTGTTATGCTTTCGCGTCTTAACCACTAAACCAATTTTAAACAAACCTATGAAATTGCCGTTTTGTATGCGATAAGTGAAAGTACTTATTTTTTTAAACTTTTTTATTTCTGTTATTCGAAGTAATCACCCATGCAATCGACACATCTTTGCCAACGCATTGGCAGTTTATTGATTACTACGACTATTATTTTTTCCAAAATTTAGACAACTTTTTAGTGGGTAAAAAATTCAATTCCCGAGAGGCAGTACAAAATGCCTTTGAAGAGTTTGTTGCCTCCCGTCCAGCTGATTTTTACAAGAAGGACATCAATAAACTTGCACATTTGCAGCTGTGATTTATTAAATTAATGCATTTGGGTTCCAGGTAGTATTGGGTTACTGGAAATGTCACATAGACTGCACATGGATTACTTCGATGTTGTAATGTCCAGAGCTATGCAAGGATGTCGAGATATAGAGGTAAGTCTAACCATTTATGTAGTCGAGAACGTTGGTGGGTTTATTTTATGTCTGGTACAACTTCTGGCAATGCAAGTCCTATAAATTATTTTCCAGTATCCATGATCCCCATTAATGGAAAATCTTTTTTTTGTTTTCAAGTATCTCATTTTTTAAAGTTAAACAAAATTATTTTTGGCAATAGGTATGACGTCATAAATTTTATTCATACATGGAAAATTGTCGAGTACTATCATTTTGTCGTTAAATAAGAACTACCTACCTACCTATTTCACTTTACAGTCTACTATCCTATTATTATATAAAGGGTGTAAGGTACGTCGTAATGAATACTGAAATAGTGTATTCAGAGTCGAAAAATCATTGGAATTTTCTGCCAGAAAATTAAAGGTTTTAAACAATCAGCTGTCAAAGGTTAAGGTAGTAGAAATCGCACAGAAGTTATAACTATATTTGTATATCGTGCAAACAGTTACGCACACACGCTGCGGGGAAGCCCCGCGCGCTTCGGCTGTTAGATTAATTTTTGAAATTTATGAAAAATTAAAAAAATATATGATGTATTTTCCGGCAGAAAATTCCAATGATTTTCGACTCAGAATACACTATTTCAGTATTCGTTAGGACGTCCCTTATACCCTGTATTATATTGTTTTTTTTTCATTTTACTTATGCTCTATCCATTTTTGTATTTTCTCCGTGTTGCTTGAAAACATGACTGTTCCAGAATTTGTGCAGCATCTATGGTAAAGTTCTGCAACTCAGTACATAATAGTAGGCACCTAGACGATATCTTGATAATTAATTCATTTTCACTTTTCGTTGTCCTTTATTATACAAGTAAAAATTAAATGTAATGTGTATTTTCATATTCAGGTCATTTTGGACAGAGCAGTTAGGGAGCACTTAGCAGAAGGGTGGACCAAACAAGATGTAATAACTATATGAAATAAACATATATTTTTTATAAAATTATTGTATTTCAATAAAAACAAACTCCATTCATGCCTCGTCTAAAACATATGGAAGAAAACAAAATAAAATAGACTTACATATTTATTAGAGATCTGAACAAATAAGAAATTAAATTATATGTACAGTCTATGTTAAAACTAACTAAATTAGAGGTAAGTTAATAGGTACACACTTTTTCCATTACTTTGCTTATTGTATGGTAAACAAAAAAATCTTACTTTAGAATGGAAACATTCTATGGCAAACGAAAAAGTGACGTAACATAGAGTCAGCAAATAATTGTTACAGCAATAGCCGGCAGAATTAACGCAAAATGAAAAGAAAAGTAAATATACTTTTATATATCGGATGTAATAATCAGTCCATCCGTTCCTGTGATTGCACACACGAAATAAATAAAATGTAACTTTAAATAAATAAAACAAGTATTATATTGTACTCTTACGATATCTTGTTGCACAAAATTCTACAATATTGCACCCGAAGAGACATACTAACTCAAAATAAATATTGCTTTGTCCAAAGACTTTGTAAAACGGTTATTCATATTTTTAATATTTAAAAATGTATAAAACTTTCGACATTACCGCGTAACATAATTGCAACATTTTAAAATAACTCGACCGTATAAAATATGCGTAATATATATGACATTGTATACACCCAACGTTGCTTTACGATCAAAATATTATTACGGGATGTAAAAAATGTTATCTTAATACACTGAGTTGCTAAGGCACTCATCTACATTTATCATCTAATATATAGAAAAAACTTTATGCGTAAGCAAATGAGAAAAAATGTGGGCATTTGAAAAAAATATCTCGTCCATCGCGTTACATGCAAAACAAATATCTCTCAATTCCAAAGGAGACTTAACCTAGTTGTATAATACGAATAAATGTTTTGTCACATCCCTATGGCTCCGATGTAATGCTATCGAATTAGCGACGAGACGGTTCGACACCATCGTCGAGTGAAAGGACGGATAGTGTAAACTCCGCCTACAATCCGTCAATTCTTTGTATAAAAAATATATAAGACTAAGTCTTATATGTGACGCTGAATACTACCTTTGACAAAAGTCATAAATAAATTGACTTATGTTAAACTAAAATTGCACTTTCCTATAACCGAATGACGTTTCGAAGCAGTCACCTGCTTCTACTTATTAACAATAACAACTGTAAATAAATAAAGGTATATGTTGTATAAAGAATGGACGCCGTCCATCCACGTTGTTCTTTTCGCTAACCCGAGAGCGGCTTACGACACTAAACGACAGCTATGGTAGAAAAGTCTAAGCTTTATGTGAACATGTGACCACAGTCGTTAGTTGGCCGCCACGGGCTCGGGCGCCGGCACTTTTTGACTAGAATCGCCCGCCACCATATCTGAAAAGTAAAAAAAAAAATACATTTAAAACAACAGCAACAATCAAAACAAAATTTTGGTCTAATATCAATCTTTAGTAAATTAATCTGTGTTTGCATTTTATAAACATGTACAGGTAATGAAACTACAAAACCCAACTAAGAAATATAAAGAAGATAAAGCATGAAGTTTCATTTAATCCAGATTTTTAATAAATGATAATAAATCCAACTTTTGAGGATGTTGAATTTTCTTTAGTGTTGAGGTTGTTTTTGAGACCAGTTGGTTCCAAAATTCGTCAATCGATAGACAGTCTGCTTGTAGTTACTGACCATTACTAGTCTTGTTAGGCGAGTTGTGTGGCGAGCTGTTCTGTGACTCGCTAGTGCTACCCTCCGCTTCGCCCGTTTCGCCGGCTGATGACGTCGCCTGCCAACAAACATTCAGTCTTATGAGTGACGTAACAGAAGTAGCGTAGTCATAGGGTAAATGAAAAATGTCGCCAAAGGAAAAGCTTAGTTTAAAAATACATGTTTTCATACACAACTCACCCTATTTTTCCTAGGAAGTCTAGGTTTAGGACCTTTAGGCTCTTTGGTAGGGTCAAAATGGCAGTCAAATATCTCAATCAGTTCTTTTATATCTTCCTCTTTGGCAGAGACAGTCAACCCAGCTAACTGCTTCTCTAAACCTGTAAAACAAATGTAATTAACTTTTTTAATAAATATCACCATCTTCAATGCACCTACCCATCATCTGTATCCTTGATTCCTTAACTTTTCATTATTTTTTCTTTTAGTATTTCTATTCAAATTTGGGAACATACAGAAAGTATACATTCAAAATTAAAAAAAGAATTTTATAGATCGGTATAAAAAAATGGAGTTCTGAGGTATCAAACAACAAAATATAACTAAATGTTTTTTTACATAAGCTTGAAAGACAACGTAAGATTACCTGGTAACTTTAAGAGTCATATTTCTTACTGTATGAAACCTCTTTATTCGGTATTTTATTAATTTCATTGTTGGATATAAGATTTTATTTTAGTTTTTTCAACTTCGTATACTAATTTTTAGAGATCATTTACTCTTACATCTAGTCTTATAACTTTAATCGTAAGATTTTTCCGTATTAGTTTTATGGGCGAGTCATTGGGACATCTTCTAGGTCGATGACAAAAGCGCAACAGAGATACTTTTTAATCGGGGTCGATAAAAACATAGTCGCATTATCCTCGTGGTAATCCGAGACTCGTTTGCGTTTCGTTTTCGAATTACCCTGAAATATTAGTTTAACCACAAAGTTAGAGGGTAGAGAAAGAGGTAGGGTACCGGCGAGCTTGTGCTCCTGCCAGGCGTCCTTGAGCTGGTCGTAGAGCAGGCCCGCGTCGGCGAGCAGGCGGCGCAGCTGCGTCACGCGCTTGCGCTCCGGCCGCGCAGAGCGCAGCAGCGGCGCGAACACCGGCCGGAACGTGTTCTGTCTGCAACACCACGCACCGCTTTACATCTCTAACATCGCGCCTCTCTAATCCGACTCATTTAAAAAAAAGAATAATGAAATTTGTTTCGAGTTATTTAAATTCAATATACAAAACATATGTATTCTCTCAAAGTTTTACGAGTAATATCAAATGACATACAAAATATTACTTGAATGTAAGCGTTGAATATGATATGCAATTATATTAACTCTGTTTGTGAAGTATTAATTATTTATATATGTTATAATTTGATATCCATTTCTTAAACATAGAACTTTGTTGTGATAAAACCAGTTTTACCAAAGTTTAGTTAATTTCTATTTAGTACTGTGACCTGAGTTCTAGTTCAAATCTTTATTTACCTCTTCTCTTATAATCAGTAATTTAACATTCTCATATACTTACGTGTTCTCTCGTTTATTAAAATAGATTGTCACTCACCTCTCCAATAGATTCTTAAGTGTGGCGAGCGCCTCGAGCTCCGTGTGCACGGGGCGCGCCCAGGCACGTGCGGTCTCCACCATGTCCTTACTCGCGGAGGCACCCTCGCCGCCCGCTCCTACCTCCTGTTGCTCACCTGCACATACATTTGCATTTTCAAACAATAGCATTGCATGTTAAATATGTAATTAATTTACGTTTTTAACGAACCAGCCGATTCCATTTCTTATAATAAGAAATAACTTTCAAAATAGTAGTAGTATTATTCTTTTTTATATATATATATATATATATATATATTTTTATAATTTAGTTAGTCATCAACAGCCATTAGTGGTCAACTGCTGGAGATAGGCCTCTTCTTAGAAAGGATTTTTGGCCTACTGCAAAGAAGGAAAACTTGACACCAACCCGTCTCTCCAGCTTGGTATACTAAGCCAAAACCTCCTCAGAAAAGTAATAATGCATTATTAAATAAGAGTAAACCTTGGGCAAGATGCTCAACAATCCTGTAGGCGGCCGTGGCCCTCTCTAAGGCACTGTCTACGGAAAGCGAGTCGGCGTCGAGCAACACCCGCGCCAACACTCGCAGCGACACGGACTTCACCGTCGCCTTGCACTTGTCCGCCGCGAGGGCGTAACTGTCCGCGAAACCCGCTACTATGGATTTGAAACGGTCCAGGAGCTTGTACCTGAATGAAATGAAAACACTTTCGTTATTTAGAAAGGTCAAAAACTTCAGTTTTTCTGTACCATTATTAAAAACTCCTCTTAGAAATGTTACTTATATTAATGACTAATATCCTTGGCTCATCATTTCTCCTTTTTTTTTTAATAAACCAGTGTTAATTACCTGGTAAGTGCTTCGAGCAGCATAGTGGGGCTAAGGCGGCGCGGCTCGTGGTAAATAAGAATAACACTACCATCTCCTTTCTCTTTCTCTAACCAGTCTAAAAAGTCTGACAATGCAGAGATCTCAGACTTTGTTTTCAATATCTGTGAAATAAAAATGAAGTTAATATTTTAGCAAAGGAGAAATAAATAGTATTTTCTTAGACTTTTCATAAGTTAATGATGGAGTTGGCAAAATGCAAGTACTTATTTAGTGAAGAAAAATAAAGCATTATTTAATTTTGATGAGAAAATAATTGCAAGCCAGTTTGTAATAAGTACTTTTCCTATTATTAAAACATGTTAATTTTATTTGTTCCATTTAACATTATCATTTAACCATCCATTTATGTTTTTACCAGTATTCCACAAGGGAGATTCTCTTTACCTTATGAGTATTAGTGTCTTTGAGCATGCGATACCGTCCGACGGTAACTACTCGCACGTTGTGACGACGACGCGCGCCCGGATTTAGATCACCGTAAGGCATTATGTACTGCGAGTACGATTGCTTCGGTGTGTAAGCAGCAATTTGACATATCTGAAACAATCAGTGAAGCATTCAACCTCAGGGCAACTGAAACAGGAGTAATGAGAAAAACTACTTCTATGTGATATTCATCTAGGGTACTACAGAATTTACATACCAATGTGTACTAAGTGGTTTAAGTACTAAGCTAAGTACTATTTGGTATTTTATAACGTGCTTTGTTTGTATCAAAATAAATTAGTATTTTTTGTCAGAAATAAAGGTATTCATCCTCATTTTCCTTTTCTGTTCTCAATTTTACTATTATAGCTATCCTTCCAGACACTAACCCTTAGGTTTATAATCGTTTTTAAATGCTACAAATCAAGAAGTAAAATTATATGATAGGGCTCGAGGGAGCTAGAGTATAAATAGCAAAGCAAAAAGAAACGGACTAAAACTGCAGTAACTTAAATAGGCCTGTTGACGGGGTGGAAATCCCTTTGGATCTCCGGCTCCTTAGGATGTAGGAGCCAGGAGTATTTGGTGTTGCCAGTAAAAACCACCCCGACGGACTCAGACGCCCTACTCCGAGGAGGACTTGGACCAGGTCCACGCCGATTTCAGGTTCCCCCAACTTAAAAGAGGGCTGGGCCAGCAGGCTGGAATTGGGCGAGGAAACAAGACTATGCTAGTTCCAACTTATACAAGATGGGACAAATAATAGGTTTATTTATAACTAGCTGACCCGCGCAACTTCGTCTGCGTCGCTCAAAAATAATAAATTAGGCCAGATTTTTTTACATTTTTCATTGATTCTCGGCTCCTTTTGGCCGCAGCGTAATGTTATATAGCCCTTATATTATACCCTTCCACGATAAATGGGTTATCTAACATTGATAGAATATCTAACAATTGATAGAAATTTTAAATCGGACCAGTAGTTTATGATATGACAACCAAACAAAAAACTCTTCAGCTTTATAATATTAATTATAGATTAATGTTGCTATGGACATTCTTAATATGCCTATTCTTATAGATTAATGTCGCTATAAATAAACGTGCTGCCGATCTCTTTCCCCTCGGAAAAAAACAAGAAAGAGTACGCAGAGCTGACTACCAACCTTCGATAGTCGGAGAGGTCTGATTCATTATTTTTCTGATATTATTTTCCTGGTTTTGCTTCGTCGTTCGTTAAATTACAGATATCGATTTATTGTATTAAAGGTATGTTCTCAATAAAAATAGACATGATTTATAAATATTAAATTGTTTAGGTTTTCTGTCGATAACTGCTAAACTGAAATCAACTGACGGTTTTTTATTACCAACCAGTCACAAAGGATGAGAGTGACCTTTCGAGTGTAACATTTACCTAACTAGTTTAAAACTGCACATATTCCTTACTAATATTATTGAAGGCGAAAAGGACAATGGCAGGTCCCCATACATAATTTTATTTGAACTGAAATGTTAGCGTTTAAATATCAAAAAATCCTTAACACTTGAGAATTTATTGTTGACCATTCTCATATCTAAATTACTTGCGAAAGAAGTCTAGGAAAAAAGATATTGGATTTTAAATGTTTCGAGGTTAAGTACTAACATATTGTTAATGTTTTGTTTGAAACTAGATGGCGTTGTGTGTCAGATAGCCGAAAATATTTTTTTCATTATTATTACAGTATATGAAATTAAAAAAATAAAAGCATAACATCTATTCGAGTTTAACACTAAATTAAACAAAAATAAAATAACAAACGTGGTGAGTCCGGAACTTGACAGGATCTAAACGACGACGTATCGACATTTTGAAAATATCGATGTATGTCTATTATGTGCCGTTATCAATGACAATGTATTTTTCTCATTACACTGTGTAGTGGAAAATAACGTAACTATATTATATTTCTTTAGTGTGTTTAAAATCGTTTAAAGAGAGTCAAAAATATTTTAAATCATTTCTAATTATGTTGATTCAGTCACTCAACCGTACGAGTGAAGACGAGGGCAGAAGCAAATTCGTAATCATAATAGGTGAACCTTCGATAAATATTTCAGGAAAAGCTATAAGAATCGATTATCGATAAAATGTTCCATAATATAATATTGCCACCACGCATCCCTAGTCAGTTATACGTGATGGCGAATCTGACATTACGTACTTAGGTCAAATAAAATCTTCAAAAATATCTTATCTCTTATAAGACTTATACAACACATGGTGGTGTAATGATAAATCATAGAAAAAATATTGATTAAGTTTACTGTGACTCGATTTTTTAAACGCTTAAGGTTTAGGTAAATATGTTTCTGCCATTGTTCTTTAATGGACGTTTATTATAGGCAAAAACGGCTGATCTGTATGAAATTTGAAAGGCACAGAGATAGATTAGTCTCGAATAGCACTTAGGCTACTTTTCATCACGAAAAAATCTAGTGTTCCGTGGAATGAGCAAGGTACAACAGTAACCGAGGGTAACACCGCGGAGCGCAACTGGTAAAATATAGGTAGGTAAATGTGAATTCGTAAGACAAGGCGGCTATTGCACAAAAAGCCGGCCTTATCTCATTTGAACTATTAAATGTTGTACGTTAAACATGTTACTAACAATTTGTACACTATCTCAAGATTATTAAAACAGGGAAGTAAGATAATGTTTGTTAAAACAATATTGGTCCACATATTTCACAACATAATACGAATTAAGGCAATCTTAACTCATACACGTGGATTTCTAAAATTGTGATTGACTTAACTAATGGTTTTTTCCTTGCGTTGTATGAAGTGGAAGTGGGTGCGAGAGGTATATCAGCTAAATCCCTCTATAACCAGCTTTTTTCTTGAACGAATATTCAAAGTGGCATTGCTCGGCTCTTATCAAATATGGTTAGGTAGAGTTGAGAGGTGTGTTACAAATGACAGTGGCAGCTGACGCGTCGCAAGAAGTACTCCCTAAACCTATTCCTGGGTCGCTGCTGCTGCTGGTTTCGCTGTCAAAGTCGCATGCGATGGACCCGGCACCTGCACACCTATTCTCTACGGAAACAGCCTTGCGTACAGCGCTGCCATAGCGTCGACCTTCAAACTAAGTTCGTTGGAAATTCGACGCTACAGCGCTGTTACAGCGTCGAATTTCAAATTAAGTTTCCTTAGAGAATAGCACTGCTGCACGGAGAATCCATGGAACGCTAAGAACTAAGTCTTTACTGGACAGACCAGGACTGGAAGCTAGGCTTACTTCAGATTTTTTTATGATACAGGGGACAAACAGGAAGGCATGGAAAGTGACTACCGCCCCCGATGAACGCCTGCAACTCAGGAGTGACAACCGCCTTGCCAGTTTATCGTCGCTCTCTGTTTTGATCCCTTAAATTTATCTTAACTTGGCATGACAAAGAGAGAAAAAGAGATAGAAATACTCGTAAATGATCTAATTTTGGATGATTACAATTCAAATAATGAAGTCAGTCTAAAGGGTCAGTCACAAACACTGATGGACGACCATAATACGGATACTAAGTTACATAATTATTTATAATACATACCTCATCGATAAGCCTTCTACCCGTAGTATCCATGTCCCATCCAACGAGCGCATACTTGCCGGGCGGCAAACCTGCCGGTTTCTCAATCAACGCTGGCGGCAACTCCGCCGTCGTCTCCAGCTCGCCACCATTCACCTTCGCTTCGGACACCATTGCCATATAATCTACGTCACGCTGAAGAGCAAAAAACGAATATTTTAGATTTTTTAAATATAATCTACCGAGGATTCTAATCTGCCAAAAATAAAAAAAAACGGATCTCGACCTCCAGAAAGCATTCAAAGTGTAACCTGTTGAACTACCAGAAGTAATTTAAAGACTGTCTGTCTTCCAACGGAAGAGCATTAGCGTACACTCAAACCGCCTATAAATTGACAGATAGGTGCAGAGGGGGATTGAAACACTGTTTTCTAACATTACACCGAAACTGATCATATATAATGACAAGGGAAGACAACGTATTGCACGAAGCTTTGGAGACGGAATAAGTCCTTTCTCAGCGGCCTGTGCGGTCTGCAGCCACAGCTGTATGGATGAATTTAATAATACTGTTGCCTGAAACTGAAGTGTGTAGCTTACGATTGTTTAATAATGTATTTTGTTAAGAAATAAGAGAAGAAAAGGAAGATGCGGATTCGACTTTCATTACAGAAAGTCTGGCTATATTCCCTGGAAATTGTTAATAATTCTGACAACCCAACTTTGCGACACGAGATGGAAGCAGATTGGACTGAAGCAGAAGACGGCATGACTAAAGGGGTTAAACGGGAAATAGTTGATAAAGTTAAAATATTAAAACTTAATTTTACTGAAGCCCGCCTTAATATTAGTTATCTTATCAGATTAAATATACCACTCCTACGTAAAACAGATATATATCGAGTATTTAATCCGAAAATAATTTTAATAAAGACAATGAAATAGGAAACAAAATCTTGTCATGAGTTTTCCCAGACCCATCGTCTTTTTTTTAAGAGATCCACTGTCCGGGATTACGTATCCTATGAAAACACAAGCTATTAGTTTATTTTGTGCTTTTAAGCGAATACTGTACGTACTAAGTATAGTAGTTCCGTCTGCTATTTAAGAATGTGTTTTTGTTGTAGTAGTAATTACAATAAAGGAAGCACTCTTCAATAACAGACGGAACTTAAAAAATATGGTGAAAAAAGTGGTGGGTGGTTTTCAATATATTTTATAATTTGTACTATTTTTATAAAATGCTACGAATAAACTATTTAATTTTTATTGTAGTATGGCCTATATTTTAAAATATGGAGAGTATTATTTGAATAATTTCTCGCCAAATTAGCTTCGTCCTTTCTTTTACCCCGCGCTTTTTTAAACTTCTGTTCCACGTTTTTATATAGTTTATTATTATTCAAAATTGTATTGTCATCGGATCTGGTACGTAGTCTTAAGTAAAACGTGTAGTTCTTAAATTACACTTTTCAAGTTATTTGATGTCTTGAAGTTGATGAAAACTATGTTGAACGATTCCGTAGATAGATAGATGAAAAAAATACGCTCTTTATACCATTTATATGTATGTAAGTATATTATAAAGAGCGTATTTTTTTCTCAGATATTGATATTGTTTGTGTATAGATAGCGCACAGAACTTTACAGAGAAACTCATGCATTGATAAACCGCGGGAGTTCCCCTTTGCTCTAAATGCGAACCTTAAGTAACGACTTAAAGTGCGGGAGTTTTTACTATGTTTCTTTTATACGTTTTTGGTGTTAGTTCGTTATAATAACTTCCGACTAGATCTTTGGAGGTACTAAGTACAATTTTAAAATAATATTGATAAAGAAGAGGTCTTCTTTATCAATATTATTTTAAATTGTAAATTTGTAAAAAAAATTGTAAATTGTGAATTAATTGTTACCCACTTAGGTAAGTGGGTAACAATTAATTCACAATTTACAAATTTGTTGTGGCTTTATACCTATTCTTATACTTTATAAATACTGATAATCTTATACTTTAATTATACTTACTTTTTAACTGTAATTTTCTTAAAAAATATTAATTGTCGTTTTTATGTAACTACATGCTCTCAGAACTAATTAGACAAAAAATTAACCACCTAATGGTATTAATTAAAGTTAGTTACTTAAGTGAAACTCAGACAAACTATCAACAAAGTAATATATCCCAACCTTGGATACACAACCTCATGTCCAAGTCTTTATTTGATATGGTACAAACTATGTAAATTGTATAACTGAAAGTATATTATAATATAGAAAACTAGCTGCACCCTGACACACTTATGTTGTGGTTGCATTAATAAGAAATGAGGAACAAAACTGATGCGATAAATAGATAAAAACTCTACTGCAGGGATGGCTTAGTGGTTTAAGCGGTGGCTTACTACTACGCTGAGTGTTGTGGGTCCGATCCCCAGATGGTATGACATTTTGTTGTTCTAAGTCTAGGCGTTCTTTGTGTATGTTAAATGTATGTGTGTAAAGTCCCCCGCAACACAGGTTATATTCTTAATGCAGGTATTGTCTTTTAATAAAAAGAAAATAGAATCAATTTGTATGTTGTGTCCAACTTTGAGATACACTCTACAGTAAGTGTGCCACAGAAGAGATTTAGAGAGCTTAAAATAGGCAATCTCTGAACTGCATGGTAGTAATTCCCAGTTATCCTAGCAGTCTTAGTTCAAGCCTGAGAAAGGACTGCACCATGAGGCTGGGCTAGTTAGAATCTAGAATTGGAGCTTCCACACATTACAGGTTGACAGGGCAATTTGCTTCTGGGGATAGAAAGTTCAGAATACAGCACAAAAGAAAATTATAAATGCAGACATTTCTTAAAAAATAACTAACACTTAATTGGATTTTGTTATCATTTATTTGCACATTGGAACAATAGACAGTGGTATCTTTTATAACTTGATCTAATTAGAAATCAATATTGACACTTCATTAGTATTTGGAGCATTAAATATGATAATAATACATTTCAAACATTAAAGCAAGTTTGATTACATTATAAATATATTAAATGTTATTCAATAATGCAATTGAAAAAATGTCGAGTATATTTTTTTTCTTTCAACTAACACATCTAAGAAACTAACCATTATTATATTTTTTCAATTAACTTTAACAAATGTATAACTAATTTCAATATCTCTTAGTAGCAAAATTTTTAAATTTTTTCTATTTCACCACCCTCAAAGTTGACAAAAAAAATCTTATTATGAAACTTCTCCTATTAAGATCTTAGTTTTAAATGTCAATTTGTTGATAATATTCCCAACCGGTTTGTATGCATTTCTAACTGATAGGTACTAAGCAGTACCATCACAACAAAAGATGAGGTTTAGCACCAGCAGATCATTAAAAATGTTTGTAGAACTTCTGTTTTATACTGTAAAAAATGATAAAGTTGTTCTAATATGAATTTATTTTTGTTTCTAAATTTGAATGTGAGTTTATAGAACTCACATTCAAATTTTACCTCTTTGATACATTTTTTGTCATTCTTACATCAACATACTACTATAAAATAATTCTTATAAAAATCTTACATTGAAATTAAGCAGCTTGGAGCAGTGCTTAGAAATTATCAAATTATACTATCTACCTACAATGATGATAACTGCTTACACTAGATAGATGACTGCAATTTTCTCCAAAACACCATGTTTTTGGAGAATTACGATAAAGACCTTGATAGCAGTACAAGTACACAAAGAGTAAGCTCAGGTTATAATTTTTTTTTTAACTGCAAGTATGCTGAACCATCGAGACATTAGATATTAAAATTAGGCTGTAATTAAAACAAAATTATATCTACGAGACACGATACAGAAAAAGACCGGCGTTCTAAAATAATCGATCATGTGAAAACAAAATAATTACGAAGAACATAGACTATACTACCAAACGTATTTGCTGCAAAAATATTCTCATAAATGACCCGTTTCTTCTGTAAACTTGTCCTTTGGTTTAATTTTTACCTTGAAAACTAGATAAAGTCGGAAAAAAATAAAATTTAAGACACGTGGCGGTCTTTTTCTAGAGACATTTTGCCCCACCCCAGCACGTCAAAATAATTTTAATTTTATACTTACAACCTAAAAGAAGTGATGATTGGATGTTTTCAAACAATATCTGTTTACGGGAACTTTATGCGACGTCTCGCTAACACTGTAAAGTAAGATAATTTGGTAAAAATATCACAAAATCTCAGCACGTGTGCGGCAAATGGCAAACCGCAATAATGAGTGATGTGAAAATTATTTATTGTCGACTGGAATTCGATTTTACTAACATAACTTTCTGATAGTTTTCAAATAAAATTTTATAAAGAATAAGTACCTTCTAACGCAAGATAAATACGTTATTTGGTCTATTCGCTTGCAACTACATTCAAGTGATTCTGTAATATACAATATAATATATGGCCAGCCAAAAATAGAAACGACATGACGTACAAACGAAAGATGTAATAAAAACTATGTTAATCCTTCGAAATAACGACTGTAATATGTGAATCGATGAAAAACGTGCAGTCAAAATCAACTTAGTAGAAATTTATGAACGTAAAAAGAAACCGGAATTACTATTCACGACACTCAATTTTCTTGAACATCACTATCAAGTTAAAAGATCGAAAAAACATTGGTCGCGTTCGAAAATTGACCACTCTACGACAAGAGGGTCACATAGAGGTTTTAAGCTTGAATTAAAATCACCTTACCTTAGATTTATTTATTCTTTTTAATTAACTTATACGTAGTGGTTTTACTAAAAAAAAATTTTTTTTAATTATTAAGGTACTCAGCGTTGCGTTCCATCCTACCAAGTGTGTTAAAATATAAAGCCTGAAGTTCAATTCTCGAATAAAAATTCGTTCAAAATTCATTTTCGATGCACTCTCGATGCTACAAATGATTTTTTTTTGGAATTTAATGACCTAGTAACTAAGACCTTTAAGTCAAGTCTTATTTTTCCTACAAATGTTATAAATAGCTTGCTACATTATACTAATCTGTGATAAATAGTATTCTCGTAGTGAAGTAGCAGCTTTCATGCTACCGAATACTTCAAAAAATTGACCACATCATTCAAATAATTGTATTTTATATTTACCTTGCGCTTGCCCCACTATTAGTAGAACCTATGGAATCTTACTTAACGGTGTAAGGCAAGATTTGGTTTAAGGTTTAATACTGACACATTATGAAACTATCTTTTCCCTTGAAAATAATAAATTATGTGTTGAGTAGGGACTGAATACGCTTATAATATGCATTGTCTATAGAGAATATCTCTGTACCCGGCGGCCCTGAGGCAGCCCTTTATAAACTCCACGCCAACGAAGTCACTGGTACCACCTAGTTTGTAACTGAAACTGAAACGCAACGCAATGCCAAAGTAGGGGTGGATTTGTCAGATTAGATCGAAAATGTCAAAACTGTCTAACGTTTAACGAATGTTGGGTTTATATTGATGTATTATAACATTTTGCTCGTTTTCTTGTAATTGTCAATTATTTTTTCAATAAGATGACTGATAATATAGAATATTATCGAAATCAGATTGCATTAGCTAGAACCGAAATTAAAAATTTACGGTAAGTTTCCTTATAATGTTATTTTTATTGATTTGTTTTATGATTATTACTGTATTATTAATTTTTGTTATAGACAGCAGATATCATCTCTCAAACATGAACATTTAAAGGAAATAAAAAATATAAAAACTACTTTAAACGACTTTCGTTGTTCTCACTGTGGTGACGCAGGTGTGTAATATTGTCTATAATATTTAATTATGCATTTTTACGGTTGCGTGGGTTTGAGAGTATTGTGAATATATTATGCTGTCTGATTTAATGCTAATTACTTAGTGTAGTCGCTATGCAGTTGAAATGCAAGGTAAACCAGCATGCAAAGAAAGTATACGGTAAATTTATTACATGTGTACTGTATTCTTTCATTTTGTAAATATTAATAACTTTCTATTTGTTGTAGTTTGTCTAAAATATTAACAATATTGTGTATTTTTTAATTATGAATTTGCAATTTAATTTAATTATTGTTACTAACTCAACTAACTAAAAAAAATCCTACTAACATAATATGTGTACTAATTAGAAAAAACTATTAAACATTATGATAAATATTGTATTAAAAAAAAATTGAGACAGTTGTGTAACATCGAAAATTAATTTGTAGAAATAATAGGTTTAAAAGGATAACTTATGAAAAAAAATAATCTTAAGTTGTTTATTTAATATACATAAATATTTATTTAATACAAAAAATGAGCCAGTGTGGGCGTCTGGCAGACGTGAAACATCGAAATTATCTTGTGGAAATAAACATAAAAAACACACATTCCATGTTGCATATACTATCTCATAGTGAGGCAGAGTATGAGGGTCTGACCATCGTCATTAGATGTTTCACATCAAAAATCTTTATTATTTACAGCAACAACATTAAGGCAAAACGGTGAAGCACAATACTCTGTTGACTCTGATTGCATTTTATATCGGCCTATAGGAGTAATAGAGACAACATTCCAAAACAAAAGAGCAGTACCACGACAGCCCACTGTACTGGCTAAAGCTAAGGGAGTTCTCATTATAGATCCTAGTGTATTTAACAACCCGGAACATGCTTTAAGTGGACTGGAGGAATTCTCACATATGTGGTCTGTACAACTTAAGTGTATGAAACATTAATTTAAATTGTAATTTTTAGAGTAAGATTTGATTTGTTGATGTCTGTGAAGAGGAGAAAAGAAGCAAGACAAACTTAAGTTTATAAATGAAAAAGCTGCCATAAATGTTCGAAAAATGTTTTCCGACATACATTTTCTACAAATAAATTTTAACGGAGTCAGTCTTACACTTATTAAAATAACTTTTTTACTTTCATCAAAATGCAAACTTAGTTATGCAAATTGAGATATACAGTTTAGAAATGTGCTTAACTGTTAAAATTATTTGTTTATAGCTAAACACCTTAGAATCACAAGTAGAACATTTTTATTAATTTATTAGATCAATATCTGATTACAACTGACAACAAGACAACATTCATTGTAATAAATAAGGGCGTTAATAATTACATGATATTATAACCGATAGTTTATTTGTTTTCATTAGTTAAACCATGGATCTATAATATAGGCGTGCTAAGCAGAGGTGTTTTTGTTTTAAAAACTCAAAAATAGAATTCATATGAATATACATTTTTATACCCAATTATAATTTAATACCATATATAAGGGTGTTAAGTCCCTTTGGAATAATTCTTTCACACATAATAATCAAACAACTTTAGAATATAATAAACTTTATTGTACATCGGTTAAGTACATTAAACATACCATAGTAAATCAAGTTAACAACCATGTACAAATGGTGGCCTTATTGCTATAAAGCAATTTCTTACAGGCAACCTTTGGATGGACAAATAGAGTGACATAATTATTATTATTATCATCATCAAAGAGGAATTTCTATTAATACCTATTGTCTAATACATTTCAGGAGATAAAAAATGACTTATCTCTGTGTTTGTTTTATATGAACTTGAAACATTTTCAGGATAATATTCCATTTCCATGTGACAGAGAGTACAAATGCGCCAGCTAAGGTTGCTCCCCCAAGGCTTGGTGGGGAGAGGCGCGGCGTGTTTTCTACCAGGTCACCGCATCGGCCTTGCCCTATAGGATTGTCTCTTGTTAAGATACAGAGTATAGAAGGTAAATCTCATTTTGAAAGCTTGTTGAAAAATGCTTGACAAGAATAGAAAATAAATTTTTATACTGGTGCTTTAGTATATCTTCAAGTAACGATAAGAGACTAACAATAATAATATACTTAGTGTTTGCCTATAAGTTTCTGGTGTAATCAAAAAATATACTAAATAGTATATTTTTGTCTTCTAGAAAAGCAAAAGAAAGAAAAAATAAAAGCAGTAAAAAGAATAAGTAATCATTTTACTGGGTAAAATAAATTCACTATCATTCCTTCCTTACAATTAGATTTGTTTTCGTTCTACATAATGTACAGTCTGTTAAATAATTATTAAAATTTCCACCAGTTTTGTTGTATAATAATATGTTCGTCATTATTATAATAAGAATACTAAATTACCCTTTTATTTATTCACTAGCGATCCGCACAGGCTTCGCACGGGATACAACGCAATGTAGATACTACTAATACTACTAATGCGGTGTCAGTGTGGAGTAATTAATTATACTATTATTATGATAGGACTATACAGGTAAATTAGCTTGGAGAAATTTTTGCGTTTGTAGTAGTGTATGGTGCGGACAGCGTAAACTGGTTTATTCTGGTTTTGTGCGTTTTTCCATTTTCCACTATCAAGTGACGATTTTTTGCTTTAGATTGAAATATCTCGGAAACGGTGCGTCCTAGGCCAAAAATAACAAAAAGTTTGACCCCCCGTAGACCCCCCGGAGTTTTAAAAACCTAGATGAAAGGAAAAAAAAAAAAAAATTTAATATCGGTCTCTCCTCTTAGAAGTTTCACTTCTATCGTGTGTGAATCGCACACACACCTTTTTTTTATAAAGTCAAAACCTTTTTCTTTAAAATAAAAACTCCTTTTTATTGAAAAAAAAAATCAGAGTGTTGCTAGGGATAAGTATAAAATTAAATAGTAATGTTAGGATATCGAAACATTTTTGTATAGGCCAGAACGATATAGTGGAAACGCGCTCTAAGATCTGAGTAATATACACACCACTACATATGCAAAAATTTCTCGAGACTAATTTCACTGTACTATAATAGGACATCATTAAATGCAATATTTAAATGCCCTCTCCGATACAACCACAAATATTCATTTTAATGATATGCTGTAAAGAGCAATTTTAATCTACATTAGATGCACACCGTATTTGACGTTTTTAAGATAAGGAATTTTAATATATTGTTTAAAATAGCTTCCTAAGGAACCCATTTTTTTTGTAATATCTAATAGATAAAAATGGCTATTGTAGGTTATCCTTAGGTGGATCCTACCACCATCACGGACTTTTTGTTAATTTTTTTAGATCACAATTCTGTACATTGTTTAGATCTATCTCGTAAGGTTTAGCCAGCGTTTGCAATGTAAACGCATAAAAACATGTTTTACAACAAATCTTTGAAATTCTCGGATTTTCTCTACTATAATATGCATATATTATACTTAAAACCTTCCTCTTGAATAACTCTCTTTATTGGTGAAGTGAAAGCCGCATTAAAATCCATTGTTTCGTTTAGAAGATCTGTACAATACAAAAAAGGGACTTTATTTAATACTATGTAATCTTACTTTTTGGGACTAAAGTACTTAAATGTATGTGTGTCAAATTAAGACCCATAGTACTTTGTTGGTTTTCTAGTTATATAAACTGGGCTAATGGTAGATATAATTTAGACCACAGATTTTATTAAAGATAAGTAAAATAATTTTTAAATGTTATTAAAAATGTTATATATTGTAATAGTTTATTAATATGAATGAATTACTTTTTTCTACACAGGTAATAAGATAAAGTTCCTGGGTGTTGACATGGTTAATGGTACACCTGTGCTTGACATAAAGCCATACATTCCTCAGTATGACTATCCGATGCTAGAAGTGGACACTGGCATGTCGTCGTTAGAAAGACCTCCGACAGAGGGCATTAGTGACGCAATCTCTAATCTCCAACTAAGTAATAATCTTTTAGATGCGGGCAGGTTAGTAATATATAAAAACATTTTAAATTCTTATCTTTAACTGGAACTGAAGGCCAATTCTCGTAATAAAAGTTCGGTCTCAATTCAGTTCCGATCATCCTACGATCTCACAACTTTCATAAAATAATTTTCTGGTGTCCTAAGGTATGTCATTTTCATAGGATATATTACCGAGTGATAAACATTTTAAGTAACACATTTCGCATTCTGTAATGCGAAATGTGTTACTGTTTTTTGCACTGGTTAGATATAGCTTCGAATATCGATAATCGGCTGACGATTTCCGAAAGGACGGCAATAGTTGTGTATATGATAAATTGCCAGTTTGTACCTATTTATACAGGTGTCCCAGAAGTCGACGTCAAGCAAGAATCGGGTGATAGGTCATAATAGTTAACAGAAACATATAAAAAAATATCTTTGCTGTGTATTTTAAAAATAACAGGCATTAAACAAAACGAGAAAATCGACACTCTGTGACACACCTTTTAACTAATTTTACTACAATTTTTAACTTTCTTTAAATTTTCTTTTTATTATGTAATCCTGAATAATGTTTCTGAAAACCGTTGCTTAAAATTTACAGCCAACTGCTCCATTTCAGAAGGAAATGTAATTTTTTTCCCAACCAAGTATTCAAAATTAATACTTTGCCCAGTGTTAAATGCCTGTCCTGAAAAAAAAACGTACTGCACGAGTTTGGCAAGTAACTTTAAAAGTTGGCGCATTGAATACACTTATACTTACTTAGTTATACACATGCAAGATTGTTTGTTTGTTGATTGTTGTTTAAATTATATAATAACGGAGGGAAGCAGTTGATACGAATTGTGAGCGAGACATAAATCCTTTCTTCAGGTAGTCCAAAATCACCATGATTCCTTCTTGACTTCGATTTCTGGGACACCCTGTACACGATTTTTTTTTAAGTTATGTAAACTTAAAAAAAAATCGTGAATGGTAGGTACTCATATTATTTAGTACAGTACATAATATAAGATTGGTAGTTTAGATGACTACTTTATGAAAGGGTGAAGTGGCCATACGCGTCGGTATGTTAGTAAAATATATAATTAACTTACGTGAACAAGAATTGTAACGTTAATCTGTTGTCACAAGTAAAAAAAAATATCAGAAAGGTACACTATTGACAGGCAGAGAAAAAAAGTGAAATAAAACTCAACAGCATGTTATTAATAACGATATTTGTTTTAGAAGTTAACAACCACACTTTTTCTTATTAAAGGTTATCATCGCTACCAAATCCAACGGATTTAGAGACATGTAGTCCACTTTCCCGTTCACCATTCGAAGATAATCCGTCTTCAGAGCAGCTCAGTAATCTCAACACGTCTATAGCTCCCTCACCAGAATCTCCATCAAGCGTCGACTTACTCGACGGAGCTTACAACACGCCACCCATCCGACGAGCGGAAACAGAACGAGGAGCACCCGACGGCCAAGAAAGGTACACCCCTCCTCAATCAGCACATCTAACAAATATATCCCATGACGGTATCAGAGTAGCGCCATGGATATCTAATCCGCCATCGCAAAGTTACGAAGTGAGATTCACAGATGATGCTTTGAACAGATTAAATGAATTAATAGGAGATCGAGCTCAGACCTTCAGATCTAATATTGAATGCTTATTGTCTGAAGATCCCAGGTCACACTACGTGAGAAACAGATATCCAGACCATGAATACAGTTGCGTATTAGAAGATCTGTCTATAAGTTGTATTTTTGATTCTAATGTGTCAGTATGTACAATTATAGCTATAAGGAATGCTGAAGATTTGTAAATAGATTGTATTTATTTTATTCAGGGTTTTGAAAGAGTGTGCGCAAATTCATTATTATGATTAATAAAGGATAGCAAGAAGTAATTTACCATAAAAGGAACAATTCTATGCATCATTATATGGGTATACGCCTTCAAAACAGTGTTTTACACTAAGGAGATAGTGTATGCGTATCAATCCCACTCACGAATTTTTATCAAACTATGTTACACAAACTAGACAAGCTTTTAAATTAAATATGGGTAATTAAGCCAATTTATCATGAATTATCACTAACAGAAATCTACTTGCACGGAATCAAGTAAAGTGTGGACCAAGATGTCTTGGTGTAGGGCAATGACATTTCGGTTTCGTTGCGTATGGTCAAATTCACAATGGGTTAAGAGACCGAAAAACACAGTTACCAAACAGTTCAGAATCACAATTGGTCGAATATTTTACTTCACGTATAGCTCGTGGTTATAATGTCAATAATGTGTACGAGTATACTATATCTGACATTGGTGCTAATTCTGTTGTTGACACAACTAAACTAAAATTTCTTTAAAATTCTGTTACTTTAGTGAGGCGATTGCCAAAATGCTATTCTGTCGACAAGTTAAACTAAATTTGGTGTTTATTATGACAGCATTAAATCTGAATCTGACGTCACTAAAAGTTTAAATGGAAAGTGTTACCGTTGTTTAAAATTAAGAATGAACGATAAAGAGTGAATAAATACAAAAATTGAAACGATATTTTCAGGATTTTAAAATTCCTGTAAATGATTTCATATTATAGATGAAATAGTAAATAAAATGATGTGATTCACAGTTATAGCTAAGTAAATACAGATTACTTAGTTCACATAACTGGCAAACCGCGATAAACCATTTTCGTTACCTAACTAAACACTGTTTACATCGATATTAATTCTTTAGTTTTTTAATAGATGGTGTAAGTGACGTCAGTAATACTTATAATAAAATTCTAATAAATAAAAATTGTTACATCTATTTTTATTAAATGTAATATAATATTTTTATGATAGATCTAGACATTAATTAAAAATAACTATGTAAAAGCCCAAACCTGAAAAATTGGTTCAATGTGACGAGTAGCTTCCCCAAGCTAAGCTCGAGACTTTGGCTAGGGAGCCTAGAAAGTTTCTGACACTTCTCCTCTGTCATCTCAAATGGATTGGAGTTGTCTAGAATCTGTTCCAAGATTTGGAAAATATTCTTTAGTCTCCAAAAATAATATGTAGGTATGTCTTAATAATCCAGATAAGATAGATGATAAAAATACAATTGTCATTTAAGATGAAAAATATGTCTGTACCTTTCCGTAAAACTGTCAAGAGACAAAACATGTAATCGCTATAAATAATAAAAAAAAAATCTAAAGATTTTATATTTAAACAGTCATCATCATCATCATCAACAGCCTTTAATAGTCCACTGCTGGACATAAGCCTCTCCTTAGAAAGGAGGTTTTGGCCTATTTAAACAGTATAATGAACAAATTAGTCGGCATGTATTCAGATAACGTCCAATTTTAGTCTTACATTTCTAACTTTAGTCAATCTTTGACGATTAGAACGTACCTACAACAGAATAACAAATGACCAGTTAAGTAACTTAACTAATTTTGGTTGTGTCAAACTAAATATAGTAACAAAATTTTGCAATTTGCAACACTGCAATTTTGACAAATTGCGATTATCATGACAATGACCGATTGTGACTTTGTCCATAGGTGACGTTTCGTGCTCTATGGTGAGTTCAGTCACTTTAGGGCGCGCACACACTGTTGAAACTCTTAATATTTAGTGAGGCACAATAAATAAGGTATCACCAAATGTTTGTTAAAATTTTATTGTGAATAAAATTGATGAAATAGAATGAACTTATACATTTGAAAATATGTTTTTATTTACAATGATTAACAAATATATAAAATAATAATTCAATAAAATTCTTTCATTTCTTTACTAAAACTTGATTACATTGGTTTTATTATATTATATTTATTACAAAAATAAGTACGTATTGTACAATATCTATTAATATGAGGTAGGTAGATATTGTTTTTTTAACAAATATAAAGTTTATGTACTACATAAATACAATTTTGATAAAAAAAAAGTAGCAATATAATATTGTTAAGTTTAATTCATGTCCAATAGGATGGTAATAGATCCATAAATACGTAACAGCGAACAGACGAAACGAGAGGGGTTAAAATATTTTTGGAAGAGTATTTACCAAATCATATTCAACTTGAATTGAGCAAGGATTGGCCTTTACTCGTCAGATAATGGACAAAAAAGTAATGAGAAAAGCCTAAATATCTAAGGAGGAAACTGTTCTAGAGGAATGACACCATGGTCAACCTGGAGTATGTTATAATCTGATTTAAAATAATATAATATATTCTAAGCTCATTAAGTAATTTTGAGTATATTGTAATTTCAATAAAATAATTGAGTATGGTTTTATGCCATTAAATAATACTCTAAATGTGCTCTATTAAAATGAAGTGAGGTAAAACATTTACATATTTCTCCACCACAGTAATGTTGTATAAAATTGTTGATACTGGTGCTAATTCTATTCTCTGATAACTCTCTAAACTAAACTAAAAATCACAAAAAAAATTGTTTAGTCCTATCAAGTACTACGTTTTCAGAATACGGAACGTTATTTAATAGGACTAAACAAATTTTGAAACAAACCCTATACCAACCCGTCTGGCCAGCGTGGTATAGGAGGCCAAAACCTTCTTCCTAAGGAGAGGCCTATGTCCAGCAGTGGACTAGTAAAGGCTGTTGATGATGATGATGATGAAACAAATTTTTAGTGATGTTTAGTTTAGAGTTTTCGAAGAACAGAATTAGCACTATTATACATTTAGTTATCAGATTTATAAAACAAAATATGTTTCCCTGAGCCAAATCCTCCAACAGCACTTAATATATTCAACCCTACATATCTCATTGGTTTATCATTAAATGCAATTGTTTTTACTGTTTCATCGTGTTTCCAATCAATAGGTTGGGACATAGGACTCCATTCTTTACCATCTGTAGAAAATCTATACTGTAGTTGAAGAATAGTGCCATTTCCTGCATCCTCCCTTGGGGTGTACTCTATTTTATTAATTTTATAGATACTTCCCAAGTCAAATTTTAATTCAATTACTTTGCCTCCAGTTGCATTAGCTTGGTGTGGCTTGGCGAAATCTGTTTGCCATAAGGAAGTAGGATCTCCATTAGTAAGCAGACATACTTCTTGGAAAGGTTGACATGGAATGTTACAAAGTACTTTTACACCCTTCACTGTATTTTTATGGGGATCTTCTTTTGTTGAAACTGTTATGGAGTAACTCCATTTTGATACACCTTTATCGCTAGCCGATCTGATTCTGAATTTGTGCTCGGATTCCACTTTGAATCCATCAAAAGTAAATTCTGTACCTGTGATGTTTGTGAACAGTGTTCCATCTCTTTCAATTTCATAATAAACGTTTTTCTCAGAATCCCAACGTAGGCCGATTGCTGTCGGCGTAATATCTTCGTCTAATACTGTAAATCTAGCGGGCGCCTTTAGAGAATTATTCAAAACTGTATTGTTTCCAAAGATTAGACTTTTGTTTTCAAATCCCTTAATTTTTATATGAATATCGCTATTTGTAACATCGGTTTTCTGAACCTTTATCATTATACATTTTCGTTTCATTGCCTCACTTCCAAAATCTTTCAGATAAGGATTTACCAGGTACTCATTATTGAAATAATAAGCATTTTCTTTTGCATGAAATTCTTCCTCTGTTTCAACTTTAGGAATTTGAATAATATCATCGTTTATAGTAGCTTTTATGTGATGAGCTGCATCTGCTGAAGCCATTATTCTAAAGAGAGTTGATCTCTCTGCCACCATATTTTGGTAAATTCCTTTTGTTTTATGCACATGTATGTATAGTTCGCCATGGCTATTTGACGTGGGCCCAACGACTGTAATTTTTGTTTTAGCATACTGGCCTTGTAAATAATCAGCAGATTTGCCATCATCTTCATAAACTTCAAAGTTAGATTCGCCGTTCGGGAAAATTTCAAAAATTCTTTGGTCTCTTTTTATCTCATAACAGTTATTATTTGGATTTACCATAGGTATTATGGCACCATCTTTTATAAATATAGGTATTCTCCACAAGGGTGTTTTTAAGTTGTTCCATATTTTTCCACCCTGGTATTTTTCTCCAGTCAACAAATCCACCCAAACTTGATCAGGATCGGGTAAATAAACACCATGACGTACCCATTCACTATCTTTGTTATATTCTTCTTTGTATACCGGAGCAACTAATATATAAGGACCCCACATGTACTGATACTGTGAGTCCTTCGTATATCCACAATTTTCTTCGGGAAATTCTAGAAACATGGCTCTAATCATTGGCAAACCGTGTGTTGATTTGTAAGATATTGTATAATTGTATGGCATAAACATCGACTTTAATTTTAAATATGCTCTATTAATAACTTTAGCTTCGTCGTCAAATATAAATGGCGTCTTCTGAGTATTACCCCAACCGTCCATACTTAATTGTAGTGGTGTAAATGCTTTCCATTGATAGTCGCGTATATTCACATTTTTTACACCTCCTCCATAAATGCCGTCCATATCCGAGCCTACAATAGGTATACCGGAAAGGCCAGAGCCAATGTATGTTGGTATATGAAATCTTATGTATTCCCATTGTCCCCCAGTTTGGTCGCCGCTCCATATTCCTGCATATCTTTGAGTGCCAGCCCAGCCATCAACCATTATAATCATTGTTCGAGATTTATGGTTAGCTCCTTTTGTAAAGAGCTTAGCAGCATTCTCAACCGCGTTTAAGGCAAAAGAATATCCGTATCCAATCCATGCGACGTCACATTTAAGTGCAGCTACTCCTGCAATTCGAACTTCATTTATTAAGTCACGATCACCTTTTTTCGGATTTTCAGGATCTACAGGCTCTAAATTTGATTCTGTCCACAACGCAGTTTCGACGCCCTTTCTTCTCGAATATTCTGCGAATTGCCTTAGATTTTCTATATCGCCCTGTAGAGAATTTGTCTGACCGTAGCCAGAACCATAACCATCGTTGGGTATAAACCAACCTAGCGGCATATCGTATTTTTCGTATCTATCAATCATACCTCTTGCTGAGAATTGGTAATTGTTTATCTCCCCGTTCAATGACTCCAATATACCTTCTTTGTCGCCCATATCTTTGGGTTGATAACATCTGTAATAATGTCCATCTTCGAACAAAATCGCTCTTGGTGTATTCTTATCAACTTTTACCCAGTAATCGCGATTGAATGCATTTAAATGAGCCTCGTAAAATGCAAACTCTGGCATGAAAATTGGTTGTCCAGTCAATTCGTAATAATCTTTTAATATATCTACTGGGTTAGAGCTAATGAAGAAAAATGCATCAAAAAAGTTTTCTTGGTGAACTGTTTCAACAATATCGGGATTTATGACACCAAAATCATAGACGCCTGGCTGCCAAGTGTTCCTTAAAACGGCATAACCTTTAGTGGACCAATAAAACGGACAGGGCGATGTTACGCCGCCATCCACCCAATTGTTTGTATTAACGATTTGTATTTTTTCTCCCTTGTGCGAGAATCTTCCGTTTTGCATTCCGCCGCCAAAGAAATATTCATCTTTATGTTGGTATAACGTCTGTTTGGCTACGGTATCATCATAGTACAAAGGTTGGGACTCAATAAGTACGTCTTTGTTGTTGCGTAAGTCCTGTACAGTCAAAGTACCGTGTTTCTTATCAAAGCGTATCGTGATTTTATTTGTATAAATGTTAAAATACTGTTCAGTTTCTTTGAGTATAGAATATTCAAAGGGTTTATTATCGTAATCGATTATATTTTTCACGTTTATCTTTGCGATGTCGGTTGGATTGTTCGGTGTTGGAAAATCTTGGAAGTCGCCTGTTGGTGACATGTAGTACTTAAATACATGGCTGTTTAATATATTGAGCGTAGCCAGTTCTCCAGTATCATATTGAATCAAGAACTCAGTGTCCGTCTTTATAAAGGACGCGATACCTCCTAAAGCCTTCATTTTTCGGGTAGTACTTATTCAGCAACCTGAAATAGAAGAATAACTACAGTTTAGTAAATAATTAAAATAAATGATTGTTTTTTTTTAAATGTAACTTGCATCAACGAGGTCTATGTCCAGAAGTCGGCTGTAATAAATAAACTCTTAAACTTTTAATTTCAAAGCAATGTAAATACATATTAAGTTCATAGGTTGACATAAATGCCTTGGTAATTATCTATTAGTGAACTTTTGTGTGACGAAAACGAAAAAAAAGTACCTAGATGTTTTTCTAATTAATGTTATTAAATAGTAAAACTAATTATATACTGATAATATAATCCGTCTTAAGATTGCGCAATAACACTTGTTGATATGATTACCATATCACTTACCGCTTGGCGTAAATTTAATTTAGTATGATTGGTTTTATATGATGATAATGATGATATTTAGCTTAATAAAGGTGTAAATGCAACGGTACTACTCATACGATATAAATCATAAAATTAATTTATTGTACTTACTGAAATTAAATTGGGCTAAATTATTATTAATACATAGCACAGTTATTGCTTCTCGAAAACAAAATCTGTAGAAAACTAATTTCGATGAAGTAAAGTGTACTACTTACTTTACTACTGTATTACTTTTCCTTTTGCTGGTTTTTAAATATCGTGTTATATTAATTCAAGATTTAAAAACATTTATAGATCTCGTTTTGGGTAAACGCCTAATTAATTGCCCAGTGTTTCATGCATTAGGTATTAGTTTGTTCTCATCTAAATGACAAGATGACTTGTTCTATCAAAGGTTGGTTAGTCTGAGAGTTTAAGCAAGGTAGATGGTACTGGAACTGGTACTACTACTACTACAGGAAATACTTAGGTTTAGGTTACTAAAGCTTCTACTCACTTAGAATATCGAGAAAAACACCAGAGCAGTTTGTTGTCTGGGAGTCAGTGGACCGACTGTAACATTTTCATTTTATGGCAGTCTATTTATACCTGAATGGGCAGCCATATTTAATGCCTTATAGTGATCATAGATCATAGAAAGGGTGTCATTTAAATATTAAAGATATCAAATATGTCGATCTAATCGTGAGCCTAGCTAAGCTTCATCTTCAACAACATTACTCATTTCCAGCCAATCCTCCACACATGTCGATAAAAGTAAGGAGTCAATGCCCTCAATATCGCAAAGGATCTTAATAGCTTTCTTTTTTGAATTATCCCTTTGTGTTTTTCCGAATAAATGCAAATCATCCTAATCTGATGGGATTAGATATCGATCATAGCATGCTTAGTAATGAGATAGATGTCAAGGCTAGAGAGACTTTGTATTTCTTCTTATAATATACCTAAATACTGACAGCATAAAGATGATATTTAGTCGTTTTTTTTTGTGTACAATAACATTCTTGAGTTGGATCCATAATTACCAAAGATAAAATGTAAATATTATATCTCTTAGTGCATTACATTATACTGGAGCAACCGGTCGTGTTTTCTTTTTATATGGTGTCGCAGTTAGATTCCAAGGTGGCCGTTGAACAGTAAGTATAGTCAAAATTACATTTAGCATGTATTTCAGCTGAACAAACTAAAGAAGGTTACTCATAACTCACAACTTCCCATTAAGTATTCAAGTTTGCACAAAATACATCGATTTTACATTAAGACATACCTTTTGTTTAGATGTGATCGTTGCCTGTATGGTATACCTAACTCAATTTTTTTATGATATAAAAGGGCTAACGAGCACATCGGTCAGCTGATGGTAAGTAACTACCGCTGCCCATGAACACCTGCAACTCAAGAGTATGTGGATATTTCACTAAAAACCCACCCCGATGGCCGGCCTTAGGCATCCTACTCTGGGACGTCCCGGACCATTTTATTTCAGGTCCTCCCCGAATTGAAACCATGCCCTATCCCAGGGAAAAACATTTCCCTCAATCAATCGCGGCGTGGCGGCCTTATTGCAATCTTAATGCAACCAGACTGCCATCCTATCCCCTACCGCAGAAACCAATCTGCCACCAGAGGTCCCCGCTCTCTGGCGGCCCGCAGCCTTGAGTCCTACCACATAGATTCCGGGCGAGGTTTGGGCTCCGGTAACCTTTCGCACTCGGTGAAAAGCAACAAAAGAATTGCTTAAGACCAATTTTCTGTGAGGCTGTGATATCACTCCGGTCGCGGCGGCCCACTTGTGCCGAACCACCTCATTGTGAAATTTACTTGTGAAACTCATTGTGAAATTTACTTTCACGATTATAAAGTTCTTGTTCACAATTCCTTTTATGTTTAGGATAAATCTAAAAGAGCCACAGGCAGCAGGCAGCATACCAAGGTTGCTACCTTGATATGCTGTTCACACATTCACATAGGTCTACAAGCTGACCGTGTGATGACTGATTAAAAAAAGCGAAGAGTCACCACCACTGTTCATCCCTTGGGTAACTAAAGGAATACACTACGCAGAACAAGAACACTGCAAAGATACGGAAAACTTGAAATAAACCCTTTACGAACCCGTCGGTATATCGTATCGTATAGTAGGCCAGAACCTTAACGTGGGAGAGCCATGCTATCTTGCGATACACGGCCTTACAGGAAAACGGTTGGTTAAGCAATTACCTGTAGCATTTCACCGAGTGAGTGAAGTTTCTAGAGCCCAACTCCCAAGACCCCCTCCCAACTTATGATAACGTCGTTGAACAACAGTCTATCTCAGGAGGGGGAATTGCTGCTCTAGCGTTTTATAATCCACCTCTGGACGTCCACGCTCAGAACACCAAGCATCTCTAAAATGAATGGCTACAGACTCTGCGCTGCAGCAGATCGTGATACATGGCGACTTTAACGCTCACAACGCCGAGTGGTTTGGCTCATGCAAAATTGATCACGCGTGGAGATCTGTTCACGATATCGCTCTGACCTATGGCTTGTCACAACTGGTATCAACGCCCACGCGTTTCCACATCTGGGACCCCCAGATGTGGAAAGTCAGCCTTGACTGTTGTACCTTTCGCGGACCTCTGATCCGTATGGTTACAAAGTCACCGTTGAGGCCCTACTTGGCTCCACGTATCATTGCCTAATCTGGAGTCGTAATCTACAGAAGAGCCACCTTAAAAAATACAGATCAGTGATCTGTATTTTTTAAGGTGGCTCTTCTGTAGATTACGACTCCAGATTAGGCAATCTCTGATCTGAGATCACTTATATCTTAAAATGATGTACGTCAAACGTACATAATGTACTTAGGGCCATTATTGCTGTACGTCCACTACGTAACAAAATGATTAGCATCGATTGCGGCTTTGCTGCGGAGCATACTCCCTAGTTTCCCCCGCGTTTTCTATGAAAATAACGAATGCAATGCTGCAGAGCACAACACCTAATCTAGAGTACGGTGCCACACTTGTGCCGCAGCCGCGAGTGCGGGCTGCTGCCGCGTATGGCACTGGGATGGGATACGTTCTTTCTTTGCGTCTCCTACTCCTGGAGGAAGTTTTGTTTCTCTCTGTCACTGATGTAGTACTTCAGGGCATTGAAATATTCGTTCCATCCACATTAATTCGCATCGGCGGCAGATCCAAGTCTTAGTTCGAAAGATCCTGCAAGACGGCGTCCCGGCGAATTCTTACCAAGGACCTCTCATGGACAAATGCAGCGAAGGTAGGTGATGTAAATACCAGCACGATAAAAAACAATACAATGTTGCCTCCAGGTCCCTCAAAAGAGCCATTGATAGGGCGAAATCGGAGCACATCAGCCAGATTAGTGAGACTCCCTTCTGGTCTCTTGACAAGACTGTCTAGGGGAATTTCTGTAGTTAATCCCTTCCTTACCTGCAAATAGGAGATAATTCCGAAAGAAAGCCGAACTCCTAGGTGAACTCTTTGTATCCATCTCAGCTTTGAATGACAAGGGAAACGTACCGTCGACCATACTGCGGTGCCTGAGCACTATTCCGAAAATGCGGTTTACCCAAAAATCACTCTTTTCCCTCGATATTCAAAGTCGAGCGGGCCTGATGGAATCTCTTTTATCGTGTTGAAGACGTGTGCTCTAGAGTTGTCACGACTTTTTCGACTCTTACTTCTTAGAAGTCATCCCAAAGGTCGCTCAGTGCTATGGCCGCGATCATAGTAACTACCGAGCGAGAGAATCTCAACTCCGATGGCCGTCACGATTACGCCGGTCACGCCTCTCCTCCATCCACGAAGGGCATTCTGCGCGCGTGTGAAGCGTCGGTGTCCACGCTTTGGCCATCGCAAAGTGGCTCCTTGGAGTTCAGACAAAGGTGATTTCCGAAGCATCCTTTCAGCAGCAGCCACAAGATTTCCCGATCATAAAACTATTGCTTGGTATTAGAGATTTGGATATTGTTACACATGCCATACACCCACGTTTCGAATGGTTCAAATTTTAGTGTGTCTGGAGTGATTTAAAATTTGAATCACTTGAGATGCGGTCGTATCACATTACTATTAATGACAGACTTAATAAGCTTTTAAACGTTTGCATTCATTTTCATACACTAATATTTTTATTATATCATTATTATGACATAATAAAAATATAATAGACACGTAATGCATTAGTTTCGATTTCATTTTATTTGCTCATTTTTTATTCTGTTATTTATTTCCAAGCATTTAAAATTGTTTAAAGATAGTTACATCACACTATTCCTATTAGACATCATAAAAATGCAGATCGAATAATTTTAAGTGATATAATTCCTTGAAATTTTTTAGTCTAAATTACACACCTTTTAACAATGTTTAATTCCAAATATATCCTTGCAGTTTCCATTACAATTCCCTGCTCTTAAATATTATCAGATATTCTAGGGATGTTCATAAATAGAGGATTGTGAATCAATCACTCAGTAGTTGGGACTGGAGCATAAGAACAAACAGTAAAACAATTTCAACCTATTAGTTGTTTCAGTAACATACTAGGCTCAAAGCACAAACTACTTATTTTTATAATTAGCTATCTGTACCCTGACACCCTTCACTGTAGCACATTGTGGTTGCATTGATAAGGAATGAGGAACAAAACTGACGCGAAAAATGAATCTTTGTAGAGGTTTGTATTGTGTCAAAATTTGAGCTCAATTGGTGCAGAATTTTTGAGTTTTGGACCCATAACCAAACCATTTTAACATTTTATATATATATTTAGACTAAAAAAAAGTGCATGTTGACTTAGTGGAACACTTGGGTGCTTTAGGGGACTAAAGGTTAAGATACAGATGTCTATGTGATAAAATTAGAACCAGTTCATTTGACAGTCCAAAACTTTAAATTTTTAATGGCACTGGTTAAGGCAACTAACTTAACAATACAACTTAGTTTTTAAATATAGTATTATTATTTTACAGGAATATTGTACACACATAAATGGAATATTTATCTTTTTTTTTTATTTGAATTGTTTTTTTTTTAACAACAAAATTTATAATTTGGTATTCCCAATAAGAAATTTTAGGCAGTTGCAGATTAAATTTTGTTTACTCAATAAATTATGGTTTTTAAATTGTGCTAATGCATTTATTTTTTATTTTATGATAATGTAACTAAATAGATTCTTATTTTAAGTAGGTACATATACATAGGGTTTTTCTTCATTTTTCAGAATCTCTTATCAAGTGCAGATATTATCAGGACAATTAAAATTAGCAACACGAAACAATTATTTGCCTACCAATTTACATAAGATCGCAAAAACAATGGAGCAATAAGCTTTAAGGATTATATGAAATTTAATAAACTAAGGTAATAGAATTTTATTCGTAAAGAAAGAAAAATAAATTAATTTAATTAGAATCGGTGCCGGCCCCTTAAAAGAAAATTACTAAAAACTATTTACTTACGTGGACATGAGATGATTCTCGGTTGCGGAATGATGATTTTTATAATAACATGTTTGTTATATAGCTTCAAAGTACTCCCACGACCTCATAGGGCACAAAAGAATATTATGTACACTTATATACAAATATTTTAATTTACTGCTGTCAAACAATTACATTATAAGTTTTGAATGTAAATATCACTTATTCTTTGTTTTGAATACGTTAAAAGTGTGGTTGAAAGCACAACACAAATATAACTGTCAGATTCTTTTTTTTTTTTTGGAATTTATTGACATGGTAACTAAGACCTTTAAGTCAACAGTCAGATTCTGAAAACAACATTAGAGATACAAGTTGCAAATCAACTATTTACGTTGTGTACAGAGTTTAGCGTCTAATATTTTTTAATGAAATAGGGGGAAAACGAACAGGCGGGTCACCTGATGGAAAGCGACTACCGCCGACCATGAACGCCTGCAAATCAGATATCCAGTTCAGATAATCCTGCAAGATTATATAATCGTTCCAGATATCCAGTTTCTTTGATAATGATCTTCACTTTTAGATATTCACCATACTTAATAATAAAATGGATTTAAAACATGCAGATTATTTTAAATTTTTAACTTTTTAAAAGACCATTTTTAATCAATGGGTAAATTTAAAATCAGGTTTAAAATTGACTGATTTTCTTATAATGCAACACTTGACCAAAGCTGACGTTCCATTTTCGATTGTTTGACATCGCCAATATTGCCATTCATTTGCCGCAGGTTTTGTTTGGTGTAATTGACGGCCATACTAGTTGGATAGCTATCTACTCATTTTAAAATTGATGTACTTTAAACATAAGTAAAACCTTCAACTTTTATACAAAAACAATCTAAGGTATATTTAAAGTGATATAATGTTAAATTAACTGTTATTCTAGATGCAAACTATTCTAAATCGCTTTGTCATCTTTCATAACCTACACCGGCAAGTAATTTTACTTTATTTTCAGATGTTTCTTACACGTTCTGAGTATGACCGAGGTGTCAACACATTCAGCCCGGAGGGAAGGTTGTTCCAAGTGGAATATGCAATTGAAGCTATCAAGCTTGGCTCTACTGCTATTGGTATTTGTACCTCTGAAGGAGTCGTTTTGGCTGTGGAGAAGAGAATCACTTCGCCTTTGATGGAATCTACTACTATTGAAAAGATTGTGGAGGTTGATAGACATATTGCTTGTGCTGTGTCAGGACTGATGGCTGACTCTAGGTAAGGATATGTCATTTAATAAAGTGTTGTAAAAATATCTACGACTAAGGACGGCGACTAAGAGAGCTATGGAACTATGTTGATTGCTTTTTTTTGCACTAGGCAATTGGATGACAATCTGGAAGTACTGTTTAGTAATTTTTTGTTATAATACCTTTATTAATTAAAATAATCATACAATTATATATTAAATGTTCTTGTGTGCATGACAAATTATTTAAAAATAATTTTCTCGTTTTTTATTGCCCTAGGACTCTAGTGGAGCGTGCTCGTGTGGAAAGTCAAAACCATTGGTTTGTGTACAATGAGCGTATGAGTGTGGAATCTTGCGCCCAGGCTGTATCAAACCTTGCAATACAATTTGGAGACAGTGATGATGATAGTGGTACAGCCATGTCTAGGCCTTTTGGAGTTGCTGTTATGTTTGCAGGTTAGTACTAAGTTTTTAAGTAGGATGCAGCAGATTGTTACCTAAATTTCAGAGCATGGCCTTATTAATCCACTCTATGTGGTTGTGAGAATAGACAAACCACTAATTTAATGCTGATTGCTTTGCTGCATGAGTAAGAGACCAAAGGTCTATGATAAAGGCTCCTTTAAAACTACTTAGTGTAAAGAAACTAGAAAAAAAATGTTAATGCAATAAATTAAACATTACTAGACAGAAGCAGTCACTAGTTAAGCATCAGCTTAAGTTAGCTGCACAAATTTCAACATTTGTACATTTTTTGCCTTTTAAAATGTACATAAAAAAATATTTAATTTGCTTTAGAGTCCTGAGTCCTAATACAATCTCAATATGCTAGGCCTATTCTGCTCTTTAAGAGTATATGAAGAAGATGCTCTGACATTAAAGACCTTGCTGCAATAAAGTTATGAATTAATTTCTAATGAACCTGTGAGACCTATTTTATTTTGTTCTAATAAGAACAACATACAATAGGTCTCACAAGTGCATATTTTTCCTTTTTTTAGGTAAAAATTAGATTGTGATATTCAGATTTAATATAGATTTTACATATTACATTTGCAGGCATTGATGAGAAAGGCCCTCAACTGTTTCATATGGATCCCTCTGGAACCTTTGTCCAGTATGATGCTAAGGCTATTGGTTCAGGCAGCGAGGGAGCCCAGCAGAGTTTAAAGGTGAGATTGATTTGTGACTTCATAAGATAACATCCTGTTCAGGGTTATTTTATTTTCAATAAGAGGTCAGTCTGAGTCTGATTTGTCTTAAAACAGCTGGCTCCCATACCCATTATCTGGCCTGTTGTGTTAGCTTTTAAAAGTTTCCATGATTCTACACTAACTGGGCCAGTTTTGTTATTATTATTACTGTAATTTCTTGAACTATGCAGATCTTAATCTAAAACAAACTAAAATAAAAAAGAGTTGCCTCAATATAAATATGATTCTATTCTAACACTTTAAGTATACCTATTTATTAACAGGTTAGGCCTTATGCTAGTGTTTGGAAATATATAGTGGCTCTATGATAGCCATTGATTGTGAGTGGTTTAGAATCTATAAATTTATTTCAAATTTTGCTCTACACAGGAGGCATATCATAAGTCCATGACCCTCAAAGAAGCTATTAAGTCTGCTCTCACGATCCTGAAGCAAGTGATGGAGGAAAAATTGTCAGAAAATAATGTGGAGGTGGTCACCATGACCCCAGGTTCACTGTTCCACATGTTTACGCGGGAACAGCTGGCTGAGGTTATTAAAGACATACCTTGAACTGTAGTACACTTAGCACACTCTGAATCTTAGGATTTATATTATTTTATAATATAAAATAATAACCCCTTTCTGCTAAACCTACATTTTTTAAATAGTTCAGTACTGGTTTATAAAAATATTATAATTCCAAGGTTCAGATATTGCTTAAATTAGAGGTACATAGAAGTAATATTTGAAGTAAATTGTATTCAGTAAATCATTGGAATATAGTGGAGTAATTCAATTTGGTACATTCTGGTATTTTTAAACTTTGGTAAAATTTGTAAAAAATTGTTTGTTTTAAAAAGATAGCCCATTTTCGACTAAGAATAAAAAGATAAGAAAATAGTTTATATTTAGTTAGATAACTGGTAACATAATTATGTAGTGTAAAACTGTAATGTAGGTATCGTATGACAACATTGTATACTGTATAATTTATTTCAAATGATATTTCCACAAAGTGGTGTGGGCGACATACTGAATCTTACAGTAAGTATTTACTTGTTCAATAAAAAATAATAATTTTATAAATATAAGTTTTTTGAATTAATTTACCTAAATTATGTATTACCTGAATCCAATCCAAATCCATTCGAAAAATGAATCGCTATTAACGAGTTTCGAAAAGCTATTCTTCTTTCTTTCTTGTTGAATTCCTTTGTATTTTGGAGGCAGAGGTTTTATGCCCCTCCAACACTGGGATCCCTTTAACGAGAAACTATCCGCCCTTGTGTTCAAGTTGTTGATGCCTGGCGGGTTACCGCCTCAAAGGTTGGTGGTGGGAAGTTGTACGTGGGATTTGATGAGATATTGTAAAAAAACTATCTCATCAACAGCCTATACTAGTCCACTGCTGGACATAGGCCTCTCCTTGGAAAGGAGGTTTTGGCCTACTATACCACGCTGGCCAGACGGGTTGGTATAGGGTTTGTTTCAAGTTTTCCTTCTCTGTAAAAAACTAACTAAGACCCATTACGTATTCGCGCAGTACTTTATTTTTTTTTAGTTACGCGTTGAAATATAAAAAAAAGGATCAGTAACTTCACTTAAGAATCGCGATTCTTGAACCTGTATTGTACACTGTATTTTGGTGAGCATTGAGGTGCAGTATGTCTAAAAAGCGTGCATTTTCTGGCCATGTCATGCCTGATCAAATGAAGAATGAATTTATCAGTTTCTGATTGTGTGTGGTCACTAAATGTTTGATGTGGCCCTTAACCACAGATTGGCATGAGAGGACTCTCTTGTTTTGAAAAGCAACAGACCAAAGACTTCGATATAGTAAAAATAGTTATCCTTGCTGATGTAAATAAGCACTGCCTCAGCCAGTTTCGGCATCCTAGACATTGAAATCTTATGTAAAGTCCAGTTTCGCGGTCATTTAGAGGGTAAGGTCAACTTGGCCTTGAAGAAACTCGCTGTGCTGAACAGATCGAGGCAGTATTTCACTCCAGCCCATCGACTCCAACAACAATCTATAAGGCGCAAGTCCTGCCGCATATATACCAGCTTCTCCTTTTGGACCGTATCCGAAGAAGAGCAACTCTAATCGTCGTTGGGTCGATCCCTTGGCATTGCGTAGAGATGTAGCTTCGCTCTGCATTCTCTATCGTATATATCATGGAGAGTGCTCCTAGGAATTGTTCGGACTAATACCGGCCGCAACTTTCCGCCATCGTTCCACACGGCAAAATCGTCCTCCCCACCATTTGGGATAATTTTTTCAAGACACTGCCTCGCACTACCAACCTGTGGAAAAAGTGATCGTCTGTGGTATTTCCGGATTGATACGACCTTTAAACCTTCCTCAAAGGCCGGCAACGCGCTTGACTCGCTCGTAGCGACCCATCGGCTCATTTAGATCTTTTGCTTCCAAAATTAATTACATAGTCTATCAATAGCTTATATATAGCGTAGGTTGAAGAAGTTGCAGAAATTTAAATTCATTCTGTAGTATTTGGCTGTTAAAAGTTAAATAAGTAAATATTGAATTTTTGATTAACAATTATTTGTAGTAGTGATTTACCTACCCCCTAAATTTAGATGTGTAATAAAAACACTTCTTATCCCCGCTTCGGTGTTATATAAATTCCTTAAATATTCCTTGTGACACAGATGATAGCGGCGATTCCTGAATTGCAGTGGAGTGAAACAAGCTCTCGGAACACTATACACGATTTGTCCAAGTTAAGACTCGGCAGGCAAACCGTGTGAGAAATGTTATTGTGGAGTTGGTATTACATGGCCAAGAGTTTTTTATTGCTGTTTTATTGTAGTTAGCTATTATTCATACTATTTGGTTAATCAGAAAATTTATTTTTGTATCATTATCAACAGTCTTTAATAGTCCACTGCTGGACTTAGGCCTCTCTTTAGAAAGGAGGTTTTGACCTACTATACCACGATGGCCAGACGGAGTTTGAGTTTAGGGTTTGTTTCAAGTTTTCCTTCTCTTTGCGGTGCTGTAGTCCTAACAGTTGTAGTCCTGTAGTTTGCTCCTTAGTCGGCGCTTACGAAACCCACGGCATGAATAGGTACCATTTTAGTATAACTGTCATTTTTACGGTAAGCATGCAAGAAGCAACCTTATGGTTCAACATTATTGGTAAGTGTTTATAGTGCTAATACTACCGTTTCTGGTCTATTATAGTTCAACCGTATGGTATACAAGTATAGATAGACTTCAAATACACTTCACATAAGCGGTGTCAGTGTCACCCGCTCATCGTGAACATCACCTGATCTGGCGTCCTTAGTCACCAGCAGATAAGTGGTTACTAAAGTCACCAATCCTACTATCCATGCAAATTTGGACCGCTCGATTGTAGAAGTACCTCCGATTATTATGGTCGTCTCCGATGCGAAACACTTCATTCCTACACATATTATATTAACAATGAAACAAGTAATAATATTTATAAAAATCTTATCTCTTATATTAGGTCTTTACCTATGAAATTGCCGTTTTGTATGCAATAAGTGAAAGTACTTAATTTTTCAAACTTTTTTTATTTCTGTTATTCGAAGTAATCACCCATGCAATCGACGCATTTTTGCGAACGCATTGGCAGTTTATGGATGCCCTTCTTGTAAAAATCAGCTGGACTGGAGGCAACAAACTCGTCAAAGGCATTTTGTATTGCCTCTCGGTAATTGAATTTTTAACCCATTAAAAAGTTGTCTAAATTTTGGAAAAAGTAATAGTCGGTAGGTGCAAGGTCTGGTGAGTATGGCGGATGAGGATGAGCTTCCAACCCCAGCTCTTGCAGCTTGGAGACTGTCGGTTGCGCAGTATGGGGTCGCGCGTTGTCGTGAAGGAGCAGTGGGGACGACCGATTGACCAAAGCTGGTTGCAGATGTGACCACCACCATTGCATACAAAGCGGCAATTTCATAGGTAAAGACCTATTATTTCACAGTAGACTGAGACAACTTATTTCTATTTAATGATAATTGTGTGAAGTCATGTTTTTATTTTGTGAATTGAAGCACTATTTTATTGAAATTAATGCAGTAACTCGGTTTTTAATACAATATTCGATTATTTACTCATACAGAAATATACCCGTGGGAGTGGGTAGACTTGTACCTTCATGTAGTCTGGATATTAGGTTATGAAATTATTTCATCGTGGATTCATCATCATATACTGTTGTGGAGGGATGGTTGTCAAGTACATCCGGTCGTTCGTCCGCGGCCTAAGCAACGGTTGATGTTCAGAAATTGTATTCTTTTTCGTTAGGAATTTCCGTTCTAGGGGAATGCGTGGATGTTTAAATAAGCAAAATGAATAACTGTATCCTTACGTATAGTTAAGATTTTATTGAATTTCCCAAAAGACAATTTTCGAATATTCCACTAATAGAGCCTCCAGTCTGCGTTCTGGAAAAATCTTGACTGGTTTGCATATGCGCGACTGCGTCTTGGTAAATGTCGCGACTCGTCCGCCCATGCGCGATGACCGTATATGTGATGCGCACATATCTCAAGAATAGATTTGTATAATTTCAATGCAGAGGACCATTGATTGGTTGCAACTATTATTATTATTAGCACTTACACTAGGAAAAAATACCAGTATTTCGTTAGTGTTGAATACACTAATATTTATTTATAGAATATAATTCTTAAAATACAACACAATAGTAAAAAACAAATAAATCATTATTTAAAACATGTAACTGTAAGTAGCTGGTAAAAATCATATCACAACATTTTTACTTAGAGACAATGTACTTCTATGTGCGGTTTGATTTAAGAAGTAGATAGATAGACTTCTATTTTGATTTCTGAGGTCTTTTTGTAAATGTATTATAACAATATACTCGTGGATAGAGATGGACAAACAGGTATATTATTTATTTATTTATACTGAGAGATTATTTTGCAATTTTATGGTATTCTTTAACGAAACCATGGATAACAATACATGGATTCTAAATTTGTATTAGAGCTTTCTTTGCTCTGTAATATATTTTCATATATTACGTATGTGATATATATATATATGCTATCTATATATCTGCATAAAGAAAGCAGAGCGATAGATAATGTATTTACAGTTGAAAATAGCATATGTTCAGTAAAGATAATCATTACAATTTTAATAAATAAGGGTTATTTATATGAGAGCTTCAATATTTTTTTAATTCGTCAATGTTATAGTATTTATTCCGTTATTATATTTTGTAGAATTTTTGAGGCCTAGTTTAAATTGGGCTATATTGATCAAATACTGCGTTGTCAAGTTTGGCCTTAACGTCGTCACTCAATATTGGGTCGTTCATCTTTCTCTATTGATCTTTACTTATTTATTGAAAATGGTTTATGAGTGCGCAAGTATCAAGTTCTAAGCAGTCGTAATTCAAAAATAATAAAAATGATTTCATGTATTTTCAGAAATAAAATCTTATGTGCAATGACTATAACTGCTGTAGATTTAATTGTTCTATCACTCTGAAACTACGTCTAACACTGATCTATGTACTAAAATAAGTACATCTCTAACACCGATTTACATAAAGATATAAATAACTTGTATGTCTGTGCCACCTTTAAAAACACGAAAGAACCCGTCTCTCCTTTATTACCTGTCAGCGAGTTTATATTTATCACATATCAACGACCGAAATTACCAATACTTGGCTAAATATGGCTCTAAATCAAACGGACTTACATTCGGGCCGAACCTCTCAACCGGCACTCCATTTCTATCTACAATAAACTTGGAAAAGTTCCATTTGATGAAGTCTCCAAAGGTACCGCCTTGAACTTTTTTCAGAAACTCCCACAAAGGGTGGGTATTCTCTCCATTTACTTCAATTTTCTCGAACACATCGAATTCAACATTTCTTTTTCGTGTGAATTCAACTATCTCATTGAGAGACCCAGGTTCCTGGCCCCCAAACTGGTTACACGGGAATGCCAATATACGAAGACCTCTTTCTGCGTATTTTTCATACAACTTATTAAGTTGCGTGTAGTGTGTGTCGGTGTACCCACATTGGGAGGCTACATTCACAATGATAAGTACTTTGCCCCTGTATATTTCTAAGCTTACTTCGTTACCCTTTATGTCTTTCACTTTAAAATCGTAGACTGTTTTCTTTGCTTCTGGTTCCTTGGTTTTCTTTATTTCTGATTCAGGGGTTTTTTTTGTTTCTGGTTGAGTGGTGCTTTGTGGTTGTCTGGAAAGATGTTATTAAAATTTTAATCATTATTAGGACAATCTGTTAGTTCTAAAAGTTACCGCATACACGATAATTTAAATATCAACGCCGTAGATGTGATGAGAATACTGAGCGGTATGCTTAGTATGCTTGACAATGATTACCGTGCTGTAAACAGCTGCTAAATTTGAGATTGCTTCCATATAATATAATAATGAAATTTTCGGACATCTGACACACAACGCCATCTAGGTTGTTCTATGAAAGCACTGATAGAAAACACACAAACAAACATTTCCAAATCATACAAACATTTGTTCCGTCTCGGGAAACAAACCGGAGACCTCACCTTGGACCAAGTTACTAAAATAAACTGGCTTACTTACTTCTTTCCATGGAATAGGCGGAAGGTAGCGACAGCATTGTATATGTCATCAGCCAGTATTTGGGGGTGTTCGATTGCCGGGAAGTGACCTACATCCTCGACAACCGTACTTTGGAGATAGTTCTTATACTTCTTTTTGAGCAAACGGTCTGTAGTACAGAGCTCTTCTTTGAATTTGATACCCCATGTTGGAACGTCTGTTGGGATCCTAAAGATTGAATTGTAAAATAGTTAATTTTATTTTATTTTAATTCTTTATGCACAAATTTCGATTGTACAATGGCGGACTTAATGGGCAGGCATATTCTGCCAGTCTACCTTTGGGTGGTGGGGTAATATCTGAATAGGTGCACTAGACATTTGTTTAACCTTTTCAAAATTGAATACCACAATAAAACATCTTTATAAGAACTAATCCATAATCCGTATGGGTAAAAAATGACCCAAACTTGTCAAATATTAATTTTTAGCAGTCTTTGATTTATTAAACACAGTTTTATAATACTTCTACCCTTTCTTTAGTATTTCATTTTTCTTCCCTGGCAACAGCTAGTTCTAGTTACAGGTATGCGACACTAAGCTAATCAAGCTCTTGCATATACTTACTCCTCAATCCACCGTAAAGCATCCGTAAGCCATTTCCTATGATTGCCGTCCCGTCTTTCCAACTTTTATTTTAATATTGACCTGCCAATTTCCTCATAAGCCTTAAATAGACCTCTTCTCACTCCTTAATTAGTAAAATTTGAAGTAAGAACAGAACATATTAACTTGCTACTACTATAACTTACCGATCAATTTCATCAGTCTCGTGAATATATTCATTATATACCCTCATACTCGTTGTGAAGGAATTCGTCATCCAGTATATCATGACGTTGTCTAGAAGTTGAGTGAGTGAGAACTTTTTAAGGAGACCACCATCGGTAGCCATTTGATTTTCTGTATTGTTCAAATATGCGAATTTCTCTAGTATATAAGCTGCTAAACCAGCTGGGGATTCGGCCAGAGCGATACCTAAAATCAACCATACCTACCTTTATTACGAAGTATATGATATACCTAAAAGGTGATGATGAGATGATGAGTACTGTCTTGTCCCGCAAAATACCGACAAGAAGGCACCGGAAAGTGCCAAAAAAATAACCGTCTTTTTAACTTGTGGGGCTCGTCCATTATCCCCAGCAGAAGCAAGCTTAAGAATGTGGTGACTTTTACGTCGGGCACTTCCTTGAATAGAAGGCGAACAAGACCTTTCCTAATGATCGTCGTGTGCGCCTGCTAATCTAGAGACGGTTAAAGGTTGAATGGGCTCCGCAAGGAAGCCTTGCCTTGCCTTCTAGAGAAATCCTCGGATTTCTTGCACGAGATTCAATTGTGGCGAAATGTCGTTTGCTTTTAGTCGATTTAATATTGACATATTACACTACATCCAGTTCTGGTAAAATAATGAAGTGTGGAGGCTTTCACACGATAAGAAAAAAATCATAAATTTATTGTTTTATCGTAAACGCAACAAATTTTTTTAAACTTTGATTTGCACGCTCATTAGCATCACATCACACACATCAACAGCCTTTACTAGTCCACTGCTGGACATAGGCCTCTCCTTAGAAAGGAGGTTTTAGCATGTGAATAATGAAAACAAAATACTAACTTTGTTATGGTATCTAACTCTCATTACATAAATCCTAAATATATGTGAAAATGCGAAAATAAGCTTTTTTGTTACTCTTGCATATCTTAACTATGTAAATATATCTACATATTTTCTGTGATTTAGAAAAGGACATAGGGTACCTTTTATACCTTAAAGAAAGACTATTCACGATTCCGGATCTCTTAATAACAGCTGTTTCTGTATCCCTTCTAGTTCAGACACAGATTGGCACACTCTATAGTGGTGACGGCCAACCTCCTCGGGCCCACTCCTCCTCTACACGTAAAAGAAGGACTATTCACAATGTTTAAACAAAATCTATATTAACGATATCATCTAGTCTAATAGGTACTTACCAAGTGTGTCGGGCTTTATAACTTGTGATTGCAAATAACCGGCGTTCTCGAGCAATAAATGGGAATGACTCTTCAAGTTATACGTGCAGCCTTTGAACTCGGGGTCTAGTAGCGACGGCAAATAAACATCTGCAAAAATTGGCAAGAGTTAATGCTTCTCTACTATACATGCTGGTTAGGTAGTGACGAGTAATGTGTTTTAAAATTATATAAAACATTGTGTAGATTGTAAAAATACCGTCGTCCTGTATGGGGAGAACCGAAAAATTTAGTAAATAATAGCTCAAGAGTCGACTAAAATAGCTCTAGTGTAGATAAATTTGCGCCTATCAGTTATAAATGTAAAGCTTTAAGTCCACCGAATTTATATTATATTATTACTCAACTTTTTAGTATATTTTTATTTATATTATTATTATTTTTACTTATATTATCGTTGATTTCCTATTTCCGTGGCTGGCGTGAACACATCGACATGTCGACTTCCATGTTTTTTTATTTATTGGCTTAATACTTCAGAAACAAAGACAGCGCCAAATTATATTTCCGGAGCAATTGATTTTGATAACATGTTGACATCTCGTATTGTAGCTTGTTTATTTTGACAAAACCACATGTCAAATTAACGATTCACATGTTTTTGTGAACGAACATTGATATTTTGATATTTCAACCTATACTCGGTAACCAAAATAATATTATTTAAATGAATTCTCAACTTATATACATAAAAAAACTGTTCAAATCGTAATATGTTGAGATGTGCCGACTAAGTTCTGAACCGTAAATGTTGGTAAACAAGTTGACCTTATTCATGGAGTTAATAACTTGATAACTCGTTGGTTAACGATTTGATACGTCTATTATTGTGCAAATTATGCAGAATTCCGTTGGTTGTCATCACTTAAGACAGCATAAAATAACTTATAGCTGATAATTGCATAAATTGCAATTGCAGAGATTTCAACATATTCACGTCAGCCGTGGATTAATACGAAATAGGGGTCTGTCACTCTCTTGTTACATCCACTCTCACTTTAATTTCCGTATACAGAGGATTCTGTTTTTTACCCCTACTTTCCATGGTGTTGATATACTTATAAGGTTTTTTTTTAGTTTAGTAAGAGACAATACGTACCAAAAATATTTACAAGAAATATATTCGATGGATTATGATTGACTACGGGCATATTAGTATGGAATCCGAGGACGTTGTCCGGGAAGGCGGTAGCCATGACAGAGCCTATGGCCTGCCCGAAGTCACCCCCTTGTATGTAATACTTTTCAAATCCTATATGTTGCATTAGATTGTGCAGGATTGCTGATATCTTTAGTCGATTCAGACCTTCGCGAGTTGGTGCCTGTGGAACAAATACTTCTGTAATGATTATATTTTTATGTAAACTAGCCTAGTGAGAGCCTATAAAAACAAGCAAATAACAAAAAATATTTTATTTTTTAACGCAGAGCCTTAACCGCTGGGGCTACAAACTTGAAATTTTGGGCAACTGATCCTTTATTTCTTAGGGGAGCCCATGATGCTAAATGGGGATTTACTCGAGCGTCATGGGGACCTATTGCATTTATAAGATTTTTTTTTTTTTTTTTTTTTTCAGGTTTTCAAAAATGTAAGGGGAGGAAATCGAAAAAAAAAATTCGGGCGCATCAGATATTTTGGGGATATATTATTTGGACTCCAAAAATGCACCCTTAAAAGGTCTGCCGATTTTAAAGTGACCCAAGCTGGTAGCGAATTATCGAAAATGCAATCTGTAAATTTAAAAAAATCGCCATTTCGAAATACCCGACAGTGCTAGATTTTATACAGACGGTTCCGCTTGATGTTCTTATCATACTAGACAAAAATCTGAAGATAATTTTGCAGGGTACTTTAAATCTGACGGTTTGAAATATTTTTTATTTTTTATAAAATCTGACAAATAAAGGCACGAAAAATTATGTAGACATTTAAAGATTTCTTCAATTGTTTGCTTCAAAATAAAAAAGAAATGTCAAGGTAATGTGTTTTTTTGGAACTTTGTAACCCTCCCACTGCTTTATGATACGCTCAAATCGTCTGTTTTTCTTAAATACACACTAATGTGCATATAATTGACTCAACTTACCTTAATCTTACACGCTCGAGTATTTTTGGCCATTGGCTTTTTTTTAAAACTAATCTCTTTGCCGTTCCCTAGGCGATCCCCCCTATATGTAGGGATCATGTAAGGTGGACGTACTCAACTAGGTGTAAGGTATTCCTCCTATGTTAATCGGCCATGCTCGAGTAAATCCCGAAATCCATTCTAGAGCTCCCCTACATTATGTGGTAACCACCCGCTAAGAAAAGATTTTTGGAAATTTTACCCCTAAGGGGGAATGGGTGTATGGAAGTTCCTAATTTTGAAAGTTAGAAACACGAAACAAGAAATAATCAGGCGAGCGAAGCCGCTGGCAATAAGTAGTATAAAATGAAAATATACAGTTTTCCAACGATATTTCTTTATCTATGTGTGCAGTGAAAATTGTTTTGCTTTTTACGTAACAGGGGGTAGACGAGCAGACAGAGACATTTCATTTGATTGATTCGGCAAATGTGCTGCCTAACATTATAATAGAATTTATGTGATAATATAAATAAATTTGTGACTGAATTATACCTTAAAAATTGGTTAAAATAGGAATTTGGGTTCATCGTCCTCTTTCGCATGGCCAAGGACTCTCCATGCGAGGCTTAGGAAATTATAGCGGTTAGCCACGCAGTACATTTGAGAATATTAGAAAAATATATCGCGGCAACGAAAGTGTCAAAATACTTGAAATCTGCTTTATTACGATTGGTTTCGAATGTTAAGTTATTTCGGATTATTCGATGGTTTCGGATATTTAAATGTTTATGAAATTCTAACAGGAAAATCCCTACTAATTTATTAAATGCGAAAGTAACTGTCTGTCTGTCTGTCTGACAGTATAATATGTATTTTGTATGTAATTTACAAAAAAGTATATATCTATTTTTATCACTTGTCTTGTACCCACAGTACAAGCACTGCTTAGTTTGTCACTAGATGGCGTTGTAGAATATATTATTCTTTAGTAACTTTGGCATGGAGATACTTTGATTCTTGAGGAAGGACATAGGCTATTTTACCGAGATAACATACACGCGGACGGAGCCACGGTCAAAAGCTAATATTATATAAATTGGAAATGATATGTTTCTATTTAGTTTATCATTGGGTACAGTTACAATATTAGTCTATAATATATAAGAAATTACATCTTTAAGTCTTATCTCCTTAAAATGGAATCATGTAATTATAATAAACTAAATTAAATTTCACAATCAATTTAGCTAACATTTTTCTCATGTCATCATCATCATCAACAGCCTTTCATAATTCACTGACACGTTCATAGGCCTCTCCTTAGAAAGTTTTGGCCTACTATATCACGCTGGCCAGACGCGATGGTATAGGGTTTGTTTTGTCCTGCATAGTTTATCTCCCTTGGTCGGCTCTTACGACACCCACGGGATGAATAGGGGTGATGACCTTCCATAATCGGTGAAAGTTTTCTTATGGTCACGGTGTTGTCTAGATTTTTCTTCGGATACCCGAAAGTTTCGACAGAGTCCTTTACTTTAATATTTTCCGTGAATGCCTAAAATTTAAACATTACCTGCGAAAACCCAAAGCCTGGTAGACTAGGTACAATTACTTCAAACACAAAGTCCTTGCCAGTTTGTTGTGTAGTCAATAAGGGTATGAGCTCATAAAACTCACGAATGGAAACTGGCCAGCTATGGATCAGCAGTAATGGGACTACCTGTGAATAAAACATACATATTATGATGATGATACATCATACATTTATAACATAATAATTTTGTTATCAACACTAAACAAAATCCAAAACATTAAACACAAATATTGGAGAAATTTAAACTGCCAGCAGAAGAATTGCTAAAGGAATTCAGGGAGAATGATATAGTTGGCAAAGCACACACATGAGATTGATTTTGATTTTTTTATAATTGTTTCACATAAAGAAGACTCTTCTTGCATGGAGCGTAGGCTCTTCAGCAAGCAGGTACAACCTGCAGGATGAAAATTACATGGTCGAGGCAGCAGAGCAATACAATTTCCAGTGTATGGTAGTGGCTACATACTGGGGAAAAGCTTGTCTAAGAGGATGGTAATAGTAGTCATACACTCCCTCATAAGTAGTTACCATCAGGTGAGCTTTGTCTGTTTTTGTCATATTTGTTGTTAAAATTTTAAGAATCATACCCATAGAGATAAAATTACACAAAGACACTTACCGCAATATCTGAAGATGCTTTAGGTCGGACATGAATAAAATGAATATCCAGCCCTTGGATTTTAGTCATAAAATGATTGTATTTGTTTAAGAACCTCTCTCTTTCACGAATGTTGCTGTTCTTCCAGAAGTCCAATACACGGGTTAAGAATCTTGTGTTAAAGCCATATTTAAAACCAGAGTTTTCAAGTGAACTTGTGAAAGGGCGTGAGTGCAGTAACCTTTCTTTGAGATCATTTACTATCTGTAAAAATTAAGCAAGTTTAATCACCTAGATAATTAATGTAGAGTAATATTAACATGAAATTTCTGTCCAACTCCATTTATTACATGTATTTAGAAGTGACTAATGAGATTAGTGAGAAAATGCAATTCTTTTCCTTCTTCAGTACAAAAAAAACAATCTTAAAAATGAATTTGGATTTGTAGTGTACTGAATAATTTAATAGCACAGGTTATTTCTTATGTAGTGTGGGCTAGTATTTTTTTTTTCTCATTTTGTATGTTTACTTCACTTTCAATTCTATTCCATCTTTTTTCTTTATCTTGTTTTCTTTTGAAAACAATGTTGTGATATATTTATTGATGCGACTGTATCTAGCTGTAATTAACAAAGAGTGGCCATGAGTTTGTTTACCCTTTCTTCTCATAAGGCTCAACCCCTTAGAAACTGGTGGTTGTCGATGGGCACAGGCATATAATGGATTGACTTTATTTTGCTAAATATTTGACAAAACTGATCATTGCTATTGTGTGTGTCTGTCTATGACTTAGAGTCTAAGACGATTTAAAATATTTTTTAAAACAATTTCATAAAAAAAGACTCAGTTTTAAGTAAAGGTATGGGTATGAGCTTTAGCATAAAAATAATGCTTAAACTGTAATATGATATCAATGCAGTTTATTATCATGATAATGATAGTACATAAATATCATTCATTGAGGCTACAATTATACATTTCAGATTAAATTTTAAATAAAATTAAATATAATGTGATTGAATGCCAACTTTTCTGATAAGATTTCTTTCCTAATTGCCTGATAAACAAATCGTGTTTTTTAAGGACTTTTTACTTTTATGGTTTTTATTTATGATGTGTATAAGATATTTTTTTCAACTTACAACATCCTCAAATTCAATGGTGTATGGTCGAATTGATTTGTCTAATTCCATGTCGATCGGGTATGGACCCCACCATTCTTCCATATCTATGTTTGGCATTGGAGGGGGTGCAGTGATTGTATTGTGATAATGCCATACCATTATGGACAATGCTACTACCATTAAGATCATGAATAAAGATAACTGAAAAGAAATTAAGAGTAGGTAATTCATTTGTTTTTCTTTAGTTCCTAATTTAAAAAAAAAACAAAAATCTGTAATACTCAGAAGATTAATTAAAAAAATATTTACTGACTTTACTCTGTTTTTGTTTTTCTTTTTTTTCCCTTCTTGGTGGCGGTTGTTTCATGTTATTGCTCATCTTTTCAGGAATTTGTTTATTTCTGTAATACATTACAAGACAATAGAATACCAATATCTGTTATATGAACTTTGACATTGTAAATATAGTTATGAATACTTTTTGAACCCTTATCATTCAACATAATTTGTTTAAACATACTAAATACAGGTATGAATTTCTTACCCTTTTTATTTTAAACCGAGTTGATTTTTAGAAATACAATTTATGTATATTCTACTTTACTAATTTTCTTACTTACAGATAAATCACAATTCTAATACCGGCAGCATAAATCGACCGGCACTGTGATATGATAATATGATATCGCAGACCAGTGTTACCCCTCTTTAATTATTATAAAGACTCCCAAATGGGAGTTTGGAGGTCTTTGAAGAAATAATTGGAGTTGCAAATATAGCACAGAAGACTATAGGGTTTATAAGAACCAAATATTATATATCTGATATTATAAAATATTATAACCGTTGCGGAATGTTTCTCAACCCTCTTCAATAAGATATTTTTAAACCTATAAAAATACCTTCTAAACCAATAGATGGTTTAGATTTCTGAACATATCTGATACAAAATCTTACTTGATGAATATTATATATTCTATTCTTTCTTTTTAACCCTTATCAGTTCACGTTAATATTCTCCCACCTGCCCACCTACTTCATTCGGGGGAAATTCTTGAAGTTGGTAACATAACAGATGACAACTGCAATGCCTGGTATTGCTAGCAGATAAATAAAATAATGATTGATTCTGGCTATGTAATGAATAAGTAGCCTAGTTTTTCATACAAAAAGATGTAATCTTAACATTCGTGTAACTAAAGTCAAATTTATTAAATATTGGTTACATATTGCGGTCAAACTAATATCTTAAACACGAGTCACTTCACAAATACTATTTATTTATATTAATATTTACTTACAGGCGCCTAGCAGCAATTATAATCAGAAGTTCAGAATCATAGCTTTTTCAATCCTGGCTTGATTCCATTTTCTTACGTGTCGCTGGAAACAAACTAACTAAAAATCAAGACCTAAAAAAATATATATATTTAATGTTATGTCATTGTGTTTGCTTAAACTTATTTTTGTAAAATAGAATTCCCAAGATAACTGTACCTACTGTACATTACGAACGTTAAATTCGTAGAAAATGTTTAGGATACAGCTTTCATGGACAGTGCTGGCCTTAGATACGGCGAGGCCCCGGTCTGGTAGGGAATTGCGAGGTTCTTGTCGTTTTGGAATTAGTTTTAATGGATAGTTGGAATAAAACATACAATACAATGCAACACATACTGCTCGGATATAAAAGCATAAGGGTGCGTTTCCACTGACGTGGAAGGGGGAAGAGCAGTGAAAAGTTGCAAGTGTTTCCATTGAAGTGGAGCGGGGCGGAGTAGAGAGGAGCTGAGCTGAGCTCAGCAGACCGGAGCTAAATGGAGCGGTGTTCCGATTTCTAAAATATAATTCCTAGCAGTTCCGAAATAAATTATTTGCCACATTACTAAATTTTCCATCAAGAGGAATGGTATTTTTTCTTCACATTTAAATGGAGCCAAAGGGGAATATACTTACCCTTCTAAATTACAAAAGAATTTTCCAAATCAGTTTATAAATGAAAGAGTTTTGAAGTAACAAACTTGAAAATGATTGTATAAAAAAAATTAAAGAAAAAAACAACCCGACACTTACATCTAACAAAAATCTCAAAAGAACATATAATTGAAAGAGCTATCCTTTATCTTTTAAAGGTCAAGGACCCTTCCATCATCAGCTGAGCAACATAACCACTACCAAACGCATATTCCTGTATAGTTAGAGAAACTAGCTGAAACACGTTGTCGGGGTAGTAAAATTTTAGGGTTTCCCTCAATTTCTCTGAAATCTCATCATCAGATCCTGACTTGGTGGTATTGCCATCACTTCAGAAGTATACCCATTAGACTACAAAAAGAATTAAAAAACCGGTCTACAATTGACTGAGATATCGCTTCACAAACTTTTTGAATTCTGTTAAAAAGACACAGTATCTTTAAACTTAAATATATTTACCGTTAGGTACCGAAAAAAAACGTAGTTTACTATAAAGGAGTTTATTAAGGTCAGCGCCAGGGTAAAGTAAAATCACCGAAAACAAAAACTATTCCGAGCGAAAAGCAAAACTGTGAGAGTTTAGTGGCGTTAAAACAAGCGGCTGGCGTTTATTTTTTACCATTATGCCTAAAACCACTAGGTACCTAAATTGTCATTGTAGGTACCTACAGACTTTTCCAGCATAATAGGTTAAAATATAGACTAGTCCCCAATTTATTTATGTAGAGGTTTTACATACCTACTTATTAATTTTACATCACATGTTCTTTATAATTTTTAGCTTACTGTACTTACACTACTACATATGAATACTTTTTAACTATTCCGTAAGCCACAATGGTTTAAAAATAGTAAAAGAATTTTCTTCACGTTGTAATACATAGATCACAGTCCGTCTTATTATAAAACGTGGACTTAAAAAAGTACCGGCTTTAGTACTAGGTTTAAACCATGACCTTGAATAAACGTTATTACAAAACGAAGTTTATCGCTAGTCCTAGAACTATCTATGGTATCAAAGTTAGACCATCGTGACCCCTAGTTTAACTATGGTACTAAATTGTCAAACGTCAAATTCTTAAATTTGAGGTTCGCTTTCGGAAAGGAATTTGTGATCAGAAACCAAAAAATGGATATTGATGCAATTGATATGTTTGATTTGGAAGATTTGAATGTGTTGGATATACTAGAAAGTTCCCGGGGACCGAACAGAGTTCGTCAGCGTCGAAATCCATTTGAATTACCTGATGAAGATTTTCGATATAAATATAGATTTAGTAAACGTTTTCGCGAAAGGATTGTCGATTTATTACGTGAGGATTTATCCCACGATCCTCGAGGATGTCCGTTAAGCCCCGAAATGCAAGTAGCTTGCGCACTACGCAACTGGGCTCGCCATGAAGTAAGTTGGTACCTTGTAATGTAATTATGGCTAATGTGCGTCATCAATGATGTATTACTTTATAATTGTTTTTTTTACAGATTCAAGACGATACTAGTGACTTACATGGCGTACAGTACAGTACAGTACAGTTACAGTAATAGATGATGTCAGTGCAGCCAGTTCAAAATTCACTAAGAGGGAATATTAGAAGGCAGTTTATTGAAACTCACTTTTCATAAAATAACATTTATTATATATAACTATATTTCATTTTTGTGATATTCATATATGTATATGTTTAATACATGTATTATATGAATGCTAAAATAAAAGCTAATGATCCTTTTTTCATAAAGATAATTATTAATAAATCAAACATAAATTAAAAGTAACTTTTATCTTTAAGAAAATGCTAAAATCAGTCCTATAATACTAATGATTATTATGGGGAATATATAACCTGAAAATAATTATGTTATATTATTATGTGATTGTCAATATATTTGAAGTATTTTATTCAATAGGAGATTACATTAGTTATTTATTTGAAACTCTTGACTCAACAATTTATACTTACTTTAATTATAAATTGTATTGATATCAGTCAAAAAGTGTAACTTACATTTTAATCTTTAGTAATGGTGTTAGTTTTTATCTGAGTCTCCAATAGTGCTATTTGTAATTGTAGCTTTTTAATTTTTAATTTTGATATTTCAACTTGATAGAAGTGCTGGGCTTCCAACATATCAAGCTCCTTTTTTTTAAAATTCTGTATTACTATTTATAATAGCTTGACACCCTTCTTCATTTCTGTAAAATAAATTCTATATTATTATGTAATAATTAGACTTATTATTTTAGTGTGGTAAGCTTTATTTATATTTTTGTGGTGCCTTGATTGAAATAAAATATATTTTGTTTGCACAGTTTCACTGGTGTAGATCACTGAAAATAATAAATAATATTAATAAAACTAACCTGTATTTTTTCTTATTATGAAATTATTATACCTTGTTTTTCTTCAATACTGGACTCTACATTTTCATCACTTATAATCACTACAATTGGTTCTATAACTAACTTATATACTATATCTCTAACTTTTACTTACCACTGCATCATTAGTGATGCAGTGGTAAGTAACACGTAAACATTTCGATTACATTACTCGAATTACGCGCGCCGTCCAGTTCACTCCGTTATACTCATACGTGCTAGCTCGGTAGTTGTTCCAAAACATAACATTAATAATTGGATTGTGAACATGCATTCAAAAAAATACAAGTCGGAATATTTAAATACCTTTAAATAACAAAACTTTAAATTTAACCCCTACAAATAACAATTCATAAAATATTTTTCTTTATATTTCGTAACAACATTTTGTTAAAAAGGAAAGGCGCGTAGAACGCTGAACGAATGAATGAATAATTTAAAAATTTTGTTGCTTATAATCTGTGGAAAATATTTAGACCAGAGACGATCTTTGGTACTAAGTAGTCCTTTGTTGGTCTACGATTTGTAATACGAATGAAAGAACTAACGTTAGTACCGTAATAAGCTTAGACCTTTTAGTCCTGGTTTAAACCTAGTACTTATAGAAGTTTTTATAATAAGACGGAGTAGGTTTATCTTCAGTACCACGATTTTTTAATAAAAACTTGACGAAACTTATGTAAGTTATGTATGACTATTTTATTGGATTTTGCTTTCTAACGTTAATCTAGTGTGAGTAAATCGTCGAAAATTATAAATGTGATTGGTAATAATTTTTAGACGTATTTATTACGACAAAAAATTACAGTACCAAGAACAACAAACTACAAAAAGCATAACCCTACATTTAAAAAAAGGCTCGTATTATTTCATAAAATATCTGCACCTGTAATAATGTGATGAAAATAATGAAGAAATTATTGACGTGTGAAACGAATGCGCACAAAATAAATCCGAATGAGAGTGAATGAATGGAAGCTGTCACAATGGCGGCCGCAAGCCTCCATTAATTGAACTTGCGGGGCCAATATGGAAATTCTATTTTTTATTTTTCATTCATCCGCTGGATACAAAACGTTTAAGGGCTGTGTGTTGAATGATATACTTTATTTTAAGATTTTATCATTTTTCGTCTACCGTTGAGTATAGTCATTTTAAAAATTCTCTTCGTCTTTTAGAGAAGTTACTTAAGGAAAAAAATTAGGCTAAAGACGTTGCAAATCAATTCCTTTCTATATAAAAGTTGAATTTGAGTAATGCGTTGCCTAGTATAGAGAACAACATAGGTAACACTTAATGTCGGCCACGGTCATCATTCTTTTAATATTTCAATAGTCAAGTGACACAGACACGATTCGTCTGTTTGTAACTTCAAAGTCAAGCCAATCGTCAAGTATACAAAGCTGAAGTACAGCTTGGTACAGGACCTAAACCACACTATATTTTTCGTAAACTTTATTGACCTTAGATTAAATTAAATATTTTCATTGTACGGTACTCTATTTCCTCAATTATTATTAGCCTGAGTATTAAAAGCCTGAAAGTGTAACAAATAAACGAACTTACTTTTACATTTATAATATTTAGTTTGGACAGGTAGGATTACTATAGGACTGAAAAGTGTAACCCCTCAGAGATAAACTGACGTCAGACATCACAGAACAGAGAAGTGGTTAAGGTTTTAGGGAGATAAGACGACCAAGGTTGACATTGTTCCGAAATCTTAGCTTTCTTTTAACTTCACCAATAAACTTTAAATGTAAGTAGGTATATCTAATGAAAATGGAATTAAAGTTTAAATTTGATACTTGGTGCTTTGAGTAACAGTGAGAAAGTTCATGCTTAAAAAGAATTATTATTTCGTTTTATAATTTCCGCAACCCTATCGACCACCCAGCACGCTTCCAAAGCGCTATCACGGCTCTCAGCCCTGTCAACGTTTTCCCATTTTTCCCACCCACCCGTAAATCCACTGAAAATGTTTTAAAGTCATGCAAGAGCGAGCGAAATTGAACCCTAAAGTTGCGTCAAGATATGAAATAAAGTTTTAATTCGAATAAAATGGAGTATATATTTAGGTCTTTTAAAATCGAGAGGTGGTTTAGCGATGCGGTTTTTCGAATGAAAATCTCTTTTGGTGGAATTGACATCCGAATTTAATATCGGTTTTAGTGCTGTTAATAATTTTATTGAATATGATCAGTTTGAGAGTGTGTGGTTGCTGTGTAAAGCGAGATAATAAATGTAGATAATAAATTATGGCGCGCTCCGCGCTGCCACCAATTTTTACATTGTATTGTATTGTTTTTAATTTTATTGACATGACATTGACATTTTTTTAGTGTGCATGAGAGTAGTTGTTTATAAATCCTTAATTAAATAAGAACTTAAATGCACGTCTTATTTGAAATTACTTTTTTATTTCTAGAATCTATTCTAGAGATCTATGTATGTACATCTATTAAAAGAGGCTAAAATTACACATTACAGGAATTAGTAGAGATTAGGTTTTAATTGTAGTTTGTTGACAGAGTGACGTAATGTAGATGAAATACAAAATATATCGATACCTCTGGGCTCAAAGGGCGTAAAGCACATTTTGGGGCATATGGAGTTAATAATACCATCGTACTCAGTTTTTCATTCTCTATCGATTGGTATATACGAAGTTGCCAAATTCGCACAAAAATGATCTTTACGCCCCATCTTTTTTGGGCTGCTAAACCAAAATGAAACAGGAAATCGGGCTGTAAATTACATTACTGAGCAAGTTAAAAATGTCCTAGGTTGTATAGGAATCCAATTATGAGTGTTAAGGCGTATAACGCATTAACTCTCATTATTGTTCTTTACAACCGTTCAGCATAACAGCACCTGTACTATACTACCTCAAAACTATTGTAAATGCATAAAGTATTTCTCGATTTTAGGGTGTAAAGCACATTGTATTTGACAACTGTTCTTCACGCCCTAAATATTAAAAAGATAACAATTTAAATGTACCTTACTACCTAAAAAAATAATAAAATATAATTTTTTGTTTGCCTCATTTGTTCTTTACTTCCTCACACTAAAGTTTACTTTGTCTTTTACTATCTAATACAACATTTTTAGCCCTTATTTTCATGAGTTTATGGTATATATTAAAAAAGAATTACAAATGTTTACTCAACACTATCACAAGGACAATTAAGATATTGCTTTCTCTTTCAACATAGCGCCTAATCGGCCACTCTTCTCAATGTTCCGTTTAACCAAAAAAATACTTTATTGCAACTTTGTCAAAGCTCAGTCTGCTTTGAACCTTCGTTCAAACGAATTGTATTGTTTTAACGGCACGTGGACCGGCTTTAGTTGTAAACAAAATAGCTAAGCGGTGACACTGATCTAAGTTTTGCGGAAATATAAATTATACAGTTTTGTCAGGATGGCCAATTGTGATAAAAACAAAAACATGAATGCCCTGGATGCTTTACGAAAACGTCGCGAAGCACTTGAAGCAATAGTTAAACATCACAAACATAATAATTTTCAAAGGTGAGTGATTGTTTAATGTTAATTAAACATTTAGTATTCAATCGTATTATTATTATTTTCTGTCTTTGTTTTTAGTAATAAAATAATAATAAAAACTACTAATTTCGATTTAATTTCTTCGAATTCGTGTTCGAATTAATAATAATTTAATGCATATCAGTTTTACGAGTAGGTATCCAGTGTATTTAAGCATTTCAGACTGTGGTTTACTATCTTACTATATAGTAAATAATCTTACGGTATTGTCCTTCATCATTTAATATTTTTAGTTTGCTCATACAGTTTCAGTAGGTCAGCCGGAAGGTAACTTGAATTTCCATCGAATATTATTTTGAATCGTTTTTGTACTTATTTCAATTTCAGAACACACACAATATCTCTTCAAGAATTGGAAGATAATAAATATAAAAGCTCAGATCGACAATCAACGGAACCAATTGCTTCCGGTATGTTAAATGATGTTAGTAATCCTGTCGATCCAAATAATCTAAGTAAAAATAGCGATATTATTGAAGATAGTGAAGAAGAAAATTTTATGAAATGCTGTAAGCCAAAGATGTTTATTACTTCTAGTACTGATGATGAAGTTAATACTTCCACATTCTCTTTGCCTCGAGCACATACCTTTTTTGGAAGCACTGAAAATATGGATGTCTTAGTCCAGTCACAAAATAACAATGAAGCTATGATCAGTAACCCTAATAAGAAGATACAAGTACTTTCATGTAAAATTATAAAAAAGCCCACTGAAAATGATTCTAATAGTGTGCAGATGCCTCTTCAGCAGTCACCAATATCTCCTACTCGAGTTTTAGTATTTGACGCAGTAATGACTTCTACATCTGAAATGATAAACCCAGAACAAGATTATAATATTTCGCACTTACCTCTCCAGCAGCCACCGACATCCTCAGCTATAGTTGTTACATCTGACGCTGTAAGTACTTCTACACCTGTAATTACAAACCAAGAACCAGATTATGATGCTACGCAGTTACCTCTTCAGCAGTCACCGATGTCTCCTTCTGTAATTGCATATGACGCCGTAATGATGCCTTTAACTCCTGAAACTTACAGAACAAACTTTAATAATTCGGATATTAATTCGTGCCTAAATCAAACTGAAATTCAAAATGAAACTAAAGGCAAAAAACGGCGTAAAACTGGAGTAAAATCTTATATGGATTTCCTCTCAGATGAGGACAAGTTAGATTATTCTTCAGGTAGCTCCAACAATTGGTCTAGAAAAGAATCAGAAAGTAGTAGTGAAGAAGAAATGGGTATAAGGAAGAGAAAAGTTAAGAAAAACTCTCATGTAGAAATTAAAAAGAAAGAAAAGCCAGGAAATAAACGTAAGATCATCAAGAAATTAAAGGTAGAGGGAAAGTCTTACGAAAACAGGAGTGGGAAAATCGTTCCCGAAAAAGAAATTAAAAATAATCCATGTATAAAGGGCAAATGCAGCAGAGGATGCTATGATATACTAGAAGAGAGACGTCGGTCGTTATTTGCACACTTCTGGAGTTTAGATTCTCAACGGAGGCGCGATTGGTTAGTACGATGTTGTCACATAGTTCCAATAAAAAGAAGGAAGAAAACCGATAGCCCTTCCTTGCGAAGAAATGCATCTTACGAATATTACATTAACAATGGCGAAGATCATCAAAAAGTTTGTCAAAAGTTTTTGTTAGATACCTTAAATATTACTCAAAAATACTTGACTTATACAATGTCACGTGATATCGAGAATACGGCTCAAATAGATAAGCGCAAACCTAATGCCCCACAAAAATATACTGATGCTGCTAAGCTTAAAGTGAAGAATTTTATTGAATCGCTACCTGCAGTGCCATCCCATTACAATAGACAAAGAACAAACAGAGTGTATCTACCTCAAGAATTAAAGAACGTGTCTAATTTATATCAGATTTATAAAAAAAGCATAAACAGTGACCAAGACACTGTTAGTGAAAATATGTTTAGAAACATTTTTAATGAATATAATATTAGTTTCCACATTCCCAAAAAAGACAAATGTGTAACATGCACAAGAGCGGAACATAATATGGATACAATGAGTGAGAAAGATAAAGAATTATTTGACACTCACATAAAAGAAAAAAAAGCAAGTTATAAAAGATTTAAAAAACATCAAAATTTGAAGTCTTTTGATAATGGAACTATTACATGTAGTTTTGATTTGCAAAAGGTTTTAGGCACGCCGCACGGTCAAAGTATGTTACTATACTATTCAAGAAAATATGCGGTGTATAATTTAACATTTTACGAAAGCGGTACACAGGAAGTTTACTGCTATAACTGGGGAGAGAGCGACGGTAAACGAGGAAGCAATGAAATTGCCTCTTGTCTTTTAAAGTACTTAGAAGAGAAAGATAGAATTGGCATAAAAAACATTATTTTATACTGTGACTCCTGTAGCGGCCAAAATAAAAATAAAACGGTATTGTCCACTATTAACTATTTTCTAAAGTCGGCAATTAATATAGAAGTAATACAAATAAATTTTCTTTTGCCTGGTCATACATATATGCCCGTTGACTCTGTCCACGCGACGATTGAAAGAGAAGTGCAAAAATTAATTGTATGGAGTCCGTCGCAATGGCCGACATACTTTGAGACCGCTCGGAAAAAACCTAAGCCATACAAAGTCATTGTTATGGACTACACCGATTTTCTGAATTTTGATCAATTAACTGCCAATACTTTCACACCAAACATATTGAAAAATATGAAACTAAAACAGATTAGAATTGCTACATTTAAAAAGAAATACGAAAACCAAATAAATGTCAAATATTCAATGGCAGAGGAAGCTGAAACTCAAAATATAACGTTAATGGAAAAGCCATCAGTCAAAGGAAAAGGAAAAGGAAAAGGAAAAGGCAAAGGAAAAAGTAAAGCAAAAGACAAGTCAAGCGAAAACAAAAAGCAGGAAGCGGAAGAAGTTAAGCCACTATATACAACTAAATTAAACATTAACAAACAAAAATACATGGATTTGACACGTCTCTGTGACAACGGAACTATACCTAAGAGATTTCATGAAGAATATAGAAAGCTTCCATGGAGCTCTAATGTTTGTGATACATTAAATGAAACTGATGAAGAAGATAAAGAAGAAGTAGATAAAGAAGATAAAAATAATACTGAAAAAGAAAATAATTCTAAAGATGAATAACCCAAAAATTGCTTAAAACTTTCATGTTTGCCCTTTTATTACGTATGATAAAAACTATTAACAATAACTCTTCAATTATTTAATTTTTAAAAGCTTTTTGGTTATACCCGTAATCTCTATTGGGATGGGGATTATGGGAATAATCCATCAGGACGGGATGGGGTACCCCCCACCCCGTTTAACCCTTTTTATTATGAAAATTGTACAATTTTAAATGCAAACTTTGTGATTTACAACACAATTAAACATTGCTATTATCATTTACTACATAATGTTACACAACTTTTTTACGCTAGGTTATATTTACTGCCTAAGTTAATAACGTTAGCTGTTTTTAAATGGGTTTAAAGGACATTTTGTAGTATTTTTTAGGTAGTAAAGCAAAACTATTTTCTAAACTATTATATTTAGAGTTAATTTACTAATATTAACTTAAAATTTAAGAAAATGTAAGTATTTTTCTCATAGATTGTTTTTATATAATCATTGAGACAAAAAAGTTATAGCTAATTTTGTTTTATTTTTTAGGTTTTTTGGCTCTCCTGAACAGTAGCTGTTTTGTGCTATACGCCCTTTGAGCCCAGAGGTATCGATATTATAAGGCACTCTTGGCTAATCAACTTGGCATGGCGGCACTAGCGTAGTTCCTTTTGCTAGTGTCCACTTAATAAACACGGAAGCCCTCTTTCTTAAAAAAGTATGTTTCTAGGAGTAGACCGTTCTGAGAAGTCGAGCTTACAGATCTTCGAAAAAGATGATGTGCTGTTCTAGCAGGAGGATATTAGACGGTTTGTTTTTTAGAACACTTTTAGTTCTTCTAAGTTAAAACTGTTTTTCCATCTTGTAGAAATAAGGCAAATATCGCATGGGTACATTATACTGTATGAGGCTATTAACTATGAATAATTGTGCTCAAAACAGGTGAACACTTTTAATAATGGCGAACAATTTTATCGTTATAAAGAGTAAACAAAACATAACGCACTTATATCTTATTCAAGTGGATTGCTATTTTCTAAAGTCAGGCGCTGTTAGGCTAATGTTCTCAGGAATTAATATTTGTATTAACGCCTCTAAGGATTTTGGTAACATTAGGAATGGCGATAGCTCTTATTCTGAGATTGTAGAAAGAGTTTCACTATTTTTATTGTTTCGTACCTCAAAGGTAAAAAAGGAAACCTTATAAGATCACTTTCTTGTCCGTCTGTCCGTGTGTCACCACCGATTTTCTCAGGAAAGGGTAGACCTAGCAAGTTGAAATTTATTCCAGATACTGAGGTCTATGGTCCCTATTAGGTGTTTAAAAATCAAGATCCTGAGTCAACACGATAAAAAGACATGGTCAAATTTCGATTTTCGCGAAAACTTGTAAGTACCAAAATTTACCTTAATTTTCAACTTCTTTTATTTTTCAGAATTTTCTCTTTATTTGTGCTGTAAGACATTGTTTTTATCCAAAATTGACAATTCTTTTTTTTTTTTTTTTTTTTTTTTTTTTTTAACGTGTGGAAATCCCCTCGGACCGTCACCCCTCCGGGGTTTGCGGCGGGGTGGTGTGTCAGACTCGGACCGACTAAAACCACACGGTGTGCCACTCTGCGCCTGTAACAGGAGGGATCCGGGAACAGCTGTTGTTAAGACATCCGGACCCCTCCTAGCGCCAGCCCGCTCCTGGTGCGGGCTCCGTCTCAATACATTTTCCTCTCTTTAGGCGACGTCCGGCACACGCGGACGCCGCCCCCTCGCGGCTGGCCAACTAATGCGGGTGGAGGGGAAACCCACCCCGTCCACCCGCGGCCACACTCAGGGCGGCATGAGGCTGTGGTAGGCGGGCCTCCGCCGCCCGGTTCGCCGGCGGCGGATCGGGTCCGAGTGGAGGTCGTCCTCCCGGGCCCTCTCCGCCGCCTCCTTCCGCGAGATTACTACCTCGCAGAAGGTTGCGACCGCGGTAAAACAACTGTCGCTACCGGCCATGGAGCGTACTACGGCCGGTAGCGAGAGATCCATTCCGATGACAACCGTGCCCGGAAAGCACCTGCGTCAGTCGGAAGGAAAGGGTCCCGTGCTGCCGCCCTGCCCACTCGGCGATGACCGGCTGGAGAGCCTCCACGGCGGCGAAGCCAGCGCGTGGAGTCTCCAGCCGGAACGACCAACGAGCCATTGTGGCTCGGCGAGCGGCTTCGCGCCACTCGCGCACATCCTCGGGCGGAGGGCGAAATCCGCTCTCCGCCCGGAAGTTAGCCACTCGCCGATAAACTTCGGCGAGCACTTCCGCCTCCAAATCCCACGGGGGAGTTCCGGCCAATGCGCATGCCACCTCCGTCGAAACGGTGCGGTAACCGCGTATGGCTCTGACCGCCATTACCCTCTGAGCACACAACAGCACGCCGCCACAGCTCACGGCCTCTTCGGTCACGGCCCTCAGGCGCAACACGGCGTCGACTGTCGAACGCCCCGCCCGAAAACCAAACTGGGCGTCCGACAGATCGGGGCCCACCTCGCAGAGGTGCCGGACGATGCGGGCAGAAAGAACCCTCTCAAACAATTTGCCCGCCTCGTCCAGCAGCACGATGGGCCTATAGGCCGCGACCGAATCGGCTGGCCGTCCCGGCTTCCTCAATAGGACCAGCTTCCCGCTTTTCCAGCACTCAGGGAAGCGTCCCGACGCCAAGCTAGCGTCGAACACCTCCCCGAGGCGGTCTGCCATGTGGTTGAGGGCCAGGGCCAGCACTCGGGCCGGTACCCCGTCTGGCCCAGGGGCGGTGTTCTTGGAACGGATCCGTAGAACAGCCGCCCCTACCTCCGAATCCCGGACGGGCGGAACATTGTCCTCCCCGTGCTCCCCGTCGTCTCCGGCCAGGGAGGCCATCGACGGGGGAGTGTGTTCCGCTCGTTGTGGGAAAAGGCCCTCAACCACTTCTCGCAGGAAGCTGGGCTGGAGAGTCTCCGTAAGGGGGGGGCCCGACGCGCGGAGCTTTTGTCGCACCGCGCGGTAAGGGCGACCCCAGGGGTCACGATTAAGACCCTCCAGCATCTCCTGTCTCTTTTCCTCTTTGGCGCGGCTAATGGCCAGCTTCAGAGTTTTCCGCGCCCGCCGGTACTCCTCATGAAGCCGGTCCTCCTCACCGTCTCCACGGTGACGCCGCCGACTGCGCGTGTAGGACCTCCGGGCACGTGTACAGGCCGCACGGAGGTCCGCCAGCTCCTGGGACCACCAGTAGACCTCCTTCCTTGGAGGCCGACGACCTCGAACGCGGGGCATGGCCGCATCGCATACATGCGTAATCGCATCGCGAAAGCGGCCAGCCCCCACGTCGACCTCCTCGGTCGGAGCCTGAGGAGACAGCCACGAGTGAATTATGGCTGCCTCCTCTAGTAGGTCCCGGTTCAGCCTGGCAACAGCCCACCGCGGAAAGCGGGATAAACGCCGCGCCACGTGACCCCTACTGGAGTCCTGGGTCCGGGAGAGCTCAAATCGGATATACAGGTGATCCGAGAGCGTCTCAACCTCTTCCAGGACACGCCAGTTCCTTACTCGTGCGGCGAGGGCAGGGGTAGCGAACGAGAGGTCCACTATCGACCCCCCCTGCTGTCGCACGCACGTGTTGGTGGAGCCTCTGTTTAGAAGACAGAGGCCCACCGAGGCCGCCCACTCCTCTACGGCCTCGCCCCTGGCGTCCGTCCTGGGGGAACCCCACGCAATGGACTTTGCGTTGAAGTCCCCCAGCACAAGGACGTGCCCAGACGCTAGTCGCCGTATCGAGGTCTCCAAGCTGATTAGGAAAACCTCGAAGTCGTTCAAACTCCGGTTGGGGGAGAAATAGACACCATATATGGTGATCCCCCCCCACTCGACGGCAACATATCCAGTGCCCTTGTCTCTTAGCGACAAGGGCGGGGAATGAGCCGTCGTGGAACCGACGACTGCCACGGAGCCGTCCCAGTCACCCATCCAGTTTGGACGGGGAGGGACAGAATAGGGCTCCGCGACTACGGCAACACCTATCGACCACTGTGCCATGGTTTGCAGGAAGAGATCCTGCGCCGCGGCACAGTGGTTCAGGTTCGTCTGGACCAGGAGGTTGGAGACTTGATCCATTACTGGATCGTCTCTGCAACCTCCTCCATGGGCGACGACGACGACGCACGTACTACGTCGGAGGCAGCCTGGGTCGACTGGCTAGCCCCTGACGTCTGCCGAGAACTGCGGGGAGGCTTGCAGCCTCTCTGCCCCATCTGGTGATTGGCGGGCTTATTGCCCGCCGCACACGCTGGGCAGTGAGGGGCGGCAGAGCATTCTGCCGCCTTATGCCCCGGTTGACCGCAGCGGAAACACAGTCCGCCGCAGTCAAAACAACTGTCGCACTTGACGCGCGTGTGTCCCGTGGCCAGGCATTTAAAACACCTCATCGGTCTCGCCGCCAGGACTGTGATCCTGGCGCTCACGAAACCGATGAGCAGCCTGCCGGCGTCGGCCAATACTTTGGCCGACGCTACGGGACAGCTGACCCACACGGCGCCAAGCCCTCCTGAACCGGGGCGGATGGTGCCGACCCTGACGTTGTCCGCGCTGCACCCCGTCTTCTCCCGGATTACAGCGCGGACATCTTCGGCCGTCACAGAGTCGTCCAGGCCCGAGATGCGCAGCTCTGCGCACTTAGTAGGCCTGGCGATCTTTACACCATCCGTGGCTGTAAAGAGTCCCCGCAGCTTCTCGGCAAATGTGTCCGCCGTCTTAGCGCCTTCAGCCCCAGGGAACTCGAGGACTCAAGCTCCCGTCTGGGCGAGGCGCATTCTGACCCTCACCGTTCCAAAATCGTTGGCGAGGCTGTCCCGGGCCTTTTTGAAGACGGCCGCGTAGGACAGCCCGCCGTCCGCCGCCTCCGGGGACACGGTCACCACTACAGCCGCGGTTTTGGGCGGCTGCAGCTTCCGCGGCCTCTTTGTGGAGGCCGTTGCCACCGGTGGCGAAGGCTGGGCTTGGGCTGCTTTTTTTGGCA